AAGATCCTATCTTGGAAATGAATTCATCAGTTGTTCATTATCCTCGTCCTCATATTGGTACGGTCAAAACACGTGCAGAGATGTATAAGGCAGACCATTTTTGCGGCAACTACATCGCCCCGTGCAACCTGTTTTACAACCACATTTTGTGAGTTCAATTACAGCACGATGGGCAGGCAGATCAAGATTCGGCACAGGAACATGAATGCTCTTGTCCAACTGCCAGCCGCTGTCGTTAAATGGCAGGAATGTCGAGGGATCTGGTTAGGTACGACTTGTCGCGTATTACGGTGTACTTGTCCCTGTGATATGGGGCAACAATGCAGCACAAGTCAGTGGAAGCATCTGCCCCTCCAAAGTTTTCTGAACTGAACAATTGCCATGTATGTGCTGGTAGGTTTAATGGACAGAGGAAGAGTAGACTTGGCAGAAAAATCTCTCCAATTCTTTGAACTGCGTGGGCAAGTCACCATTTACCAGCTCGGTTGAGATGATACATTCTACAAGCTCCTTGAAACAGATGATAACAGGGTCATCACCATCAAGCTTCATGTATGCACTAACCCTTGTTTTCTTTGTGATGCCCACAATTTTACCTTTCCGGTCAGCACCAGAGAAGCTGCGAAGTCCAATCAGACCTTGAGACTTATGACTATCTATCTCTAGATCTTTGTATTTTGCGGCCTTCTCAGTTACAAACCTGAGATGACCGCGAATACCGAGAGGACCCAGGAAGACGAGGTCCATGAGAATTGTGAGGGCATCGGCGTCACATGATCAAACACGTGCTTCATGCAAGATCTAAGAGTTTCTCAGGTGTAGCCTTTGCTGTGTCAAACAGGCTAGCATATGCTGTTGAAGGAGCAAAGGCTCAACCAGTGTCATATGCTAGCCTGGTTTACACAGCACAGGCTACACCACCCAAAGTTCTCATCATTTATGCTATGGCTGTACATCAGAGTATGAAGAAAACATCAAACATGCAGAAACTCCCTAACCTACAAGAGGCATTCACCATGCTGGCTGAATACCATTGAGGACGCATAGTATTAAGAACTTTCCGAAGGCGTGATAATTACTGAATTGGTGAATTACACCGCCGTGCGCGACAAGTCGTACGTGACCAGATCCCCGAACCTTCCTGCCATTGAATAAAGTGGTATGTATGTTCCTGTGCAGAATCTTACTCTCCCTGACCCTCGTGCTTTAACTGAACTAACAGAAAGTGGTTGTAAAACAGGCTGCGCGGACCTTGTACATCTCTGTGCAAGGGTTTTGACAGGGAGCGTACCCATGTGACCAGAGGTGTGCAAGGAGACGAGGATGATGCATCGCTGATGTAGTGGACTGCGTATTTTTTTCCAAAATAGGAATTCAGGGGCGGATTGGGCGATCGGGCGAGGGCCGGTCGGACAAAAAATGAAAAAAAAATAATTTTGTCCAATTCGTCTAAATAAAACCTTTTTTCTGCTGAACATTATATGGGGGGCGGGGGTATTGGACCGGCCATGGAGCGATGATGATCATGTTGTATGTGGCCGGTGGCTTTAACGGGCCGCCACGCCATCACTGGAGTCTGGAATGGGCTGGTATAATAGACTTTCTGGGCCGGGTGTGCTGGGTGTGGGCCGGAATTCGGAATCTTGCAATGGGGATTCCGAATTTCATCCGAAAATTTCATCGGATTCACCCGACACTGTCGCCTGCAAATTTACTAATTATTAAGTCAACAGCACCCTGTTTGTGGGGATACGCCAGAAAAATCTGCCAATGATTCGTATATCCAAAAAAAATTCAGTTTTAAGGCCCCAGCAAAATTTGGTGATAGCTGGTCTGCTGGCTGAATTTGACAGAGATTATAATCAGATATGCCACCAAATCGCATATTTGGGGTTCATTTTTCAAAATTTTCCCGGAGGAGAGCACCCGGACCCCCCGCCTGGGGTCCGCGGCCAGTAAAAGGGGCCGCTCCGACACGGGAGCCCGGGCCGGTTCCCGGCCCCAATCCGCCCCTGTAGAAATTTCGTTGTTTTCGTTCCTGGCTACTTCTGGCTTGTTATGGTTTCTTTTTGATTTTGTCGGGGCCGCTCCGACACGGGAGCCCGGGCCGGTTCCCGGCCCCAATCCGCCCCTGTAGAAATTTCGTTGTTTTCGTTCCTGGCTACTTCTGGCTTGTTATGGTTTCTTTTTGATTTTGATATCAAACTTGTTTACTTTGCTAGATTTGTCTTGAATCTCATGACAGAACTTTCCAATGACCCAAAAGTGACTGCACGCAACATTAACGATTTACCACAAAAAGTGGTACTGCGTGATAGATTTCTCTAAACTGAAATCGACCAGAGTTTGACACCGGAAATTGGTGTTTCCAACCGGAAGTCAATCAAAACTACTTCCAGTGTATCATAGATGGGATCGGTCTGATGAAAAATACACCCAGAATGAACTTCAGATCAAGAAAACTCAACGATTATTGGCTGAAATCAATCCAAGTTTGACACCGGAAATTGGTAGCCTATTTCCCACCGGAAGTCAATGGAAACTCGTTCCATTCGCTTTAAGTGTATCATAGATGGGGTCGGCATGAAAAAAACCCCAACAGAATGAACTTCAGATCACGAAAATCCAAAGATTATTGGCTGAAATCAATCTGAGTTTCACACCGGAAATCGGTATGCCCCACCAGAAGTCAATGACAACTACTTCCAATCGCTTTAAGTGTATCATAGATGGGGCGGCATGATGAAAAACACGACAATGAACTTCAGATCACGAAAATCCAAATATTATTGGCGGAGATAGCCATGTCCTTGTTCAGAGGTGTCCCGATTTCAAAAATTCCCTAACTGGAAATCAATGAAAACTACTTCCAATCGCTTTAAATGTATTATAGATGGAGTCGGCATGATGAAAAAACACGGGAATGAAATTCAGATCATGAAAATCCAAAGATTATTGGCGAAGATAGCCATGTCCTCGTTCAGAAGGGTCCCGATATCAAAAATGCCCCTCCCAGAGGGGTCAAGAGGTCGGAAAATTTTAACCCAAACATTTTTGGATAGCTTGGTCCCTAATCAACTCAAAACAAAAAAAATCAATTTTAGCACACAAATCCTACACTATACACCAAATTTGAACATTTTGTCTCAATTTGCAGGAGAGTTATTGTGTCCCAAAATGTGTTGCGGACAGACAGACGGACGGACAGACCTATTTTAATAGTCCCGGGGGACAAAGAGGTTATTGAAACAAGGGCATTACCGATTAGATCCTAATCGATATTATTTATCTTTAGCTATATCAATATATATATATATATATATATATATATATATATATATATATATATATATATATATACAATATATATATTATTTTACTTAATACAGTACAGATTTTATTACAATAGAAGAGAGATAAAAAAAATAAGTAATGTTATGTGAAAAAAATGGCGATTTGAAGTGATCGAGCACTTATTCAAATCGGACTAGACCCTTAAAGTGGTGTATTTCAAGTTGATTATAGATTCAGGTTTAAATAAACACTTATTAATTGTTTGGATATTTCTAACAAGCCCATTATAATCAATCATTATACATAGGTCAACATGTTAGTGCACCCATTACTAGGACGTATATTATCTGTATTATCCGTATTATCTGTATCAACAACCACAGAAAAAAAAATGTGCTGTGGAGCTTGGTGTTTGACTTGATTATTTTAGATTCGTGGGGATAGTTATTATTTTCTGATGACAAGACATCAATATCTACGAAAAGAGATATACATATATATAGAAGATGAAAACGATTTAATGTAAGCTAACGATAGTAGCCATGTTGTAAAAATAATGGTAGAGTGACTTTCAAACCAACATTTTTTTTATGATAGGTCAAAACGGAACGCAAGTGTTGTAAATAATGGTACAGTAATATTCAAACCTATATGTTTTTTAATGTTAATAACGTGATATAATTTCACCAGAAAGTCAAATAATTCTGTTATAAAAGCTTCACTGAAATTAGTGTCAATTAAAAAGGACTTAAGAAATAAATGTAAAGGAAAACGATAAATAGTACATGTAGATGGATCGTAACATTTTATTTGGCAGTAATTCATGTTGTCAAGACGTATTCTTCACAAATCTGGCCCAGTTTCAAAAAAACATTCTCAGACTTAATTTAAGAATTTACTCAAAATTGTTCGCCTAAAATATAGCCCTTTATAAAACTTATGTTGTTTTAATGTAACAAATACATAAGTAAGAAACCGTGTGCATTTTTGGTGTTTATGGATCAAAGATATTTCTCATAAATAGTGATTGAAAGTTGAGTAAATTCTTAACTTATGTCTGAGAATGCTTTGTGAAACCGAGTTCAAAAAAATAATTTACTGCTTGAGATATTTCTGCTTTTAAAAAAAGGGCAAATATGACTCATTCTTTTTTCATATCAAAACGATACCCTTCTCTCCCCCGTCACCAAAAACAATGTAATTTGATTCGATCAGGAATCGGTAGCCGAAGCGCTACTTATCGTGTTGTTGTTCTTCCTGTTCTTGAAGATGACGCTCTTCGGAAAAATTCATGTGCGATCTACGTGAAACTTGTCATGCTTGTTCTTCGGCCAATTCCAACATGGCTGCGATGACGTCTTGGTCCATAGTACGGTGGTACTATTAACCTTTTAAACAAACGTAGAGATCCGGGTGTAGTTCGACCTGATACATGTTCGTAATACTTTTAAAAAATCAGTCATTTCTAGAGTACTTAGGCCTATCTCTAGAAATGTAAGACCTGGGAGATTTTTAAGCCCCAGCCTCCCCAAAAATTCTTAAACCTCAATTAGCATCAATTAGTACACATTTAATCCGACAAGGCCGTAACCTCGGTGGCCAAAACATCGGTCTATACCGTCCTACAGATATCTTTACTAGATTATATAAACTGTTATTTCTAAAACATATGAATATCAAATGTTAAAAATTCAAAAATAACCTAGACATAAATACTGAGCGCTGGCAGTCCTGGCAAGTAAGTAGCATACATTCGGATAATTTCAAACACGACGATGGTGCACGGGAACTGGTGACGTATTACTCGTATCACTAGACACGTCTCCTTTAAATTCAGTATCACCCATCATCGTCCATGTTTCTAATAAATCACTAAAATCGGGTGGTTTGGGTGAGTTTATCACATGAACATGGGCACTGTGGCATTTCTTAGTTAAGTGTTCAGGTTGCTTCCAGAAGGACTCTGGAAAACGTCTCTGCTGCATCGGCACGGTTGACACAGATTTGCTTTCTCGAGTTTTTGCCTTCTTTTCATTGAAATATCCCTTTAAGCCATGTTCAAACAATTCCTTGAATGGTCCTAATCCCAGTCGTTTATCAAACCGTCCTGTGAAAGTGTGTCGATTATCTACGTCTTTTTGTATCGACTCAAAAACTACATCATCCTTGGCACTTCTGCTCATATCATTATCACCTTCCGCGATTCGCAATAAATCTCTATAATAGCGTTCACGCCCAGATTTAATTGTTTTCCATTTGTCAGCATAAATATCACACGAATCCTCAGCCCCTTTCTTTGGTCCAAAAAACTTTTTTATATCACTATTTACAAGATCAGCAAAGTCGAGAAGCTGACGCGTCATATCCGGTCCTGGACCGGAAGTGAGGAGCTCATGCTGGTAATCATCTGCTAAATCCTCCGAATAATGAGAATCGTGATCACTGAAATCATCGTCGTCGGCAAAAGTATCCAACATTTGTTGATCAAATCCAATGTCACTATCGCTAACCACCGGTTGAAAAGTCTTCCTCAACAAAGATGGTGGCACGTCGCAGATTGAAGTTATTTTGTGATTTTGAAAGGCAGTCATTTTGGTCGGAAAGTCGTGCATGTTGAATTATATCATGTTGCCGTGACAGGTAACATACGTTTAGATTCCGGCCTGAAAAATACAAGAAATTGATACCACAAGTAAAATAACAGTTCATTCATTGATCTATATATTAGCATATCTATATACACACAGCACGCCTACCAATTTTAAGCCCCTCTTATAATTTGTTGAGAATTGAATATTATGTTTGATATAAGCAATACATTCTATATATAAAACAAATACAAACTTAAAGTTGCTCTTTCTTAAAGTCAGATAATTTGACTATCAGACTTTATATTATCACTTTGTAAGACCGTGGTCTTAATCCCATAAAGAGCTATAGAGATGGGTGGGTGTTTTTGAAGGGTCTGTCAAATTGATCGATGGACTTTGATCTCAGTAAGTAGAAAGGGTGTTTTACCTTAAACAAAAACTCAGGTGTTGTATAGAGACCCCACATTGTACGTCTGACAAACAAAGAAGTTCGGGATACAGGTAATTTACAAACCAGACTAGTTACGACTACGAATTCTCAACCTGTCGTTTGTGGATGGGTGGATAGGGAGGGGCGGGGATTGTTGTTGTTTTTTTCTGTTTGGGCCAACAATTCTAATTAAAGATATGGTCATTTAAATTTTACATTGTTTTATATTATTTGTATTCATATCGATTCTTATAGTTATATGGTTAAATGAGCTACACCTCCTATTTAGGCCAAAATAAAGCACTGAATTATTAGGTTACGTCGGTTATTGATGGGTCGTCCATACTCTTAAAAAGATGGAGCTGAAGTCTTAAAAGCTGTTCTCTGAGAATCATAATCTATACCATGTTATAAATAACCCTAATGTCAATACACATTTTTTTTTTATCTAAAGAAGCTTTATGGGTATACATAATTGTTCATGTTACAAAAATCTATCCATCATTATTTTGGACAGAATATTCATGAATGGTATATGTCCCTTTCTCGCGGCTATACTTGGTCACCACAAGTTACCTTTTCTTTACTTAAAAATGCACAAGTTAAGGGGGGTAAATCGCTAATATTTTGGATCAAGAAATTGACACAACTGGGTCGCAACGCATATAATAAGGTAATATGAATGTATATAAACTGATTTACTTTCAATCGTTTCCGTTTTTACTGTAATTTCTAATCAGTTATGTTCGGCGAAATACGCCAGAAGTCTCAATCGAATGGTAATCTCTAGGGTCTGGTTATTCAAGTCTACACCGATAGTATTTATAGCGCATGCTCTCCAGATATAAATATGTCGTCGCCGTTTGACATGACTTTGACTTTGACAAGTCCCTTGTTACAAATGGCCCTGAAACGCATTATGGTACACGATTCGTGTGACGTGTACCAATGGTAAAATGTTTATTTTGTCTTAAATATTGGATATCAGAAGCCCATCTTTTCCCTGTAAGATCACAACATCAATGTTGATTTAAATTGACAAATAATTCGTGTTTTGGATGATATTGAGTTAGAGGCTTAGCTACTTTAATGACGATAGAAATTGGTAGTGGTTATGAGAGGGCTACGAAGACTGCCTTATCCCTTTATACAGTTATTCAATGACTATTGTCTTTATATGACACTAGCAGGATATCCGGCTTCGCTCGGGGGTCATAACAACGAAACCGGAAGTGGTAGACTAACGCCACCTGGCCTATGTTACTCCCCGTCCGGGCTACCCCTATACCCCAAATTTCAGACTCGGGGCAGACCTAGTGTAGCCGCCAACCGCGAACAGACCGGCTTCGCTCGGGGGTCATAACTCCGAAACCGGAAGTATAGACTAACGCCACCTGGCCTATTTTACTCCCCGGTCCGAGCTACCCCTTTACCCCAAATTTCATACTCGGGGCAGACCTAGTGTAGCCGCCAACCCCGAACAGACAGACAAACAGACAGACAAACGACAGTCACAAATATATCTATATATAGATAGATTACTAAGCATTGTATAAGAACTAAATCTGCCTATTGCAGATCTTTTTTTCGTTCGGATAATCGAGACTTTGTTTATTATCATAACAACGGTAGCAATGAAAATCGAGACTACGCTATTCCCCAAACGTTCATAATTTCGCTCAGAATGAAGTAATTTGACTGAAATTTCCATATATTCCTTTTTCATTATTTATTTTTAAACTATTGTAGCTTTAATATGTGGCAGCTCTTCGGGACAGAACCGAGGTCTTGATTGAAATGGTTGTGGAATAAACGGAATATTCCAGATAGTAATTCAGAATTTCGGGTAGCCAATTAAAGAACATAATTATATCATAGTTAACGTTACACAGAAGAACATGCCCAATAACTTAAAGATACATTATGGGAGATTAGATAAAGAGCTGATAATTCTCACTATAATAGTTAAAAACTAGATAATGTAAAGGGCATTTGCTGAAAATGTCAGCCAAATTAATCCACTCTGAACCGAGAATTTAGTGATTGAATTTTCGGCCTAGGTTCTATCATCATTACTAAAGTCGGCACGATAAAAAGATGGTCTCGATTATCCATTTCTTAATTTAATCATGAATGAAAATTGAGCAGCAAATCGGATTCGAATCGAGTAAATATCTCAGGCTAGCGATGACATCGAGTGTTGATTACGGTCTGGTTAAGTTAATTAATGTCTAATTAATAATTTAGATAACATTTAAGGCCTAAAGAAAGACCTGCAATAGGCAGATTTAGCTCCTGTATAATGTATTTTTAACTTGGTCGTCAATAATACGCCTGAGATTTGCGCGCTGTGGTATACCCGGGATGTATAAATATTATTCAGACAAACGAAAATGTGTGGTTGATATAATCTGTAGAATATTTATTCTTTTTTATTATGTATATTCTAGACTTGGAATATTACTTTCGATAAATCACACTGAAACAACATTATAAACAACCAAGAAAATTAGCCACTAACGGACAGTTTATGGGCAGTTTATGGGCAATTGCAATCTGTTTGTTATTTGAATCCCGTACTGACATTTGTATTTTGTGACCATATTAAAGATGCATTACTCAAGAGCTAAATCTTCCTTAAATGTTAAGATAATCAATAATCAAAGCACACATATTGTCAAAACTACAAAACGTGATAACTTCGCTCAGCATAAAGTAATTTGAATGAAATTTTCAATATATTCATTTTGCATTATCTATTTTTGAACTATTATAGCAAGAACGGTCAGCTCCTTATCTAAATCTTACCTAATGTATCTCTTAATACATTTATTTTCTTAGTGCCTCTTTAATAATAATAATAATAAAAAAAAACATTTACACGGATATTCATGTACATTATCTGAATTCTGTAATATTTGTTTGCACGAACAGCAAACATTTGACATAAAAATTCTAAAATCCACCCAATTTGAAGATATAAAACAACGTCAAATGATAACACGGCTAACACCAATCGTGGGTTTTCATGATAACCATACCCTATGATAGCATTTCTAATTGATATCAATTAGAAGATTGATTTTAGCGACCAGGTGGTAGCTTTAATTGTGTGAGTTATCGTGTATTATCTCTGTTGAATAAACTTGTCTATTAGTAGCTATTAAAATGTTTCTTTCTCGAAGCTCTTTGACGGTTGATTATATCGAAAATCGACGGGATTAATTTCCATACGGATTAACCGTAGAATATAGAATTATAAACTTTTTGATTTTTGAATTTATATGTTTAATATTACAAATAAGAATGATTTCTGTTAAGAGAATTATTTTTGTTTCTATGGTTATACTGGGACAGCAGTGTGTGTACTGGAACTAGAAGATAATTTATACAGGTCACAATTCTATGGAATACAATTACTGCGTATTACTGAGCGACGTTTCGACTAGGCTTCCATAGAATTGTGACCGGTATACTCCAGTTTAATTACTAAATTCCATTGAAACAACTGTGAAATGTGTAACTACTTTTCTGTACCAACCGGGAAAATGTCTTTCTGAAAGGTGAGCATGCGTCACGAAATGCTACGGGGGACATTTTGACCTGGCAGCGGCGTTACGTACTTTTATTTCTATTTCCAACTGCCAAGTGATCTTTATACGGACCTCAGTTTTTCGTCGCGTCCAAACGACAATACACTAACCCTTGCCAGGTATTCTGTCCTGCACAACTGAACGTCACGATAAATACACAACTATCCGTTTCGTGAAATTATCACGGGACATCTCTATCATAGATAGAGGAGTAAGCATATCCCACATCTTGCCAAAGCTTTTGAATTTGAAGGAAAGATCTAACTAAATTATAGTATAGCTAGGGAAGCGACGGTGCTTCATACTGTGCTTTATTCAAATTATCTTTAACTTTACAATTCAAACAAAATATTATAAATGTTAAATTACTACGAAATAACGCAATTGATAATTATTGGTCATTGTTGTAATAATTATTATTAATTGTTTAATTATTTGTTAATATGTACTCAGTTATTTTGTTGTATGGTTGAGTACATAATTTTAATAAATTCGGATATTGTTAACTGTTTATCAGAACTGTTAAATATTATTTTTGAATTTTGTTGAGTAGTTTTTATTCAGTTATTGGTTAACTGTTATTATTATCCATATGTTTTTATTTATTAAGCAGTTTAAATCTTTTTATTAACTTATTATAGTGTTAGTTATTTTGTTATTATTATTATTATTGAGTTATTAGTATTAATTTATTCTGTTGTTATTATTTTGATTAAACGTGGATGTTTTTTGCTTTTTATGCAAGTAGACTACTAGACTATGTTAAATTTCATACTAAACCGTTTTAGTGTTTTTTCCGCAGTTTATTTAGTGGTACTAATGTCTGTTGTACCATCTGTAATTATTATTTTGAAAATGACGACTGGTTAAGAGGAGGAACCATGTCTACTTATTCGGAGTTAATTCTTGCCGGGGGGTTGGGTAGTCGAATGGTTAGCAGTGCGCTGTATCGTAAGGCCTGTCATTGAGTCAACTGGCGTGGTTTCGAATCCCCGGTTGTACGTGACAAGGAGTAGGGTCGCCTGTCCAACCTGCTGGGTTTTCTCCGGGTCCTCTGGTTTCCTCCCACTGCTAAAGACCCCTACGTGCAAGCGAATTATTGAAATAAAAAATTACCATATTATGTTAGTCTCGGAATGACCTAGTTTGAGTCGAGTGGACGTTAAACCCCATTTCTCTCTCTCTAATTCTTGCCTTGTCGCCGAAACCTTCGAAACGCTGTGCAGATCGGATTTGTTTTGAGATTTTTATAGTCCAACTTGAGACTGTGTGTTTTTTTTGAAAGAACGAACGCTATGCCAAGGATTACATTAATTGACATTTTCTGCAATTTTAACCCGAAAACAAAACATCTTGTTCAAAGAATGAATGATTTACACTAAACTAAAACGATATATTAATACAATTATAACTATACCCCCCTGTTTGACAACCGATAAGTTTTTATTATTTACGATTGTTGACCAAACGTCAAGTTGTATTAAGGTGGTATTACACTATATTAAAATTTGCCATGTTCACTGGTATAGAAATACTTTCAGAAAACACGCGTTTATCATTAAAGAAATGTAATAAAACAAAATCTGTATACAACTTTATTTGAATTTTATGATTAATGAGACATCAGCGAATCAGAACATTACATTATATAATAAACTATACATCTTTTTGTTGTTCTTTTATCTAACGTTTTAAATTTATATAGTGTTTTAAAACAGGTTTTTTGTCGTTTATCACCCAACCTTAATACAAACATAATTTACATGACAGAAATAGGCATTAATTATACATCTTGTGTCTACATTTGGAAATAAATCTACAAATAAATATATTTTAAATTTAAAAAAAAACAACGCTATTGCCATACTAAGCTCTCGCTACGTCACTCGAGAAGTCAACAAGCCGAAAGCCTGCCAATGTGTGACATCCTTACATTTTTCCCATGCGCGCACATTGCTGTTTTTCAAAGAGTAAAGTATTTTTCTAGTCAGATTAGGTGTTTATACTTTCCATATATATTAAATTTGACATACTTTTATTGAAAAAAAACCTCCCCTATAAATACTCTCGTAGAAATGCATTTATAAGAGCAGTTACTCTGGCAAATGTTGCTTTTAGATTTCACACAAACCCAATGAGGGCATAAACATTACATACTAGGTCTTGTGTTAGAAGAAATATCCCATTTGTCCATTATTGGTAACCATATATACCCGTCCTCAAAAGCCCGGTCGGAGCAGACATAGGCGTACGAGCTATTTGGACACCAAATGCTGGGAAAATTAGGGCACACAATTGTACTTTGTAAAAGTTGTATAAAAAATATTTTGTTCTTGAATGTGTCCAATTTAACAGCGAATTTATTATTATTATGTAACATACTAAGAACCTAACTACATTCTTTGGGCACCAACCACCACCGCCCCCCCCCCCCCCCGTCAAAAATTTCCCCGTACGCCTATGGGAGCAGAACAGTAGGATGTTAAACGCCATTTCATTTTTAATCAAATATAATAAGCGGCATTTAGTAATTGAACACATTCAAATAAAACGAAATGAAAAGGGAATGAGGTTTAACGTTTAGCACCATTGAAACAGGGGCGTTTCCACTTCCTCATCGAATTCCAGCTGTCGAGAATAATGTAACGTACACGCCAAATGCACACGGGGCCTCGGTTGCTCGTCTGGACATTGTTCCTTGTCAGATTCTTCGTCCTGAATCACTGGCTGAGAAATCCCAAGGATTGAACCCGGGACCTCCCAATAAGTTAGACATCACCTTATACACTAAGTCAAAGTGGCTCCTTAAAATAAAACACAATCGATTCTATGGAAGACATTTACTGAATCTCTTTTCAAGCATTAAAATTCCCAATTTTTATACCAATTCTAATGAGAGAGAGAGAGAGAGAGAGAGAGAGAGAGAGAGAGAGAGAGAGAGACGTCCACTCGACACAAACTAGGTCAGTTCGGGACTAACACATGGTTCAATTGTCGCTTGCGCGTAGGGGTCTTTGGCAGAGGGAGGAAACCAGAGGATCCGGAGAAAACTCACGAGGTAGGGCAGGGGACCCTACTCCTTGTCACGTACAACCGTGGATTTTAAAACCACACCAGTTGACTCAATGACAGACCTTATGATACAATTAAGTGGTTTCGCTAATGTTATCATTGTACATAGAGGACTATATTTTGTTCTTTCTAACTGTATCAGCATTGTGCTGGAAAACAACAAGAAAATCATTGTAGAAACATAACCCCAATTAATATGCAGTAACTGTCTTCCATAGAACTAATGTGATTATTTCAATAGACGGATATATTTATATGTCATCGTGTATTACAAACCTATCCCTATCTATTAACCGAATCAGATAGGTTTGTAGACAACACTTGGCCATAAAAATCAGACCATATTTACCTTAGACTAATACATACCTTAAATTTTATTCCATTAAATATCGAATATCCAGATAGCCCTCCTCGAATCTTAACTGTCCAGACTGATATTTGACAATAAACGATTTTGAGAATCAGTTATAGCACAAGCTGAATTGTAGAATTCTGATATTAAGACAGCCATTAGGGTTGTTTCAATTTTATCAGTGTTATCATACCTGCTATAGTAAGATATTAGTTGGCTAAATATAATGTCAACATGTAGATTACCTTGTCAAATATCCACCAATCGTGCACATTCTCCTTGATATTAACATCATTTATCTTTCAATGATTGGCCACCCTTTTAAATTTTGACAGGACGGGGAAAACACGTTTTGCCATCGGTAATAACTCCCTTTAAGTGAAAAGCAAACATTCAACTATGGCAGTTTCATAAATCTTTTCATAAGAGTTTGTTTCTGTAATAATTGTAAAATTTGAAATAACATGGACTTTATTGAAGGATCAGTCTTTTGTCAATTCAAAGGGTTATTTCGTGGAGGTATACATGTCCCTGGGTAGTTGAACTATAAATTTTGCTATATCACATATTTAAAGCGTTAGAAATGAGAAAAATGAAACTGAACGGACAGTTCAGAACGTTTAAACAATAATGTGCGAAAGTTATGGAATGGTCAACAAACTAGCTGGGAATTATTAAAGAAAATTTCTCCGACAATTTATCCTAGACAACGGTGTTTCCATCTACTCTTCGTCAAATTCCAATGTTTTATAATCATTATGTTCACGGACTCAATATGTTTTACTTCCCATCCGTACCTGTACATCAGAACCGTAGGACTTCCACGGTCCTTACAGAAATATTATACTGCATCAAACGGAATCCGTATTTGGTGAGGCAAATACATCATCATCATCATCATCATCATCAATTCCTGTTATCCCCTTTGGCTGTTTGTTTTGCTTCTTCCCAGGATATAATTATGTCAAGCCTAATTCAGTTCAGCATCTATAGTTCGACGCCATATGGTGGTTGGGCGCCCCCTCTTTCTCTTGCCTTGGGGGTTCCAGTCAAATACAACCCTTCGTAATAGTCATATATCAAATTGTCATATTTTTTTTTAAAGATTTGTAGCAAGCAAAAGGGTTAATTCTTATTTTTTATTTCGATAATACATTAGGGAAACCAAATTTTGGTTGAGCAAACCATCACGGCATTGGTTGCACCGCATTTATCGATAAACATTGACCGAACAAAATATGTATTTCTCAAAAATTCTCTACTTCAATCGAAGATATATATAATGTTGGTCTGAAAATATTAGGATATGTTTCTTTGAAAATATGTTATTTTTGCTTGAAAATATGTTTTTTTTACCTGACATTATGTAATTTTTGCTGCTATAGTAGTTCCAGACACATCGGGGTACGGAGACTAAGAGGAAAAAACGTGTAAGACCATGGGCACTGAATTAAGGTATAGAGCAGGTGGTTAATTTTCAAACTCAAATGTATTTTGTGTTTTATCGTCAAGCTACGTTTCATTATTGATTGGACAGAATAAAATTATTAAAATAACGATGTGTCTTTTGCATTTTTCGCAAAAATATGAAATTTCTCACGACTCAATCCACGATATACACTCAGATTGATTATTAAACATTTAATCAATCAACAGATAATCAATCGGAGCGGGCTTATTACATAGCGACCTGCATAGATCGATCAATTTACAATTCAACATTTATCTGTATAAATAAATATTCCTATTACAGATTCACCTTTAACAATATTAAATAATGAGCAGCGTAGATCAATGAAATTTCAATTCAACATATTTTTGTAAATACTGAAGGGAACTGAGCATTTTTTGAACTGATATTCCTTAGAGATTCACCTTTAACAATATTGTAATTTGCAAGGTATTCTTATTTAGCTAAATTGACGCAATGAGACATTCATTTTCAGAGCCATTTAAAAAACGAAAACAAACCAACTAAGAGTAATTTACAAGCAAGGGTATTTCCGTTCAAAATAACCCGAACTCTGTTATTTATATTCGTTCAGCATCTTATTATTAACTTACTGTATAAGGCTACGAAGTTGGATATTTTCTGTAATATGCAAATACAAAATTTATGTTTGCCAACCAAAACGTCTTGTAAATGTAACAGTTACACTTTTTTAAAAGGGTTTAGGTGATATAATATTCGTTTTGAAACAAATTTTAATGTAACAGTAAAACTTTTAATATTAAAAACATTTAGGTGATATAATATTAGTTTTAAAACAAGTTTTAATGTAACAGTAACACTTTTTAAAAAAGGTTTAGTTAATGTAATTTTCCTTTTAAAACAAGTTTTAACGTAATCTACGGAATTATTTTAATATTAAAGTTATCTGTATTGCGTCACAGGCCTGTGCCGAGGAGAACATTTCCACGTCATATGGTTTTAGAAATCTAATATCCCGATTCAATTTATTCTACAAAACCATATTCTGATGTCATTTTAAAATAACAGAAATTGCAATATTTCTGGAACCTGTATAATATTTATTTGAATATTCGCCTATTTCTAAGAGATGAAGTGAACTCCGACACACTGCCTGGTATCACAAACTTCTTTCCAAGAATGGCATCAGAGTTTTGTATTATGACTTTTCTATTGCTTATTTCCAGTTGAATCTGTGGAAGGGAGGATGGGTACATTTTGCAACAGAACATGCCGAATTTAAAACTCTACAGAGTAAGCCGGTTTCGCTGACAAAACCCCCTAATCATTCCGGAGCATATGGTCTTAATTGAGTGTCAACGCAACTGAAGGTTGCATATTATATAGAAATTGGACATATTATGTACTTTGAATTCGAAGACAAAAGAATGATGTATCAGAATTTACCTTATTACAGTCAATGACTCAAACCCTTTCTTCATCATCTGCATTCAAGTTTAATCTATACTGGGTGTCATATAGATATTGTGGGAGGAGTTATATTTTATAGATCATATTGATTGACAACCTAGTTATAAACATGAATTTATTTAACTAAATATTAATAACCGAAGTTTTAAAAATATGGGTTATAATATATGTTCTAGTACTGAAATGGGTCTTATGTGATCTTGAAGGAGCCTTTTTGTTGATAAACTAGAATTGTTATATAAGCAATAATTCAAAATTCACGGAACAAAAACAAAAATCCCAATAAATGAACAGCAAAATAAACCAATTTCAAAATGTTCAAAGTAAGAACAAAAGAAAAATTTTAAAGTTTAAAACGGATTGATTTTCAGGTACAGTTAAGACAACTTCGCACATGAAGTGTGTTATATAAACAGTTCATTGTGAATGAAAAAAGATCAATTTATTACAGAAAACTCACACAAAATTAGTTGTAAAAGGGTTTTTTTTCTAGATTGACTAACAAATAGCATGATATGGATCCGTTTCATCTTTGCGAACAGATGCAACAGTGACCTCGGTGTCGTTGAAATTACTCCTGGACCATGATCGAACTCAAAATCAAAAACATCGTGTTCATCACATCCATGCTAACCAGGGTAACATATATGTCGAAGCACAGCAGAAAGAGGTCCACACATAATTTTTTGGAATGGCTTCACCTGCTCAACCCCCTATTCCATCCACCCCTGTGAAATTGAAACAATGTGTTTATAGCAAAATTAAGATGACTTCTGCTGATTGCATTGGACCTACTATCTACGCGAGGATGTTTAGATTAAAATATGTAAATCACATTATCTCAACTGTTAATTACAAGCAATCAAAGGGCGGTAAGACAAATATTATTGTCTAATAGAAATTCATGAAATACTCTTCAGATTAAACACTATAAGCTTTGATATTTTAACTTTAAAATTAAATCCTGGCCATCTTTGCATTAACTTGTTTGCTAATTTGAAACCATTCGGGTTTGTATTCGTCTTTGTAAAATTAATACAATCTGCGCACAGAGAGCTAGATCTCCGCCATATCCAAAAATTAGGGTACTATTTTGGAATGTGGTTCTACTCCGCCATGCACACACAGACTAAATAAACCCTTTCAATTTTATTAAATTGAAGGGGAAAAACACTTCTCAAAATTCTTGAAGTATGCTTAGTGTTTTCGACTAAAATCGTCGATTTGGGAATTAAAATATTGATCAACTAGCCCAGTGTCTGTTCTTAAGCGTAAGCATAGTATGTTTTACAAATATATGCACAAAATATATGCTAAGAATTTTTTAATCTTTTTCTTTTGCATGTTAAATTGACTCGATTACTATGAAGATATGCAAAGAGAAAAACGATAAAATGGGGCACATTAATGGTTTTAAAGCGTGGAGAGACCTGATCCAAGGGTTCCTTCCCCTCATGGATCTATCACTTTCAGATCTAAACCTTTATCAACATGCGGATGGAAGCACATTAGGCTTAACACTTGTTTGCTTTAATCACATAATATCTAGTGTTTATATGTATATCATTATCTACAGTAGCAGTACGTTAAGTAAATTTCACCTAATCAAATAATCTACAGCATAATGTAAACGTTGTGTCTAGCAGCCAAAGTAAACCAGCATCTATGAAGATAAAGGACCAAGGGTTTTCGCCAATATCTATTGTAAGATTATTATGGTGTTGCCATTTATTAATCTGACACTTGGTTAGTTGACAGGTAGAACTATATTTTATAACACTTTATAACTAAAGTAGTGAGAGAATTATCAGCTAGCTGGCGAGAAAATCTTCATTTAACCTTCACGCCTAGAAAACATTAAATACGTCATGTTCTCTGTTGTGAGGTTACCGTGTATAGCAAACTCAAAGGAAAATCAATACTGTTATCAATTTATCATTAATATATTTCTGACTCTGTGTAATATGGCTAATAATAATAGTTTGATATTTTATAACTCCAAAATCCCAATAAAATAACATACAGTACAGTCAACATTTCCGACCAAGCGTCAAAGGGGGGGGGGAAATTTTGCTATAGAGAGAGAGAAAAAAATGGGGTTTAACGCCCACTCGACACAAACTAGGTCATTTCGGGACTAACATATGGTTCAATTTTATTTCAATAATTCGTTAGCAGTGGGAGGAAACCGGAGGACCCAGAGATAACCCACGAGATTGGACAGACGACCCTATCCTTGTCACGTGCAACCGGGGAAACAAAACCACGTCAGTTGACTCAATGACAGACCTAATGATACGCTCGGCGGTGTGCTATTTAATGTTCATGAAATATAAAAAGTTATATATTGTTTTATTGTATTTTTCTTACCCTGTCTTTCAGAAATCTTGCATATAACCAACTGTTCTCTACCATGCATGGGGGCTCCGTGTTTGTTTGGCCCTCAGTCCTTGATCCCAATGCCCCGGTATGTCCATTCATCTGTTAAATACGCGTTGAATTTAAATGACGCCTTTTAAATGACACATGATCTTGGGAATCCGAAAATGTGTATAAGAAAATAATAGTGAATAGGCCTATGTCTGATATCCCGAAACAGGCCCCTGAGAACCATACCGTGTTCTGAAATGTTAATACAATAAATAACAACGGGCGCCATAGAGAACCCTTGGGTACTCCAGCATGGATAAACTTTAATAGTATATATTTCATATGCACAGTATTGCTTTCTTTTAACAATTAGCAACTTCACGTGAAAATGTAACCTTCACATTTTTTACAACAAAACACAGCACAATAACGGCTATAACTACTTCTATGTTATTTAATAACGATGTTTCGTAACACACACGTCACATTTTCAAGTTAAAATCTATCATATCAATAATTGACAGAAACTACATGACGAATGGTCGTCGAAACTCTTTCCAGATTTTATAACTTACAATGTATTCGTTACTTCATTTCAATGACAAAAAGAGATAAGGTTGCATTTTTCCATTGTAATTTATTTATTCAAAAAAAGATGAAAGGGACAAAGGAAATAATATATATTGAATAATTAATCTTCGTGGAGGAAAATGTTTTTGAATACTAATCTATTAAGATAAAATAACTAAAAAAAAATACAAGTGGGAAATTACTTAACATTGTTAGGCATTGATAAGACGAACAGTAGTTTGAAACACAAATAATTAAATCAAAGATTTCAGAAAAAGTTTGAGATCATTAATAATGTGGAGGACTGAAAGCTAATCCCTCTGATTTTATTTGAGTATTTGTATAATAAAAGCAAGGTAATCTGTTAAAGGATATGACTTGCATCGCTACGCGCCAGGGGAACATTCTTAAAACTCAAATTATCGGTGGGAAAGTCTCTTATCAAATGTTTAAAGAATTAAGGTGTTCAAGTTTAGATTAAAAGACGACATACACAGACATTGATCACGTTTTCTTCAAGTTTAATAAAAGTCATACTGAGTTGAATTCAAAATTATTTTAAAAATAAATATTAGGTTTTCGGAATCGCTGAACTCATATCTGAACAACGTAATGTCCTATGATCGAAATAAACGACAGTACGGTTCTCAAACCCGACATTATAGCTAAGTTAAGGAGATCATGGAAAAAATATAGTAATGTAAAAACATTTGTATCAAGGACAACCAAACCAAAGATATTCTTCCTCTTGTATTCTTATAAGAACATAAGTTATACACGGTCAAACACAATCAACTATCAGACCATCGTCAGTTGAAAGCAAATGTTTCTAAAAGCTAACTGGTGATCATATATTGGTATTGTCCAGCCTCACATATTTGTCGCTTAAATCACTGGAATACTCGCAATCGGTATGAACCTTGACAGTAACGAATCTTGACCTAATACATAACCAGAAATACATCAGGGCGGCCATCTTGAATAATTAAATTTCCCTAGGGTGGCATCATCTGGATTCTGAATCTACACATATCGAAGATTTATAATCCACCGAAACCCTATATTTCAATGTATTACACACCTTTTTAGGGAACTTTATGAGTTCTCGCCAAAATGATCCCCAATTTTGAATTTGGCCGCCTAGTGGAATTAACCTTCACTTTTAGGAGGAATATCTAAGCTCGTTGGATTCAGTAGGTCGAATTCTTATAGAACTCACCTTCAAACTGAGGTCCGAGAGAATCTGTCACAAATTTTACCCCACTAAATAACCAGAAAATGCCACACCTGTTTCGGAATTTGAATGATCAAATTTTAATTTGATAAATGTAAGAAGAAATGCAAAGCATAATGTATAAATGAATGAAATAAAATTGGATTCAACGTCTTACTGTCAGGGTATCTTTAAACTGCTGAATGATATAGTATGTAAGGAACCTCGCTTTTTCGTCCCATTCGAAGGACTAAACGCGTATCCTGGCCTGAACCCCCGCCCGCCTGCACCACTTTCAGGGAAAAACTAGGCTTGAAAATCTCGAGGAACTGTCCGATTAATAGTCGGACTTCCTTGTTAGTTATTAACCTCACGGGGCAACTGTGTCTGGGTGCATAAACAAAGACAATGCAAAACATAAAAAGACAAATGTAAGCGAAAAAAAAATACTATATAAAAAACAATTATTGACTACGCATGGGTTTATCATATGAGATTTATTCACGAATGAACACGCGTGAGGAAATGATAATACATTCTAAATTTGTGAATAATAAACTGAAATATAATAGTGATAATAAAAAATAAGAAAATATGTTTTATGTTTGTGGTTGCTATTAGCTGATAACCTTTTTACAGAGAAATATTGATATTTAATATAAACGACTGTTCACAGATAGCAAATATGACACATTCATGACAAGTGTCTAATTTACAATGGAATGTTCTTCTGTCAAAATTCAAGTCGTCGTGAGATGAATCTCTTTAAAAACTTAGGACATTCCACCAACTCTAATGTAACTAATCTACACAAAAAGCTTTCTCACACTTCAAAGACAACAAGTGGTGGGGTTTAAAACGTCGGTGGTTTTATATTAATCCCATGTCTATTATTTTATTTTGATAAATGTTTTCAAATGTCATATTTTGTAAATAGAACGATCTGGTGAAATACTGATGAGCCGATATTATGGTTTCTTTGTGTATCATGTTGGAAATTTCTCTTTGTATTTTTTTTTGGAATGAAAACGGCGGCACTGTGATTGTGGCGCCTGCTCACTAACCAAGGGGTTCTTACCAGTTCTAGACTGTGTTTTATATTTCTTGTGGAGCTCAGTGTGGCTCTGGATCGCTAACCAGAAGTTTCCGGGGTTTGGGCATGGTACTGTCCCGAGAAGTTCCTTTGGGATTTCCAGCCAGGTTACCCGTAGCCATTTGTGCAGGACAGAACTTTACAGAAGGTCTGTGGCAAGGAAAGGCGTCTTGTTGTTCGCATAGTATGTCTCAGTTGAGTAAGACTTTAAAACCCATTTCATTTCATATATCCACACCAAGAAAATGCCTCAATTATATAATGGCGATAAATCTTTGCTTGCTACTCGTCCGATTTTTGAAGTTTTGACAAGATTGTTTATTGTCGCAGCAACGATACTTGTTAATCGAGGCTAAGCCTCGATTCACCAGCTTTAAATTAACTCACTAAAGGGCGATCGTGTTTCAATCCGTTTAAATCTTTGCCACCAGATTATCTAAGGAGTTGATTATATGCTTGTCATATGAATAAATGTCTAAATAATAGTTTTGAAGCCAAAATAAAGACCTGCAATAGGCAGATTTAGCTCTTACATAATGCATTATTTGTAAATCAACGACGTAATATACTGGACTATGGTTCCGATTTATAATGCATGCAAAAGTGTGCCGCAAGGTTCTGTTCTTCATCCGTTACTAAATCTAATTCATGCAAATAACCATTTTTTTTATGTCTGCATCATGTCCCTGTTATGTTTATGAATTGTCCAAAGTTTCATTAAGTGCTTGTATCAACTAGAAATGGTTCCACTACTGATGTCTTCCGCCTTACCCCAGCCACAGTAGTGGCTCGTCCCTATAGAGTTCCTTTGCGCAAGTTTTTAGTGAAATCACTACAAAAAAGGTTACTGGCCTATAGCTCCCTTAATTTACACACAAACTGACCCAAAACAGTAGTGCACATAGCTTAACATATAATAAATCAATTCCTATTGAAATAAAGGTGAAGCCTTACCGCATAATTATATGATTTGATGAAACCCAACTGCTACGCGAAATTTCAACTGCCGGCTGGTGTCATGGCGGATTGTGTAATACGTCATTACAAGAAACATCGTTATGCAAATGTAGAACGCATAACCACGAAGAAAAACTGTTCGGTAACTATTTTAGTGGTCCAGTCTTCACTATTTGTCAAAGAAATAATTATTCCAATACAAACTGTAATGATATGTGTTGACAATTGTGCGTTTGAACCTATTTGAACTTGCGTAAGGACTGTATCAATTGTAACGTTAAACACACAGTTTAACGTTACAAGTATAGTAACTAGTATCAACTAGAGGGAACACCAATATTGTTGCACACTGTACTGGAAAGTGGGTTTGATTATTGTTCTTCTAGAATATCAAGTACTGCCACTGACGCATTAATGACTTTTGAGATTTTGTCTTTGGCATGCGTATTGTTCTAATAAATTGTATCCCCATACATGCTTTAATTTTTTTTTATTTTTTATTTTAATTATTTATTTATTTATTTATTTTGGAATACTCGGCCAAACAAACCCGCACCTGTATCCACTCATACTAATATGATGTTCTGCAAATCGAAAATTATCTGATCCTAAACTCGTGTACATATTTTAATAATGCTGTAGTAAAACTTCCTCAACCCACCATCGTCAAACCAACGACGTTTACAGAAATGTGTTTTCTCCAAACCTTGGGAGAAATTTGTCATAAAACATAAATTTAATATCCAAAGTCCAAGAAGTGTTGTATGACAACCTGGTATAGTTTCAATTGTTCAGTTTGTATATAAATATAAATAAATATAATTTTCTTGGCAATTGTCGTCGGCAGCCATTGGTGACCAAGCGATGTTTAAGAAGGTCTAAGAACATAAAAATAAGGCATTTTTTAATATAACACATTTAATTCTATCAATGTAGTGATATTTTGAAAATAGTGATGTTTAAGACACTTTGATAATAGTGATGTTTAAGAAAATAACAAATATGTATGCAATTTTTAAAATAAATATCAAGATATTCACAGGTAAAATTGTGTAGAATACTAGTGTATATATATCAAAGTACATGTTCACTTTTTACTTAATCTGACAAAGTAATAGAGAGGCAAGACTTAATGATGACTTAAATAACAAAACAACATCATGGACAGAAATCACAAATTACACCCATTATAACTATCATCATAAAATATCAAAACTAATAATAAAAATCAATAACTATATAAAAATAAAAATATCACATATTCAATATTCCACGGAATGTCTGTTAAATAGATTTCAAATATAAGAATATCACATTGGCCTTTTGAAATACATATGAAAACATGCCAGTACAACAATGTCCTTATAAATATATTTTGGAAAAATAAATTTATAGAATCTTTTGGGTCTAATTTTTGTGTTCAAACAACTGACTATTTTATTAATATTTATTTCTTAATATTATTTAATTTTGGAAATTTTATTGATACCTTTGTTTTTCTTTGGCCAAAACAATTATCAATAACCATATTTACCCTTTAAGTTATAAGTTATGTTTTATAAAATAAATACAAGATATGCATCACACTAATAAAATATATTATAAACAAAAAACAAACACACATTTAGGATAAAACAAATACAGTTTGGTTAGAGACAGCAGTTGGGTGTGATTTAATGTAACATTAAACAGCAGTGAGTTCTTTAAGGCACTAGGAATGAAAAGGATGTAGTGCATATCAAAACTCATGTAAAATTAATAATGTTTTAAATGTCAATTAGTTCATGCACTACATTTAATTTTTCTACTTGAAGCTTTTCAAAGTTTCTATATTTTCTTGATGTGTACAATTTCATTTCATTAGGCCAAACCAATGTAATTTTATTAGTTCCTTGATAAATAATTACATTGAGTCTTGTGAACTATATTTTGTTTAAATTCCAAAACTTAAAAACTTTTAAACAGTGCAACCAAGTACTTATTGTTTTTAAATAACATTTTTTTAAAAAGAAATAATTAGCAAAATTTTTAAAAGGTGTTCCTGAATAAAAAAAAAAATCAAATTGGTTTGGTTGTATGACCTATTTTTGTAAAATTCTATGATTATGTAAATTTCCTTTATTTTTTAAACAATCATACATTTACAGTGAAGTTATAAATAAGCCACAAACTTTAGTTCTAATTTAGATCTAATCTCATGAAACCTACATTTTATATTCAAAATAATGTTCATCAAAACAATAACATTTTTTACTACAACAATTAACATACATAAATCAATGGACAATTTTGCACTAACAACAAGTGGGGACTAGATATCACAGTTTTTAATTTTAATTTTACAATTAAACTTGTCAGTAGTAAACTTATTAACACATCATTCTTTAAAAATTCTTCAGAGTAGAAAGATCTTTAAAAATTTAGATTTTATTTTTAAAAAGTGCAACATGAAACAAGATTTAATTAAGAATGGAAAATTTTTAATATAAATAAAAATGCTACCCCTTTGTTGATCTAGAATGTTATTTCAGGGCATTTCTCCTCTAAAAAGTGAAAGTAACGATATTCATAATAAATTGTAAATGGGACATATCAAAAGGATTTAACCCAGAATCAAAAAAAATAAAAATACCCTCACACCCAAGAAAGATGTCACTCTTTCTGCTTATCTAGAAGATCATTTAATCATTTGGAGACACTACACCAGATGATCATTTCTACCAGGTTTGGGTGTGTAAGCTTGTAGTATTTGGTTTAGGTGTATTAGTTTTATTTTTTTATTGAGATTAGTTACCATTATTTACAGGTTTAGGTGTGTTAGTTTTACTTTCAGGTTTAGGAGAGTTTACTTTACTTTCAGGTTTAGGTGTGTTGGCTTTACTTTCAGGTTTAGGTGTGTTGGCTTTACTTTCAGGTTTAGGTGTGTTTACTTTACTTTCAGATTTAAGTGTGTTAGCTTTACTTTCAGGTTTAGGTGTGTTAGTTTTACTTTCAGGTTTAGGTGTGTTAGTTTTACTTTCAGGCTTGGGGGTGTGAGCTTTACTTTCATGTTTATAAGGAGTATTCATTTTACTTTCAGGTTTAGGAGTGTTAGTTTTATTTTCAGCTTCTGGCGTGTCAGTTTTACTCATAGGTTTAGGGCTGTTCCTCTGGCTAGAGAATGGAGTTTTGTTAAGTGTGGGTGGAGGTGTAGCGTCCCCAGGTCGAGCGAAACTTTCATTTAGCATATCTAGATCAACATCAGGACTCGGAGCAAAAACAGATTCTTGATCGGTGATATTTTTACTCTGAAGAAGTTTTATCCAACTTGATTTCCATTTCAGCCATCTGAAAAAGAAGAAAATATTAATCTATTATAACTAGTATTTCATAATTCATACAAAAAACTTCTTACAATGTGAAGTGAGGCAATGTGATAAAAAATAAATGATATTCAAAATTATAATGATAAATTTGATGAATATATATTTAGTGAAAGTATCTTTTAAGTGAGTGAATTAATAGTAAATAAATATTTAATACTTAATTTTGCAACATTTGACAATTTACAATTACAGGCGATGTATGGTACATTTCAGATTTATGATTACATAAAGGCTGATTCCTCATATCACATGACAGTGATGTCAGTGACAAAGGCAACTATTATTTACATGCAATTGCACATAAATAAATGTTCAGCATACATGTACACTATTATCTGTGTACATATAGATTCCCTGGATTTATCGAATGTGTACAGGTTTGTTTCTGCTTTTAGTTTAACCACACAAGACAGATCAGACATGAACATTTAACAGAGTCGGTTGCCAGAATACATTTGTATTATAATTATCAATAAATAAAAAGAGAAGATCAGACAGAACAGATTGATCATTCACTAAAAGAATGTTGCTGGGGTACATACTTGAATACTTCCTTAATAAATATCTGTTGAATTTGTGCCCTGATTGAATATGATCAATACCATGCAAATACCCCCAAAATATGGACTAAACATATTTTTTTTATAATTTTATATATACTGTACATCACAGGGTATTGTTTCTGGCAACTGACACTAAAAGACAAAATTAACATCTAAAATCTAAAACTAGTAATAAAACCATTCTAATCGAAATCTAAATAAAACTAAACCAAAGAGTGTGTAATAATGTTTGTGAGATCTTTAATATGCTAATGATAAAAAAGAACATCCTTTAAATTTAATAATAAAGAAAAATATAATCAGATACATTGGTAGGCGTATTTAAAGGGGTTGACCATTTAATTACTTAATCAATCCAGCCTATTATCAATGGCAATCAAGATTAGTAATAGATCTACCACCAGTAAATTTTTGGGGGAATTTTGAATATGATTCACAATTATATCTTTATGCCCGATTTGGCATATTCCTGGTTGGATGTTTGCCAACTTGTATAGGCCATGTCCATCATATAGAGAGAAACAGCATCCATGTGATACAAACACAGCAGCTTTTGTGAAGAGATATTAAGACTGTTAGCTACTTGACATTTGAAAAATGGGTGTTGCATTTGAGTAGAAAATTTTAAATCTGAACATTCTTGTATAGCAAATAATATAATAAACCCAATAGGTATGATGGTTGATAAATTATATTTTTCTTTAAATAAAAGAATTGAGATCAAACATTTTATTTGTGATAAAATGAAAACAACACCAATACTTACCGGGTTGTAATAAATTTATTAGTAATAAACAATATTTCTAATATCACCCACATATATAGGTTATTAAAATGAATATCTATAAAATTTCATTAACTAGTAACTTTACACATCTTTTACAAGAGAGTCAATAGGTTATTAGAATTATTTTGATAGTACAGCAACACACAAGAACAAGATTACTACCACACAGAATATAGAAAAAATATCTTGTATCTACACTAAAACTTTTAACACTACCCTAAGTGTTGTGAAAATATGTGTAATCTGCACTTTATTAATAAGCACTAATCTATGATATATATATTGATATATATATATATATATATATATGGATGTATAACTACTATTCTACCATATAGAAGCTTGTAAATTTGTTAATAGTTTCACTTGTTTTATTGTGCCTTTGTTGAAGAGTTTGGCGGACTCCTAAGCTTAGAATACACATGATTATCTGGATTTGTGTGTTAATTTATTTCCTTGTCTGGATAGATGTTTTCAATTGGAATACAATATAATATATGTTGATATATATCTATATATTGACATATAACTCTAATGTAATATATGTTGTAACTGCTTGTGTACTACATAATATTTTTAGAACTGGTGATATTTTATTATGCTTTTCATTCATTACTCTAAAATGTATTGATATATACTAATACATGTATGTGGTAGAAACACCACACCACAGCTAGGGATTAGTAAATATATAGTTGTTGAAACACCACTCAAGATCAAGATTGTGACATTTTGATATATGAGTTCGAAACACTAGCTGTTCTATCTAGATGTTGTATAAAAACTGTTGTAGATATTGTAATATTTCAATATGTTGTAGAAAGAAACACTGTTGTAGATGTTGTGATATTTTGATATGATGCTGATGCAATACTCTACAAGATGTTGTGATGAAGTTCTTTAGAGTTTGTGATTTTTTGACCGATGCACTAAATCTAGATGGTGTGATATTTTAACATGCTGGAGATGCACAACTTTCAGGGTTTCATATTTTGTTCGCAGGGCAGTGTGATATTTCATTTTATTGCTGATGTTGTAATCAACATATTGTCATTCACTCATGTATCTAGCTGTTGGGAAAATATAATTAATGTGTAATTATTAGCTACAATTGAAATAAGCAAATCTTTGTTTGAAGCAATACCATTCATTTTATTTACTTTTCCGGTGGGATTTATGCAAATCACGCCTTATTATTTTAACTAACTTGATAAAAAAAAAAAAGATGCAGAAATTTATGGTAGTTTTAGTAGTTAAAATTCAATTCATGTACTAATATTTATTTCAATTTGAGAAGATACTCGTTTAGGTATAAAATATTATAAGTACGCGTTTTAATACAAATTATACAAATGTTTTGTGTAAACAACAGGAATTTCCAAACAATTTACTGAATTTACTACTTTGCATTGTTCTTATCTATAAAAATGCTCCCTATAACCTATATTACAAAATCTCAAGTGTATATTTTTTCCCTTCATATTTAAGTAGATCTAATTCCACACCAATTTGATATTCTGGTCTTCAGGGTCTTCATAAATAGTACATTGATTTTTAAATTAGTATTTTTCCCAATGAAATAAGAAGAGATTTTTTAATAAGTGTTCCTGAAGAACAGAAAATTAAATTGGTATGTAAGTGTTATGCAAGGAAAGCAACTAAAAGCAATAACTACCTGTACACATTATATATTGCCCATTTATTGACAGAACTACTAGCATCCAAACCCTTCACAAAATTATTACCATCAGGTGTATTCCTTTTCTTGAATGGTTCTATCTCAACTCTCAACTTAGCGATCTCTGCTTGTAGACCTTTCAGTTCATCAACTCTCTGAAAAATATAACACATACATTTATTTTAAACATCCAGTGCTTTTAAAATGTTTTCAGATCCCCCAAATTGGAGTCATAATTAATCACATATGGTCAATAATTATATTTTATAAATTATATTTTAATTTAGAAAATCATTTATAATTTTTATATAATATAATTAAATGTTTGTGCTCTAAATACTGAAATCCATCTAAAACATGTGGGTGTACGTTTATGATCATAAGGTCCCACATTGAGTAAAGTGGCATTGTTTCAATCCCAAGCTTGTACATGACATGGTGTAGGGTTGCTTACTCAACCTCGTCAGTTTTTGCTGTGTCCTTTGGTTTCCTCCCACTGCTAAAGATCCCTTTGCGCAAGCAAATTATTGAAATAAATTTTTTTTTACCATAAGTTAGTCCCTAAATGACCTAGTTTATGTCAAGTGAAATAAAACTCCTGTTTTCTCTCTAGCCATATAAAACTATACTTGAAAGCAAAATAACTCCACTTCAATATTTCTCTGTCCTGATTTTTGCTTCAAGTTGATATATATATATGGGCTTCTTTTGATATTATTAATAATAATATATAATAATGTTACTTACCAACTTCTGTTCTGCTTGTATTTTCATACCGAGTACAGTCTTTGTAACTTCAACACTTTCAGCAAGTCTTTTAACACTGCTATTTAACTACAATAATAACAATAACAACAATTTTTAAAACAGGCAGTTCTGTTAATTTAACTACAATAACAACGATTTGTAAAACATGTAGCTCTATTAATTTAACTACAATAACAACAATTTATAAAACCTGTAGTTCTGTTAATAACAATTTTCAAAACATGTAGTTCTGTCAACTTAACTATAATGACAATTCTTAAAACATGTTAACTTAACTACAACAATAACAAATCTTAAAACATGTATATTTGTTCCCAAAGAATAGAGAAAGTTAAGGCAATATGACTGATATAAACTTGTTTAGAAGCCATATATCCTTTCAAATCAAACCAGTGCTGAATTATATAATATTAAAAACATCTTGATTAGAATAAATACCACTGTACACATACATAAGATTAATTCAACAACAGATGGATTTTTCAGGTTGGTATTTTAATTTTCAAAATCTCAATTAATCAAGAGTTACAGTTTAAGGGACGAAAAGAATCCCATATACAATTCATTATCAGATAAGACTGTATATAAATTTATAGCTTTAAGCACCAATTTTTTTAAAATTTTTTTAATCTGTTTTGAAATATACCTACAGAGGCAAGAACCAAGTCACTACGGTTGTTGTCAACATAGTTTCAAAAGTCATACCAAAGCTTTCAACGATTATCAGATCTTGTTCTTTGATTTTCACCGGAAAGATCACAAAGGATTAATGCCAACCCTTTGTAATATACAATGCCTATTATGGAGTCTTATAATAATATGGTAATAAAGATCAAAGCATTGATTGGCTGAGGCATGCCAGTTGCCCATGGTCTTCCTAGTTTAGAGGAGAACACCACATTCGCTGTGAATTATTACTTAAAGATGCATTATGTAGGAAGAGCTAAATCTGCCCATTGCAAGTTATTTTTCTAGCTTTAAAATGTTATATTTATTATTGTTTAAACATTTATTAACATAATCAATAATGAACTCTCTGGGACTCTGATTTTAAGTAGATTAGAACATCAAGAATATTTATTAGTTTAAAACGATAAAACAGATAATCAAGACTTTATCTTGATTGTCAAGTTCCTATGCTACGATAATCAACAATCATCTATGCTACATTTTGTCAAAACTTCAAACACTCCTAACTTTGCACAAAATAAAGCAATTTGACTGAAATTTCCAAATGTATTCATTATCTATTTTATCATTGAACTCTAAAACATAGCCCACTTTTTTTTATCTACATCTTAAATAATGCATCTTTAAATTACAGCAAGGTATTGAAGACAACAGATTTGGATGTACAATGAAAAAAAGATCAATGTTCACTTTTGAAAAGCACACACAACTAAAACTTGTCTAAATGATACAGAAATTGACATCAGGAATCTATTTTCCAAAAACATTTTTAAAATACTAAAGCTTTGTCCACTGGAATCCAAAATGCAGAGGAGAATGTGTGTTGGATGGCTAAGTGGTCTCACAATTACACCTATTACAGTTGAGAATTTTACCCTAATTTTACCCTAATCTTGTATCTGGCAACGGGGGTGGGGGGTGGGGGTGCCTGGCTAACCTAATAAGATTTCAGCGGATTCTCCAGATTCTTCCCATTCCGAATAAGCATGGTGTGCAAGCGAATTATTAAAATAAAATATAGAGCTATGTTAGTCCCAAAATAGTTAAGTGTTTGTAAAGGTCCCTCTCTAACCCTCTATCTCTGCTCGGGGGTTGGATGGCCGAATGGTTAGCACGTGCGCGCTGTATCATAAGGCCTGTCATTGAGTCAACTGGCGTGGTTTTGAATCCCTGGTTGTACGTGACAAGGAGTTTGGTCACCTGTCCAACCTCGTGGGTTTTCTCCAGGTCCTCCAGTTTCCTCCCACTGCTAAAGGCCCCTACGCGCAAGCGAATTATTGAAATAAAATTAAACCATATGTTAGTCCCGAAATGACCTAGTCTGTGTCGAGTGGACGTTAAACCCCATTTCTTTCTTTCTCTACCTCTACTGGAGAACATTCTTGAATAACAGATGACAGCTTGGGTTATTTCCCTTCAATCTTTATATAATCACAATATTTAAAATACAGATATGTGATGTCATCCTTTGATGTTGGCGTACCATTATTTCAAATAATGGTACTGGCAATGGCCCATCATACATTATTTATACTAGCTGAAATATTTGACTTGTATGACAATTTCAATGAAATGCATGTGCAGGTGCAAGACATTGCGTAATATATTAATTCATGTCTCTCCACCAACTACACTTAATACACAACATCCTGATTGATCAAGTGAGTGCAAACATTAATATATTTCTAAAATCGACGAGCTTAAAATATATAGTCTCAAACAAACTCCTGTATGCACAACTTCAGCTAAAGTCGCACTTTATAAATATTAAACACTTAATTTTTGACTCAAGTCTAGAAGTAGATTGTAATAAGTAAATAGATGAATGTTAAATAATCACAGAATGTAATAATATTAACAAAAAACCCTGAACATGCAGCATCCAGATTGGGAAATTTGGAGCACTAGGGTAAGACTTTAGCCAAAGCAAGAAAAGTGCATAATCCTACAGTGCTTCAACATTTAAGAACACTTTTTATATATCTTTTTTTTTTCAGTAAGTATGTGACAACATCATTGTGTGTTAAGACAATATATATCAAGCATATATAATATATGAAACACTTGATTGCCCGATATCTATAACAAACCTGTTCTTTGGTAGCCATCTATGTAAAAGTGCCAAATTATCAAAAAGTGAGATTAATTATTTTAGTGAAATCAGTTTAAACTTTGTATGTGGAATAAAAGATAAATTATTAGAAATATTAAGTTGTTGAATAAAGAGAACAAAGTAGTATGTTTATTAAGAGGTGACAAAAGATTAATAAATATGTTTGTGCCTTTTTATAAATGAATTAATAAGGATTAACAGGTATAATATATATTGAACTAGGACGAAGCATATTGTTAAGAAGACTAATAATAACTGATCTGCATAATTTTCAAAAGTACAATAAGCCAGAACATTCACATGTTTCTCAAAGTAAAAAAAATATGTACTATTTTAATGTAAAAATTGTTGTAATTATGTAATAAGCACAAGTATAAAAAAGCATCATGAAGAATAGCTGTCTTATAGGAAACTATATGAGAATTATTATTATTTTATTTGTTTAAGACACACAAGTATTGTAGTGTGAAATCAATGGAAACTGAATGTCCATAACTTAATTGAATGATTTAAAAAATGTTTTGACACATTGTTTAATAAAAAATTCTTTTGAATGAATATGGTTTTAAACTTTCTTCTGGCATATTGTGGCTTTTACGTGGGCTCAAAAATAAAAAAAATTCTTACAGTTTCCATCTCCTCTACAGTAGGACCAGTATTTTTGGTTGGTTTGTTCATCATTGCCTTTAATTCTTCAACATCTTTCTTCAAAGTTTGAACATCTTTTAGTCTGTGAAAAGTTTATTGGTGTTATAGTGAATCAAATAAATGAATCCATTTCTTTATGATCACAATCAATGAATATCTTTCAATATGTAATTTAGGTCATTTTGAGACTAGCACAAGGTTATTGTAAGGTAAGACAAATAAATTAATTCATTTTATTATCATCACATTCAATGAATATATTTCAATATGTAATTTAGGTCAAATTGAGACTAATACAAGGTTATTTAAAGGTAAGACTTAGTTGCTAATCGTCATTCAATTTGTTTTTTTCAATATTCCAATTAATTGGTGATATAAATTTCATCTTAACACACCTAATTTAAAAATTTGTAAAAATTCAACTTAATGATTTGAAAAGCCTAACGTAAACCTTTTCAAATGAGACTTGGATTTTAAAATATTTTCGGACCCTCTGGACAAGTAAAATAGGATGTAATGGATAATTTACACAACAGGTAGGACACTTAAACATCTAATACTTAGAATAAAGCTATTATTTATTTTCTGGAGCTGTCAAGCCAGCAAGAGTGTTATTGTCCCTTTAATATTGACAAATTTTCAATTCATTGTATCTTTGCAAATACTCAACTGTATTGACCCAATATTGTGGATTGATATTTCTTTAACTAAATTTAGAGATTAAACTTTTGCAATATTACAGTTTGCATGTGACTAATAAACATCCCTCAATTGACAATCAGAGACTTTAAATGTTAATAAAAGACAATCATATAACCCTGATATTTGTCTTACCTGACATCAGCTTCAGCAGAAACTCTTGTATCTAAATCTGATTTTAACAGTTTCTGTTTCTCTTCTACGGCATAAATCTAAAAACACAATATATTGGATAATAAGTCATAATCACTAAACATGTAGATTAAGCTAAAGTACAAAAATACCTACACTTTGCAAGTCTTTAAATGTCAACTGTACAATAAGATTAGAAGACTGATTTCTGCTACAGGTTTTGTTTGGTTCTTGTTGCAGCAGAGGAAGACTTTTCCGATAGTAAGTATTGAAATTTATGGACACCAGGCACAAAACCCTAATAAATAGTAATCATATAGTCATGGCACACTTAACCAAAAGATCTTGGGCTGATCTTGCTGTTTACTGAGAAAGTCTGGTTTTTAGTCTGGTTTTCCTAGGTCAATGGTTAAAGGGACAATAACACTCTTACTGGCTCATGACAGCTACAGAAAATAAAAAATAGCCTTATTCTAAGTACTAGATGTGTTAGTGTCCTACCTGTTGTGTAAATTATCCATTAAATCCTATTTTACTTGTCCAAAGGGTTCAAAAATATTTTTAAATCCAAGTCACATTTGAAAAGCTTTACGTCAGGTTTTTCAAATCATTTAGTTGAATTTTTCCAATTTTTTAAATAAGGTGTGTTAAGATGAAATTTGTATCATCAATTAATTGGAATATTGTAAAATATTACAATTTGTTGACCAGAATAAAGATTGGGACACATTATTCAGTTACAAAAAGAGTGGTATTGAGCCTTTAAGGACAGAGGGCCTGGCAAGAAAATACATCTTTGGTACACTGATCTTCAGCGAATACCACAGGCAGCCTGCAGCATGTTAAAGTTCCCCTATAGTAGTTGGAAATCAAAACAAGAGCAGTCTGTAGCAATGCTGTCGATAAAAAAAATTCCTAATAGCATGCTTTATAGGGTATGACATTCTTAAGTAGCCCAGTTGGTGCAGAAAAGTAGGATGTTAGTTTCATTTCATTTCATGCTGTTGCTCTACTTACATCATTTGGTATAGCTTGTACTGTGGTCTGCATCTCTTTCACTGTATTACCCATTAAATCTTTCCATAGATGTAATGATTCTACTTGTTCTCTTAAACCTGTAGTTAGTTCAACAGATGCCTGAAATAACAGTTCACACATTTAAAATATAAACCAACAACACTAAATTAAAATTAATGGACAAATTAAAAAACACCTGTGTTTATGGCTACTTGGCCACAAAAACAGTTACGGAACAGACAATCCTAGTGACAGCTTTGATTCTGCCCTTTTTAAAATCGATTTTTTGGCGTAATACAAATTTGAAATGTTACATTTAAAACTGACAGCATTAACTTCAAGTCAACAATTTAACAAAAGGGATAAAAATTATTTGTTTCAAAGGTGACTATTGATGTAATTCTTAATTCTGGTACCTTCTGAAGTTCTTCCTCCTTTGTGAGCAAAAAGGAAATGACAATGTTTAAATTAATAAGAATTAAAATATTTTAAAAGCAGATATAAACATTCTATTCACACCAGCTATATGCTGACTTGCTGTAAACAAATATTATTCTCAATTCATTCAGTTTTTATGAAATCAGAAAAAAGCAGATTTGTGTCAGTGCTACATTATGAGGGAAGGCAGACAACTCTACTTGTAAGGTGATACTTCTTTTTATTAAAGGGTAATGAACAAAAAAGAAAATTTCACATACTTAATCTATCTAAAGGTTTATTTACATAATTAAAAAAAAACCAAGAGGTGGGGAGGGGGAATTACGGGAGGGGCAGAGGTAAACAATGTACATCATAATAATATAATAGTATGGTGATAATATAAAAGCATGCAACACAAGTTCTTGAAAAGTTTCAAGAGACAAAAAGTTTTTAACTGTGTTAAAGATGATCATAGGTTAACAATTTCATATCATTAAGACTATTGCAATAAAGCTTTATACTGTGTTATACTGTATGTTAACAATTTTATATATATAGCACACTGAGACTATTACAATAAAACTTTATACTGTGTTAATAAAGATCAATGTATGTTAACAATTTTAGCTCATTGAGACTATTACAATACATCTTTATTATACTGTGTTTTAAGTAAAGATTATACTATCTTAGAGATGCATTATGTAAGATTTAGATAAAGAGTCGTCGTTCTTGCTATATTACTATAGTTCAAATATAGTTAGTGAAGAATGAATGTATTTCATTCGATTACTTTATTCTAATCAAAGTTATGAGTCTGAAGTTTTAACAAAATGTAGCTTAGATGGTTTATTATCGTAGAAAAAGTACATGACAATTGAGACGATCCATTTCTAAATCTGACAAGTAATCAAATCCATTTAAATCTCAGCCATACGGAGATTTTGAGAGTGGATTATGGGCTTATGTTAATAAATGTTTAAATAATAATTTATATAACATTTGAAGCCAAAATAAAGACCTGCAATAGTCCAAATTAGCTCTTACATAATGCATCTTTAACAATGAGTCTATTCTAATACAATTCATTATTTAAAAGTAATATTCCCGGTATATTAATTTGTGCCAGTCTTGAATTAAAATAAGAATTTTTTGCTAGGACAACAAAGTGACATCTTCACTTTAAAGGGCCAATCCCGATAATATTTTGGAGAATAAAACTGCTTAAGTTTTTGTTAAAATCCCCTAAAATCCTCTACCTCAAGCCGAGCAACTAACTCAATATATGTGATACGTTTTCAAACAACTTAAAACTGTCAGTCTTCATCTGAAAATGGAGACTGGTGTCCCAACCGGTATTATACGGTGTCTGGATAAAACCAGACTTTTATTTTATAAAAATAATGTGTAGGTGAAATTGACCTTTCGTTATCAAGTACAGCACATGGGTCAATCACTGTATAGACCTCTAAAGGAACGGGAATCGATTATCAGGTCACCCAACAAAAAAATCGACCCAAAATCTTAAAAGGGTTATGTGTCCGGATAAGCAGTTTTGACGTTCATGTCCAAACGACTCAATATTTTGGGCTGAAATTTTGGGACAAGCTAAATACACCCTTCCTCTATATTTTTGCGCTTAAATTTCATACATACTCAGACTTTTATTTTTGAGACTCTGTTCAAATCGGGAAAGTCCTTTAAGTTTAACTTATTTTTGATTGGGCTGGTTTTTGTTTTGAAGAAAAAAATGTTTTTAAAAATTTTATGCTAGGACAACAATTGCAATAATTGCAATAAAGCAATAATTGCAGATTTTCTTAGAAAGTTAAAACATAAATATGTACCTATTGCATAATGGGTTGTCAAATCACTATTATGCAATCATAGCAATCATTCTAGCACTTAAAAAATATTCACATAAAAATTTGAAATAATTTCTACTCCCCGACAGTATTTAGAAATTGTATCCATTCTTTTCACTGGAAAACAAAGTCTACACAATGGAAGAGGGAGTTGTCTCGATTGTCAAGGTCCGAGGTTAAACAGATAATGATGCCTGGTTGAGCGAGACTTTTTAGACCATAACACCGTAAAATCCAACATTGGATTTGAAAAGAAAATTCGATATATTTGACAATTTCTCAACTGACACAAGTGAATTATAGTATTTAGGATTATTCTTTAACAAGGTAGAACTGTGTATATAAATGCCATGTACTTCAAGGTTTTATTTTAACATATTTTAACCATATGACTTCAAAAAATGCAATTATAGCTTTTTTAATTTATAACTACTGATTGGGCTGGTTATTGTTTTGGAGAAAAAAAAAGGGTTTAAAAGATGGTGGGATTGCTAAAAATATAAAGTATAGATAAGATATAACATAGATTGAGTTGTGGAGAGAACTTTTATAACAAGAAATATTTTTACTAAGATAAAATTAAAGATATTTCTCTTTAAGTCAAATGAACTTTATCTCAATGTACTTCAACATTAAAGTAAGAAAATAGGAGAGAACATTAAATTATTAATTTGAATGGGAATGTTTTATATTAATCTATAGTCTGAGTCACAATTTCTACAAGTAGCTCTTCAATATATTCATTGCCTTTACTCCATGTAATGTATCAATATAACCCAATACCTTTTTATTCCTTCAAAATAATTTCTTGCTTAAAAATGCTTATAATGTTATAGTAAATGTAGTACAGAGAAAAGTGTAGAGAAAAGGAGAGATAGAGAAAGGTGTAGAGAAAAGGAGAGATAGAGAAAGGTGTAGAGAAAAGGAAAGATAGAGAAAGGTGTAGAGAAAAGGAAAGATAGAGAAAGGTGTAGAGAAAAGGATAGATAGAGAAAGGTGTAGAGAAAAAGAGTGATAGAGAGCAGAGAAAAAAGGAAATAGAGAAAAGCAGAGAAAAAAAGAGACAGAGAAGAGCAGAGAAAAAGTGGAAAGAGGATGGAGTAAGGAGGAAAGAACATAGGAAGAAAGAATATGGAGAAAAATATGTAGAAAAAGAGTTCTATACTGAAGGGTATTAATATAATAAGTCCTTCTTGTAGTAGATTATTACTACTTATAATAATAAATATGTTTTATATAAATGCTTGTGCATTATATAATTATATCATAATGTGAAATTAAAAAAAAAAACTGTATGCAATTAATATATATTTCTCTGAAATCTATAAAGGTGCATATTAGTAAGAAACCTATATAAAAAATATGCATCTGTTGACAAAAACAATACCTCTGGATTAGTGACATTAGCAGCTTCCAACTGTTCAAATTATTATTCAGTTAGTTAATTATATTATTAAAGTTTGAATCATAATTATATAATTAAACGAAACATGAAACTAGGAGGTTAAATGGGTTAAAATTATAATCTGTAGAAGGGAGGGGTTGAAGAATGGGTGGGGGAGGAGAAGGGGTGGATAAGATTAAAGGAGGTAGATAAGCTTTTCCTTTCATGTATTTTATGAATCTAGTGTACAAAGATCAATACGCAACCATAGCAGTACGCTGCTATTTTGTAGCTATAGGCTAACATCAATTTATCATGGTTTATCTAATTAAGTTACAAATGTTATTCCTAAAACAAATAGAACATTTCCTGTTACAAAATGAACAATATCAGTATCTAATGGAGACACGCAACAATAGAGTCGGGAAAGACTTTAGGTTGTAATTAAATAAACATGCTATACAAAATCATTTGATGCATGCAAACAACTTTACTAATTATATACCTTATCAAATATTCATAATATCTTACTAAATCGGGTTGTTTCATGAATTATAAGAATGCCAATTAAGAAAAATGGGAAAAAATATTATCCAATTAATATAATGATTAAAATAAGTTTTTAAAATGTTAATCTACTTTTTAAAATTACTTGAATAATTAACTGAACCAAATTATTACAAATAACTTACGTCTTTGATTTTCTTATTTATTTGATCATGAAGATCACTCATCTTTTTAGTAAGGTTTGCGATTCTGGTATCCATATCAGCCATTGTACGAGTGTTTCCTTCTACAGAATCTGCCATCATTTTTCTAACATCGTCCTTTAACTGCAATATATCAAAATCAGTTGTATGGGACATTAAATTTGCATGGCATTTGATAAAATATCCACTCTTTCTAGTGATTGTTGACATTACACCTGTCCTCTATAAATTACTTTGGTACCTGTTGTATATAGAATAGAATATAAGATTTAATCTGAACTTTTAAATGTTTAAATAATGTAGGCCCTTCTTATTTGTCAGATATTTTACAATTTTACAAATCTAGTCATTGTTTTACGTTCTACTTCTGATGAATATCTACTTGTTGAAAAAAAAAGCTAATTTGGAGTCTCACCATGAGAAAGTTTTTCAGTCGCCTCTCCCAAACTCTGGAATAAACTCTCATACACTATGCGTAGTTGTCAGTCCCTACCCCATTTTAAACGTCTGCTTTTTAATAACACCCATCTTTTTAAAAGAGCGTTTAATTAGATTATTAGTAAACTTTAGAGAGCGTCATTATCTCTGTCTATAATATATTTACATTTTTAATATTTTTTTTTGTCATTTTATTTGTCTGTGACTTTATATTTTATTTGTTTGTAACTTTATATTTTATTTGTCTGTCACTTTATATTTTATTTTAACTTTGAGACAATAAGGTAATACCAATTGGAATTTGAGACAATAAGGCAATACCAATTAGAATTTTTGTCCTTTGAGAACACTTGATTAAAATTTTGCTTCCTATTTTTTTAGGAAGAAAAATAATGTAAAAACAAGAACAACTTAATGGTTACTCTTGTCAAAAGCTTTTAGTTGAAATATTTAAATTTTGAAATTAAAAACAAATCACTGTTGACAAGACGCGAGTTGCTGACCCTGAAGGACAAACAGTAAGAATTAAATTGGTTTGACCTAACTTTCTGAAAGTATTAATGGCTCTGATATAAATGAAATATAATTTTACCTTTTCATTATTACCAGTAATCTGTGTATTAACACCACCTATAGCCTGTTGTAGGGCAGATGTAGCCAATTGTAACTTCTGTTGAACTCCATCAATCTTTTCTGTAGTCGTTGTCTCATGAACTTTCCTGAATTAACATGCAAGTAATCTTTAATTTCATTCCAATCTCACAGACAAAGAAATTTCATACAAAACAATCGCTTATTACAGATGGATCAAACTTTGAGAGTAAGGGATCTCTACTTACTTTATCAATATGGGGAGGTTTCATACCGTGTTTACAACCTTGGGTGTGGCTCAGAAAGATCGTGGTGTTGGTCACGAAAGTTCTCATGATTTTTAGGCTTGGTTTCCCTGTGTCAGTGATACAGAACAGAGTCAGGCCTGACAAGGAATAGTGTCCAACCTGTTCAGATGGGACAAAACCACGGTCATTTGTACACATTAGCGTGCATGTAAAAGAACCCTTAACTGTTGGGATTTGAAAATTTTTAACCCAGTTGTCAGGGTGAGATTTTATTAGTGCAGTGTACATAAAAGAAAGTAAGACGTTCAGTCCGGTTTCATTTCATTTGCATTAATAAGCTAATCAAAAAATTATATGTCAAATAATTCATAATTCATATAGTCTTTAGAATTTAGTGAAATATCATAATGATCTGATCTTATTGTCTTGTATAATGCACCATTGTATTATCTGTTTTTTTTTTGTATCCATTATAAACGGCACTGGTTCTTGATAATACAACATAATCTAGGATCTATTGAGAAAGTCCCATGAGAAATTAACATCATGTTCTAATACTATGGTACATTATAACATAGTTTACATTTCAATAATTAAAGAGGCATTATCACTTTCACTCAAAACAATAAATATAAATAATTTTAAATGGAAATGAAATGAAATGAAATGAAATGGGGTTAACATCCTACTGTTCTGCTCCTATACTGGGCTAATGAAGATGGGCATACGCCATACAGTGTGCTATGAGGGAAATTTTGGCCGGGCAGCTGCACTATCGCCTACTCTTATATCAAATTCCAACTGTCAAGGGATCTTTTACGTGCATTCCAAATGTATACACAGGACCTGGGTTTTTCGTCTCATCCGAAAGACTAGACAGCTGTCCTTGTCAGGCCCTCCGTTCTGCACCGCTGACAAGGGGAAACCACGTCGGAAAATCCAGATGAACTTTCTCGGCCATTGCAGGGATCGAACACCCGACCTCCAGGCTAGCGAGCCAGCGTCTTAACCACCTAACCACTGTGGCTCCCATTTTAAATTGGATGTTTGAAGTTCCCCCAACACATTATGGTCATTTTGAGATTTCTATGGCAATACAGAAATTTCTATGGCAATGTGTGCAATGTGACGATGAGAATTTTTGACGGTAAATGACGTATCTACGTACAAATTCGAATTCTAACTGCGTCTTACAGCACTTTGAAAGAGCATTCAATAAATTTCTTGGAAACCACTAAATAATATGTACAAATAGTAAACTGACTCGTAAAATAGCTATATCTCAGCAATCGAATGACAGATTCTTTTTGGATTTTATGTTTGATCTTTAAATCCCATCCAGTACTAGAGGTTACATTTAAAGCAATTATTTGTGATTAAAAGTATTAGATTATGTGCACAAGTGATGTGTAAACAGCAGACAGAACCCATATAAAATACATTATTTAATGTAGCTATTGATTTCCAATCTCTTCCATGTTAATATTATTATTACGAGCACAGAGATGGAACTGAATTTACAAAAGACTTTGGTATGCTAGGAACAGAGTATAAATAAGAAAAATTGATCACTGCACAATTTGCACATTCAATATTCTGGTAGTGGCTGGCTCCAATGATTACTTTAATCAACCATGCATGCTGTCATGTGTCTATTACTGATCAAAGTCTGATTACTACAGATTACTTTTATCACTTAATAGTAAGTGCAGGAAGACTGCACCACACACAAACAATTACACAAGACAAACCCACGGACTGGACACAATATACAGACACCACAAATAACAAATGCATATTTCAGATCAAGTGAATGCATGCATCTCTTCATTATAGGAGAGCGGCATGTCGGATGACCAAATTGTTTAACACATGCACTTTAGATCATAAGGTCTTTCATTGAGTCAAGTGGTGTGGTTTCGATTTCTTCCCACAACAATCCAGAGAATTATTGAAATAAAATGGAACCATATGTTAGTTCCAAAATGACCAAGTTTGTGAAAAGTGGACATTAAACCCCATTTCTCTTTCTCTCTATTAATTATACAAGACAGTGAGTGATAGTATTTGATTATAATTTTTAAAAATATTGAAAAAAAAACAAACAAATATTTCAGGAAAAAAGGTATACACTTTAAGAAAAAGGTTTTAGATGGTACCATTTCATTATTGCATGGAGAATGGTCGCTGCTCATTTCATGTTGATTATTACACAGATTAGGAAATGAAATGAAGTGGGGTTTAACATCCTAGTGTTCAGCTCAGACTGGGCTAATGAAGACAGGCATACGCCATACAGTGTGCTATGTGGGAAATTTCGCTCGGACAGCCGGTGCTACAGCATACTCTTATATTGAATTCCAACTGCCAAGGGATCTTTTACGTGCAAGCCAATGTGTACACCGGACCTCGGCTTTTGGTCCCATCCGAACTACTATATTATGTTGTGTCTTGCCAGGCCCTCTGACCGGTACCACTTGACAAGGGGAACAACTCGGAAAATCCTGATGAACTTTTGCATAGATTGCATAGATGTGAAATGAAAGTGGGATAACAACCTAGTTTTCTGCACCTAAGTAGCTACTGATGACAGGCATAATATGCCATGCAGTGTGCGTTTTCGTCACCTCTTCGTTGAATTCCAACTGTCACGATTTTTATTATGTGCACAGCAACGAGTACACAGGCCTTCCCCATTTTTTGTGTCCCACTGTAATAACTAGACGCTGTTCTTTGCCAGACCCTGCACTACTGACAGGGGGAAACGGGCAACACCTGACACGCGAAGTTACCCCTCACTACTGATGGTCTAAGCAGCTAAAAATAATATTCATACTAAAAGTTAACACACCTTGATTTGATTTCAGCAGCAATAACTTTATCAACCTGTTTTCTGTTCTCAGACATTTGTTTTTCAAGCAGAGTCAATCCTTCATCTAGCTTCTGTAAAGTTTCTTTGTTTTTGTTCTTATCTCCCTTAAAAATAACATGATATTCTTTAAAACTTAATTACTCTCAAAATGTACTCTGAATTCAAAGTACACACATATAATTATTTAAAGGGGTAGACCAAAAATTTTCAACAAGGTTTCCATAAACCTTAAATATATATTGATAAATAATCCCCTCTGTAGCACAAGCAAAAAAGTCTTTGTAAGCGAGAAATTAATTTTTATTAAAACCGATTTACGTGACGGCTTTGTGTACTAAACGTTAAAAAAACATAAATTTGTGTTTATAATATCCTAATAAACAACCCAATTGATCAGATTTTTGGCCAAAGGATGACGTGTGAACACAATACAGCAGAGAACTTGTGCCAAATCTGTATGCTTACTATAGAGCCCAGTGAGCGTGTTGAACCAACTATGTCACTTCCGGTTTAATGAAAATTAATTTCTCGCTTACAAAAACTTTTTTGCTTGTGTTACAGTGGGGATTATTTATCAATATACAGATTTATGGAAACCTTGTTGAAAATCGTTGGTCTTCCCCTTTAACTATTAGTATTTAACCAAATACCACTTTTTTGCTTGTGTTACAGTGGGCATTATTTATCAATATATAGATTTATGGAAACCTTGTTGAAAATCGTTGGTCTTCCCCTTTAACTATTAGTATTTAACCAAATACCACTCAAAATGATTCAAAACCTACATGTACTTTTAATTAATAAAATTCAAATCATTCTGTATAATACCGTTGAAATGTCTCATTATTGTCAGAAAAAAAATCAGAACATTTCATCAAATCGTCTTCCTTATTCAAATGAATTGTAAAGAATTTATTTGCCATAACAGTCTGTACTCAAATATGATTATCTATTTCTATCTGACTACATATATGTATAATCTAATCATCATTGTCTACTGGAGGAAGACGAGACAGATCTATTTTAGTATTTTTGATAATTATCTTAAAGTACGATAAGAATCATGAGCTTAAATACACTATCATTTTTTATTCTGTATACAATAAGTAATATCTTTTTTTCATGTTTTATTTTGCAGAGTATGGACAAAAACTACACAATTTTTAAATTTTTTGCATAGAATTAGTATAACTAGACATATACTAATGTCCAAAAGAAAGTATACACTTCCATTTATTATTTATAAAAAATAAATACATTCCCCTGTTTACATTTTTGGAGGATACGATAAGCACACTAAACATATAGAATTAGTAGAGAGACAGGATTCATATTCTAAATCACAATATGCAAATATCGCTTAAATATCTACAACATCTGCAGTGCATGGGGGGGGAGTTGTGTATGTAAATAGATACAATTGTTTTAACAGAAAGAGTGGAGGTTCATGTCTACAATACAAGCATTCATTAAAACCGGACCATTTCTAATTTAATCTATTATACTAAATATGTATTCTAACTATTGAAACTGACTTCCGTGCGAGTGATATTTATAACCTAATAATGCAATATCTGATTTCCTTAATACCGATAGTCTAATCTAATGTGTCCAATCTGATTCACTCTTTTGTTTGCTAAAATGTTCTTGCTACAAGTAACAATCATAAAAAATTGAATGTTTACCGAGTTTACCCCATCCTGGCCATCCTGAAGGCAGCCAATCAGATCAGGATGTAATTGATTAGTAAATAAATAAAATGTATGGCAATCAATCAATTTCTGTCAATCATTAAACAACTTTTTGTATTTCTGTAACTTATTACAATAGATAACATTATAACACTGAACCCTTCAAATGTCATATCTGATTGCCCCTTATGCATACCCATTAAAATACATTTGTCATCATTCTAAATGGAACTCAAAATAAAGATATTTTTTATACACATTTAGTCCAGATTTCCGTCATCAGTGTCTGTTTATGGTGATTGACCAATCAAAAGTTCATTAATTAACATCTAGATCTATAGAAATAAAATGAACTGAGAAGACTGAAGCTATGATATAAGTACAATATCAAATATCTACTTTTTCTCATGTTTTTTGTAAAAGTTTAATAATCCCCATATTTAAATATGTACATAACACAAACATATCATTAGCGTTCTGCCATTCGAACTAAATCACTAATATGCATATCTATATCATATTTATCCTCGCCAGTCACTTTTTGCAATACTTTTGACCCGCTCTTGTTGCTGATTAGTAAGACCGAAACCTGTCAATGAAAAGGCACTCTTGCCTGTATTCCCTGAAAAAAATGTTGCTAATTCAGCCATTTCAGGTAAACGGCTCTCATTTGATTTCCAGTTGACATGATGATGCAAGCGCTGATGGTTGTCTGACAGGTTCTATTAACCTGGATCAATACATGTAAAAACTAGAAAGGGCCTTTGAACCAACTGCTGTAGTCGTATCTGTGATTATACTGTAATTCAATTTCAGAGCAGCTATATGTCCCAAATAAAAAAAATGAAATAAAATAAAATGGGCTTTAACGTCCTATTGTTCTGCTCTGACTAGGTTAATTCAGTGTGCTATGATTACGAGACAAATTTTGCCTGGACAGCGGCACTACGGCTTACTCTTATATCGAATTCCAAATGCCAAGAGATCTTTTATGTGCATGCCAATGTGTACATGGGACGACCTCAGTTTTTCGTCTCATTCAAGCAACTATACATTGTCCCTTGCTAGGCCCTCTCTGTCCTGCACCACTTGACAAGGAGGAACCACACCGGAAAATCCTGATTAACTTATTGGGCATGCTAACGTCCTACCCGCTGAAGCACCATGGCTCCCCAAAATAAAGAGACACTACTACTAAAATAGTTATTCTGATAAGAAACTGTCTGAAATGGATCAAATTAATTCATGCCGATCATTTATTCAAATATCAGACTAGTATTTGAATATTAGAATACAGGAGTTCTACGATTGAATATTTGAATGACCGAACACTAATTATTATTATACAGTAGTATTCTACATTATCAATAATACAAACTACATGTATAAAATATAGAAATCTACACATCATAATACTTGTAGAAAGAAATCTAACATTTAATACTACAGAAAGACCTATTGCTAAAAATTCTAACAATTACTAATAATATTAATGGGGCACAAGACAATAGGAGGTAAATTCCATTTCGCTACAATATATTTTATTGTTCCATCTCTCTATCTTAAATGACAATCTGTGAAAATTTGGGTATTTAAATCAATTATGTGTCAAAATATCTCCTTTTTAAACGTGGTGACTCACGTAAAAAACATCATATGTAATCAACAGTCTGTAAGCACTTGCAAATTTCTATCAAAAATATCTACACATGTCAAAATGGCCTACCAAGTTCCCCAATTGTTTTTGTATTCCTTTCAGTAACAATCAAGCGATACCAGTCTTGTGATTTAAATAGAACCTACAAAATCATGGCCAGCGATTGCAATCGTCTAAATGAATCTTGGCAATAGGTAAATTACATACAGTTATTATTCTATGGTCATGTGAGTAATGTTAGGGAAAAGGATTTTACTCAGACAGTAGAGTTTCTGCTTACTAGTACTCTCATCATCAATAGTTCTTTTACGTGTACTCCATTGTGTACATGCATGCACCTTGACTTTTTGTTTCATGTGAACGACAAATGGGAACCAACCATGAAAAATCCTTATGGTTTGTCTTTGCCCACATTAGGTTTTGAACCCAGGACATTCAGTGCTCAACTACCACGGCCCACAAATCAGAAGATAAAAGAAAAGCAATGATAAAATAACTCCACAGCTCCACCATCCACAAAATTTTACATGAGGTAATAAATGTAAACTTCAATGTTTTTTTACAAGGAAGGAGGGACGACAGCAAGGCAGAGCCATGACCAAATATTACATCATTTTAAATTGACTGAATATAAACAGTAATATTAAAAAGTATGCTACAATGTTATAAAAAGTTTAAAATCTATGAACATATATTAAGACAACACAATAAAATGAACATGATTTACCTCATCCTGTGTTAAGTGATAATAGTGTACAAATAAACAATAGAACATATGTGTTAAATGTGTTGGTATTTATGGTAAAAGTGATAACATGCCATTGAAATGTGAATAGGTGAATACAATCATCAGTTAGTTATACAATCAGTATTTTCAAGGCGTTTGAATTTATATTCAAATCAGATATTTGAAAGTGAATTGAAATATTGAAAATGAATTGAAATATTGAAAATGAATTGAAATATTGAAAATGAATTGAAATATTGAAATATTGAAAATGAATTGAAATATTGAAAATGAATTGAAATATTGAAAATGAATTGAAATAATTGAAATATTGAAAATGAATTGAAATAATTGTAATATTGAAAATGAATTGAAATAATTGGAATATTGAAAATGAATTGAAATAATTGGAATATTGAAAATGAATTAAATTATTGAAATATTGAAAATGAATTGAAATAATTGAAATATTGAAAATGAATTGAAATAATTGAAATATTGAAAATGAATTGAAATAACTGAAATATTGAAAATTCTAAGTGTTTAAATAAAGCTTCATGGATCAATTAAAAGTTGAAAAATGACAAATGTTTATCCATTGTTATATATTATAAACATACTTAAAATACAGATGGGTCGACATCCTTTGATGTTGGCATACCATTATTTCAAATAATGGTACAGGCAATTATTTGCCAATCGTACATTATTTATACTAGTTGAAATTTTGGACTTGCGAGTGTCTGTAATTTAAGTTGTTTAATGGTCTCAAGCTTAAGACATTGCATAATATATTGAAACAACAGCTTGGGACTGACGTCCCTTGTGTTGTTTCAATATATTACTTGTTTCAATGTCTCGTTCTTGAACATTAAACCACACATCATGTAGTATAATACTAACAAAATAATACTGACCTTCATTATTTCTCGAAGATGGTTTATTTCATCTTCTATTTGTTTCTTTAAACTATTAAAGCGCAGATCACCCTCATCTCTAGCGTTCTTCTCATATTCTCTTCTTCCTTTCTGTTCTTGTTGTATAACCTTACAACAAAGAAATAAATAAACAATTAATTTAATGGAATAAAATTTCTCAGAAAATAAATTCAATTTCTTTAATCATATCTTGTTCCAAATAACATCATTATCAAATAAATTGCTGAGAAGAAGTTAATCTGACTGTAATAATGTTATTTAACATCAACTTATACCGAAGATAAGATGTGTGAGGGACCTTTGTTAGCTACTGATCCATCCTTGTGCCATTAGAGATCTAGCAAATGTTGAGAATGGAAAGTCATCTAAAATAGAAATCATTGATAGATGACTGTTTGATTGGCTTTTCGGCTGTTCATGATTGACTCTTTATGACTCACTATTGCATAATTAGTATAATAAAAGTACGTAAGCTCCAACCTACCTTTTCAAGTTGTAAGAATTTATCTTGCAATTCTTCTCGGAGTTTCATTTCTTTGGTTAATAGACGCTTATTGACATCTTCCACACTTTCTGTCAATTTTCCTTCTAATCTTAGTTTCTCGGTTTCCACTTCATGTTCTTTTTCTCTTTGTAACATATCTAGAGAATGTATAGCTTCTTCACGTTTTCGTGATTGATCAGCAAGACCTTGTTGTAATTCATTTATCCTGTTAATCAAGAATGTTGTATTTAACTAGCTATGAAAACTGCCCTGTGACTTACATTTCATTAACCCTCTCTTAGGAAACAGAGCATACTACTCATTTGAAGTCATTTTTTCTACAAGGTAACCAGAGAGAGAAAGAAATGGGGTTTAACTTCCACTCGACACAATCTAGGTCATTTTGGAGTATGGTATGGTATGATTCTATTTCAATAATTCAATGAGAAACCCACAATATTGGGCAGTAGAGGACCCTACTCCTCACGTACAAGCATGGGCTTAAAATCAGACCATATGATCTAAGGTGCACTCGTTAGTCCAACTAAATAATCAAGACTCTGCTATAAACAAACATCATGGCCATTATCATTGTTGTGGATTCGGAGCGTATATGGCAAGATTTTTTACTTGAAAAATTCTAGAGCTATTTTTGAAGAGTGCTATGTTTGAATCCCTGGTTTAACCAAATGCATCTATTTGAAAGGGAAGGTGAAATCTGTACACTGTTTCATGGACATGTACAAATCTGTTCAATAAGGATCTAATGTGGATTAAATTATTATCAGGATGAGGTAGAGCTTACTTGAGTTGAAGTTGCTGTTCCAGTGTTCTTCTCTCGGAACTTTCTTGATCTTGTTTTGTTCGTAGATCTATTATCACATCTCGTAACTCGGACAACCTGCAAGGTGGAGAGAGCTAACATTTTGGGACTAAGTGTAAACATTTTTAATTCAATAATTTGCTCATAAAGTTCTTTAGCTTTGGGATGAAATAAAAGAGCCTAAAGGACATCATTAGATTGGATAGGAATCGCTACTCCTTGGATCAAACTAATAACTTGCAGACTTGTGATCCCCTGTAAAACAGCTTGGATTGCAAGAAAAAGAAAATGTTTTTTTGGGGGGGAAACCCCAATCTCATTGATATTCAAACACCTGACACTAAAAACATACTTCATCTCTATTTTCCGACTGAACAAATATTGTACTCCCTGCCACCTACATCATTTAACTTTAACTCATAGTGTATTCCGTAAAAAAAAAGAAAACAAATGTCCTGATTCATTCACATCAAAGAGAACAAGAATATCTAACCTCAGAATTGTAAAAAAGCAGAAAGATGCAATGTGAACATATTTACCTGGATTCAACTTGTCCTCTCAAGTGAACGGTTGCATGTTCAGAATGGCTATTCTGGTCACCATGTTTTCGCAAAACTTCAACCTAACAATCATAGAAAAATTCATCATTTTTTAGTATTCTTTCTGAGAGAGAGAGAGAGAGAGAGAGAGGGAAAGAGCGCGAGAGAGGTGGGTTTACCGTCCACTCAACATGGTTTTATTTTATTTCAATGATTCACTAGTGTGTAGGTGTCTTTAACAGTGGGACGAATCTGGAGGTCTCGAATAAAACAAACATGCTGCTCCTTGTCACAAACAAGTGTGGGATCAAAACTGCATCCCTTGATTCAATGACAGACATTATGATCTAAAGCGCACACAATCATAGAAAAATTCATCATTTTTTAGTATTCTTTCTGAGAGAGAGAGAGAGAGAGAGAGAGAGAGAGAGAGAGAGAGAGTGGTGGGTTTAACATCCACTCAACATGTTTTTATTTTATTTCAATGATTCACTAGTGCGTAGGTGTCTTTAACAGAGGGACGAATCTGGAGGTCTCGAATAAAACAAACAAGGTTGGACAGAGCATGCTGCTCCTTGTCACATACAAGTGTGGGATCAAACTGCATCCCTTGATTCAATGACAGACATTATGATCTAAAGCGCACACATTAAACCATTCAGCCACCCAACTCCACCTAATTAAGATAGGCATTTTTATCTTCATATTTATGTTTTCTACTTTCCAAACACATTTTATTAGTAGCAACCTTTTTTCAATACTATTTCCCAAACACATTTTATGAGCAAACTTTTTTCATTAGTGTAATATCAAGTCGTGCGAAAATTCGTTGTCAATTCCAAACAATTATTCATTCACTGTTTCCGTATGTGATTTATATAGTACTAACTTATCAACTGTCAACAGGAAAGACAATAATTGATCGAACGTGTAAAAATCAATTAGTTCATTATCTTCAACAATTGAATTTCCGTAGAAAAAGGTTATTGTGTGAAATAATATAATGACATATTTATGAGCTAAAGTTAATTCAATATTAGCGCAAAAATCAACGACACCTCTTTTACAATAAAGACATTTATCAAACATTTCGATCTGTCTGGTTAACTAGTGTTTCATATCAGACTAGTAATCACTGGAATGGGACAGGAAGAATATCTGAATATTTCATATCCTGTTGCTAGGTCATGCAGATGAGATGAAAATGGGAAACTACTTTTTGGCTATATTCTTATTATTGATTCGACTTTCACAATATTGTAGTTTGCAAGGGATTAACAATACCTCAACTGACAGTTCACAGACTTTTGAGGGAAAAAAGAAAAGAACGAATTCTGAGCAGAAGAATTTTCCAGGACAATCAATAAGTTTCTGTTATTTAATTTAAGTTTAATCATAATGGCCTTATAAACTCTGTTTACACAGAATGAAAAGAGTGGGCTATGTGTTTTTGTATAATAAATTGCATCTTTATACAATGATAACCAATCAATATAATCAACTCGTTCGTGTAATGTACCTGGAGCCTTGTTTCATCTTCTAGTCTCTTTGTTTTGTTTTTCAGTTCATTGGATACTGACATAAGATCCGAGCCCTGAATGTCGACTTTGGTCCTCAGGGTCCTCAACTCGTCCATCAATTCCTGTGTGTGTTTTTCAAGTTTATCTCGAGCAAGTTTTGTTTCCAGTAGGCCATTTTCCAGATCAGCTAGTCTATAGAGAACATCAAAGAAATTGTTGTAATATATAAATCATGACTACAAATAAAGGATTTAATGAAACGTAAAGAGAGAAAATTCACTTATCAACAATGATAATAATGGTGTCATAGTAAGAAGGAGTCTATGTTACAACCTGAAGATCAACGAAGGAAATAAAATCTATTAAAAATTAAACGGTTATTTATTTATGTTATAACCTAAAGATCAATGAATGAATTAAAATCTATTAAAAATTAAACGGTTATTTATTTAACAAAGTCACAGTCTTTAACAACCTATATACTGAGACTATAACTGAAGACCAGACACGCATCTTCATATCTGTTTCTTGTATGATGGCAATGATGGCATTCCCTATGTCATTGGTCCATAATTATACAAATACCATGCACTTGCTCTGCTCAAATTCCTGAACATGCCCCTGTAGTATCAATTACTAATACCGATGCCAAAATCATAAAAGAATTAAAAAAACAACCATACAATCCAGTAACTCCATGGATTTGATTAGCCTTTAAAAACTTACTTGGATGATTGAGTATCTTTTTTAGATTTGAGTTCATGCTGGCTGTTTATTACTGCCTGCTCCACTCCTTTGGTATGATGGACTAGAGATGTCATTGCTGATTGCTCCTGAGCTAAACGATCTTCGGTGCTCTTAATCCGTGAAGACAGCTGCAGGATGAGGTCATTACATGACTTGAGTGAGGCCTCAAGTTGTTGTCTTGACATACTCTCATCCTTAAGTGTATCTTCATTTCGTTTGACCGTTACCTTTAACTCATTTTGAAGACGCAGTACCTCATCCAAAAGGGCACGGTTGGATTTTTCAGTTACATTCAACCTCATTTCCATAGATCTGACCTTTTCCTCTGCATCCAGAAGGTCACCCGAGGATGGAAATCGGCCAACTGGTTTACGACTAAAAGGTGAGGTACCATTGTTAAAAGAAACCAATTGATTATCTGGACCAGGCTGTGGAGAATTATTAGGGGGAATGGCTGGTAGCTGTGTATAACTTCCCCTCTGGAAACCAGCTGGTACTCTGGAAAAAAAAAAGGTAAAAAGTCAATAAATCTTGAATCATTATCGATAGTTTTATTTACAAAAATAGCTGTTGTTGGAGTTTCATGGAACTGGAAGTTGTACAACTCTAAAAATCAGGAATCCACAGTTCATTAATGCCACCAGGTCTTTTGGCCTTTATACCACAAGTTTCGGCCTTGGGGAACCCTAGTGTAGCCACCAACCCAGAATAGACAAACAACAGTCACAAATAATATAGATAATGTTCAAGCTATAATTAAAATATTTGGACGCCTTTGTTTTTATGAATCAAAGTTACAATATGTAAAATATACTGTATGTTTGTAAGCAGGCCCGTAACTAGGGGGGGGGGGGGTGTGTGCAAAAGGTGCAAAGCCCCCCCTGTAAAAGGTTTCGCCCCCCCCCACCTGTGAAAAAATTGTCGACCATTATAATAATAGATATACATTGTCCATCAATTTTACAGCACCCCCTGAGAACACTTCCCGCCCCCCCTCACCCTCGTTGCTCTGAGCTAGTTACGTTCCTGTTTGTAAGTATGACATTTATGGATCCCAGGACATAACATAGAGGCCTACCATATAGGTCTACTTCTATCTTGTATTTCGTAACTAGTTTTTTTAAAAGAAAAAATCAAAACAAAAATTAAAAACTTCATAAAATGTATGCTTAAATTAGCATAAAATCCACTGTGGATCAATAATCCATCTCTATATCAAAACTTTAAAATAAAAGGAAACATAAATTTATAACTGTCATAGTTACAGTATACAAATTTATCAACAGGTATGTGGCTCTGTGAGTATGACACTTGGTTACTAACCAGAATACCCCTGGTACCATCCCACTGCTACCAAGGAAGTTCCTCAGATTTTTTTTTAGCCTGGTCCCCCTGTCAGATGCAACAGAAGATACATGCACCTGGCAAGCAAAAGGCATTTAGCCCTTTGTGGCCTATTCATTTGTGTTCACGTAAAGGACCCTTGACAGTTAGAATTCAATAAAGAGTACCGGTAGGTGAAAACCCAACTATGCAGGCAAAATTTCCTTCACCGAAATATGCCTATAGCGTAGAATGTGTCATTAACCCGGTTGATAGTGCTGAAAAACCTACAAAAATATACAGGATGTTAAACCTCATTTTATTTAATTTTGATATATAGAAATAATAATACCTCTCTAAAGACCTATATAGATAGGTCTATAGTACAATTCCTTTCTTTTCTTATTATGGACAATTTTACAAAAATAACTCAATATTTTCTTGATAAATATTTAATATTTACATTAGAGCACTACGAATCTGGAATATACAAAGTCTGTCTATAATAACAAGGAACTCTTCTAACATTTCTCCTACACAAAGATTACATTCAGTCTTTGATATGTCCTTTGGGAAAAAATTGTAGGTTGCCAGTGAATTAAACATGTAGCTCTCTGGCTCTGAAGATACATTGTTGCATCGATATAAATGGCATACTACTCCCACTAAACACTGCTTTAACGAAGGCAAATTTCTGTTCCAAATTATGACTGATCAATGGTCAGATTAACAAATAATAACCAACGGGGTTACAAAAGCATTACGCTTAAAACAGAGCTCCAAATTGGACCAAATATGTTTACATAATGTTACGGCATAGTCATGACTCACGATTTTATTATGCCCAATTAACCAGTGCATAGCAGAATATTGCAGAAAAACTAATTGCGTGACAAACAAGGCTATCAAATCGAAAACAATGTAAACAATACTGTTTGGAGACGAACATACTTTCACCGTTTTTAATACCTTAAATCACTGTCCAAAGTTTTAGGGAAGACCCCGATTAAACGAAGAGCTGTCATGTTGCAGTACTTGGGATAGATTTGATTGAACAGGAAGAATAGACAAACTCCATCAAAAGCTCAAGTATCAGAAGCTAATCCAGCAATGGCCAGAGTGGGATTTCTCGGGCCATTGCTTCATGAATATGTATAAATGGAAATTATCAGTATGTCAAAATAGAAATAACAATAAAATATCATTAAAATGTTTAGCCTCTACAGGGTCCTCATGACATCAAATTCAGCAAGAGCAACAACTCCAATAGTAATTATCAGAAATCATTGAAATTGAATATGATTCTTTGTCTCACGAAAATAAGCAGTGTGTATAAATTCCAATTCAATTTGTCTCAGATTATATTTTTGATAGTAGATAGATGTGACCAATACAGTTTTATTAGGGATGTTAGATAGGTTGTGCTAAAATTATCTTAAAATAATTTCAAGTCTACATTTGTACATGTGTCCTTAAACTATTGTCACTGAAATAAAGATAAGAGAAATTGGGTTTAATGTTCACTCTACACAAAATATGGTACAATATTATTTCCATAATTTGCTTGCCTATAGGGGTCTTTAACAGTGGGGGGGGAAACAAAATGAACCAGACCTCAATTTTTTTTAGTTTATTTTAACGACTAGATGATTTCCTTGCCAGGACTTCTGACAAGCGGAAACCTAGCTAGAAAATCCAGAGGAACTTTCTCGACCAACATTGATATCTAAGTAAGGACCACCTGGTAAGTGAACCACGTACCATGACTACCAATAAATCAATAATGACAATAACAGCAGTTAAATGCATCATAATGTAAAGTCTTAATACATATTGTTTTATATCATCAGGATGAAAGACACTATTTTATTATGAGTATCAAATTGCCCATTGGCATGACAATAAATAAACAAACAATAACAAACAATGGAAACATTCACGTCTGCAGCATATTTAATAAGCCTCAATACAGTATCTAGTATGGTATCAATTTACTCCATATTCAATAGATTTAACATTAGATTTTTTAAAGGGACACATCTATGAGATTAAATTTTGACAGAAATGTATCTTGGTGGTCTTACTTTTAATATCGTATGTTACATTTACAAGTCCACCTTTACGTTCATTTCATTTAGAGAATAGAGATTGGTTCACTAACCCTAAAACTAGAATTTCAATGGTGGTTCTCTCAACCTTTTTTAGCAAACGGCACTCCTTGGAACACATGAAAAAAAATAGCGGCACACCTGGCTAAATATATATGCAAAATATTTGAATTTTGCAAAATAAAAACAGGGTTCGGCAGACGGCACAACCGCTAGACAGAGACTGTCATAGAATGCACATAGAATGACTCAAACTAAATAAAGAAAAACACAGCTATGAACTTATCAGTAGACACCTGTGAATACTCAATTGGGATCACATGGTTTTTTGCATTTTCTTAGTGTGCCGTTCAAAATATCGTGGCACACCTTAGGAAGATCTCGCAGCACACTGGTTGAGAATCCATGGTCCACAGTCTCAGTGGGTTGTTGGAGGGCAATTGAGCTCAAGAAGTTTTTTACACTAACAATTAGAGTTACATAGAGTTTGTTTTAGAAATGCCCTATTTTGCTGATGATATCTTTGTACATACTGAACTATATCAACCCATTTTTGTACCAATATTCCTCATAAGTTTCAACATTTACAATATAATAGTTCGCAAGAGATTGACAATTCCTCCAGTGACAGGTCAGCAGATTTAAGACTTTAATCAATGATCTGCAGTTAGATTCAAGGTGAGTCAGTGTCTATTGAAATTTAGACAAGACTTTAATCAACCCAACATTAGGTATCAAAACCTATCGTTTTTATGTTAACAGGAATGTATTAACTGACTGATTGTACTTACTGTAAATTTTGTAAGGATTTTTTCAGCAAATTTTCACGTAATAAACTCTCACGCAACAAGTTTTCACGAAACAGATCCATTGTATGCGATCAAAAACCTACTACTCCTCAATTCTTCAAGTCATAAATCCAATCCCAGCACATATAACATTGACTTATCCACAAATTGAATTCAACAATGTTCAATTTAATGACACAAAATATTCATCAGCATGAAACTAATCTTGGCACTGAATATTTGAAGATCCTAATAAAACATCAAACACTTGTTTTACTGTACACATTTGATTAATTTCTTTAGAAAAATCATTTTCTGTCATGTTTCAAGTTCTAAATTGATCGAAATTTCATTATGGAGTTTTTTGTAAGGTTCGTACACACTTCACAGACTTAAAAACAGGTTTCAAAGAACATGTATCAAACACTTGGTTAGGGTTTAGGTAGCTAGGTAGCCGCTAAATACAAGATCAAGTACAATAACCATAATCTATTATTGAAAAAATAGATATCACCTTCTTTACATTTCGATCTATAGCATATAGCCTTTATTCAATCAATGATCAATGATTTTTATTATTATAAATTCCCTTTCAATATTGACTGTGTATAATCAATGGTAAAGTCAACAATAAATATCATAAATTGGTCTTTTATTCATTATAATATACACAATCAGTGAATCAAGTACTGCAAAACACTGGTTGGTCATTTTACACACAACTGGTAGATATATAGTAATCACACATAAACGTCATTCTACTGTTAATAGTAGTACACATGACAATTTTCTCTTTACCTTTGTTTTCAACACCTAGATGAAACAACAAGCTGACTTAAGGTAAGCAATAAATGTATTAAGTAGTTTAAGGGCAGAATATCCAATTGGGCAGTTTTTAAAAAAATAATTAAGCAAAGAAGCACTAAGAATTAACTCCCATTGATTTTATTGTTATACATTCTCTCAATGAAAATGTATGGTATAATTTATAAATTCAATTGTTTAGGCTTCAAATCTACATACTCGCTTGTAATAATCTAAAATTCCTCTGAGGTTACTGTGATTTGGGAGGTTGGATGGATGGCCGAATGGTTAGCATGTGCGTGCTGTATCATAAGGTCTGTCACTGAGTCAACTGGCGTGGTATCGATTCTCCGGTTGTATGTGACAAGGAGTAGGGTTGCCTGTCCAACCTCGTGGGTTTTCTCCAGATCCAAAGGTTTCCTCCCACTGCTAAAGACCCATACCCACAAGCAAATTATTGAAATAATATTAAACCGTGTTTTAGTCCCGAAATGACCTAGTTTGTGTCAAGTGGACATTAAACCTCATTCCTCCCTCTTCCTCTCTTATTTTGATTCATGGTAGGACAAACACAATAAAATTGACACTTATTTTCTATCCAATTAAAATTCGTTTTAGATATATACAAAACTATATATAATCAAGATGTAAATGGTGAAATAACTGAGAAATCTGTGATTAAACTACAAGTTTAATGGGCTCCAGCTTTATATATATATACAATATGAATAAACATAATGACTTTACAAGAAATCTACTACAGGGATACCTGCGAACTAAACTTATTAAAACCTTTAAAAAGTTTTATGGCCGTCATATTGACTTGGTTAGTAAATATAACATGTCTCTCTCGGCTATTATTCTAGATATATTTAATTGACGCGTATACTATCTCCCTGATAATGTCTGTCAACTACATCGTTAACACTGTTTATCACATGCATTTTGCATACCGATAGTCGATTGGCCAATCACGCTATTTTACTGAGATTTCGCCTAATAGTTTGGATGCAGCTATGGAGGGTGTGTTTGTCGTGTATTTTGTACACGGTGAACAGTCCATATGCTGATTACACTATTTTGCCTGATTACACTATTTTGCCTATACCGTTTTTTTAGGACTTCGAATTTTGTCTAATGGTTTGGATTGTTCGTACTTGGTTTTATTTTATTTATATCAGTAAAGAGACTTATTGATGTTAAAAACCTAGCATCCTGGTTCACACAAATAATAGTGATGCAAATATTACATAATAGACTTGTTTTGTTTAAAAACTTTCAGCAAAGCTGTTTGACAAGCTCTTCTAAAATAAAAAAAAACTCACATCAAAAGAGCACTTCTTAAAACAAAATGTTTTAAATACACAATACAGAAACGATAAAATAAATGTACCATGTCCTACTTTAGGTTCAGATGAGAAAATAATTAAATTGATTTATCGATAGCTCATGTTGACTTGGTGAGTATGACATTTACTCACTCACTAGGAGGTCTAGTTTCAATTCTGTTGTTGGCTAGGAAAGTTTCTTATGATTTTCCAGCCCGATTCCCCCCTTGCCAGTGGTGCACGAAAGAGGATCTGGCATTTAAAAAATCATCTATTCTCTTGAATATGATGAAAAAACAAGGTTCCAGGTATACCATTGTCAGGATCCCCAGAAAATTACATGAGAAGACCGATGGCCAATGCGACATGTTCCTGGCAGAATTTGCCTCATACATGTAGCATCACAAGCATCCAATGGACTAGAGACTTGAATATAGAATTGTTGTGAATAAATGTCTAATTAATAATTAATATAACATTTGAGGCCAAAAGAAAGACCTGCAATAAGCAGATTTAGCTCTTACATAATGTATCTTTAATAGTACCCTGTCGTTATGAAAGAATGGCTATAGGGCTTGATTTATGTATCTGAACGAAAAATTTTCCATTATCACAGACATTAATAGAAATGAAATGAAATGAAATGAAGTGAGGTTTAACATCCTACTACGCTGCATCAACCGGGCTAATAACAATGTAAATGCAGTAAGCAAATACCGAAATTTTGTTAGGACTCAGGACAACGGCGCTTTCGCCCACTCTTCATCCAATTCAAACGGTCAAGGGTTCATTTAAGTACATGCCAACTTGTACATAGCACCTCATTTTCTGTCCCATCCAAACGACTAGATACTGCTCTTTGCCAGGCACTCCGTCCTGCACCACTGACGCTGAAAATCTTAATGAATTTCCTAGGTCAACACCGAAAGCAAACCCTGACTGCTGGTTAGGGAGCCAGCATCTTACTTACTGAAACACTATGGTCCCCAGAGATGGGTAAACCTCTGACTAATCTTTGATGATGGCACATGACATGACACACAAATCTCATTCATCGTAAACAAAATGTCACGCACTGAAAAACCTATCCAATCTCATTTGCACATGATCTCAAGTGATCAGACCTTTAATCACTAAAAGGTTATATCTATTGTTTCTCGGAGGAAAAGTAAAAAAAAAAAGAAATACAGAATAAAATCAATAATTATCTACTAGGAATGTGAGTTAATTAATCAATATTTGTAATATATTGAGATCCAGTTATGAAATTAATTGCATAACTAAAAATATTGCTTTCTGGAAAACAAACGTTTTTTATTATTGACCATAGCATGGTTATGATTAAGTCTGTGGGCTAGACAGTAAGAAGTTGGCCACCACTGAGCTAGAAACTAAAAGGTTGGCCACTCCTGTGCTAGACAGTAAATAGAGAGAGAATTAAATGGGGTTCAACGTCCACTCAACATAAATACTAGGTCATTTTGGGACTAACTTGCATGTAGGAGTCTTTAGAAGTTGGAGGAAACCGGTGGACCCTGAGAAAACTCATGAGATTGTACAGGTGTCACATTCAAACAGGGATACAAAACATTTCTTAAAAACTGTCTTATATTCACCATCTGAACGGGTCGGCTTAAAAACACAGACTCCAGTTTGCTTTGGGCCCCCGTATTATCTGTCTTAAAATTTCCAGCGATTTTAAACTAGTTTAAATGCAAAGATTAATCAAGTCTATCAAGCAGATTAAGTAGTTAAACAATTAGTAGGCGTATAACACCACAAAAAAGTTGATCCTTTAATTACTTAAGCAATCCCACCTATTATCAATGACAACAGAGATTAGTAATGGCTGTGCCCTCGGTGCAGTAAATATTTTTGGGAATTTTGAATATGATTCACCATTATATCTTGATATCCGATTGGGAATATTCCTGGTTAGATGTTTGCCAACTTGTGTAGGGTATGTCCGGCATACACGAGAGAAACAGCATCCATGGTCTAAACAACCTATCCCAGTTGTTGTTTGTATTTTAGAGGAGAGCTGTAAAAAACTCCCCTTAATCAACATATTGAAAAAATCGCGCCCCTAAAAAAGCTCTCCCAGTTTTGGTAAGAAGAGTGATTTAAAAATTAAGGAGAGTGATCTGCTATTAAGGAGAGTGATAAGTTGTGTGTATAGGAAATGGTTCTGAAGATCAATAACTGCATATTAGAGGATCATTCCTGGTTTCATAAATGATAATAAACCCCCGACGACTTTGTAAAGGACAGCAATTTTTATTATTAAGGGGAGTGAGCGGCAGGTGCTCGAGAGCGATCACTCATCTTAAAAAACAATGACTGCCTATCAGAGAGTACAATGTTGATCTCCACTGTGCTAGACATCAAAATATTAGCCAAAATATTTAGACAATAAAAGGTTCACCACCAATGTGCTAGACAGTAAAACTGTAGCATAGCTTAAATAAAACTAAACAAATATTGGTTTACTAATTCTTTTATACTCTTTTACTAAAGGTCACTGCAAGCTTTAAGATTTAAACTGATACTATCTGATTTCTGACAAACAGATTAATCGTAACCCAATTCTTAATCAATATGCAAGCAAATTATAAACGTATATCACAACTACTTTCTAATCAGAATTATGTCTTTAGCTTATAACAATATTATCAAATCTGTCTTTTCCCAGGTTTGCTTTTTACATGTAGAAGTACAGTACCCTTATGCAAAAAATTGCACCTACCCAATAAGCCCAAAGGCCCAACGCCAACCCAAATAAAAATAGTATTATTATTAAACCAGTCTAAACTCTCTCTCATTTCTATGCATTTGGGGATTGAAATATAAGCATTTTCACTGTTAATTTCGTCCACAGAACAAACTATTTTATCCTCAAGGTATTTTTTTGGCACCTTGCACGATATGAATATTTATTTCAAATGTGTTTTATTTATATTTCCTTACAAGTACTGTTTATGTACATTACATGCAGTCAGTATATAGTCCTTAAATTTCAGGCAACTGAATAATATGCTCATTTGGTAGTCAGTTTTGATCATAATTCTTCAATTTCTGGTACATTTTATTACAGTAAAAGACACCCTCATAAAAACATGATGTCCATATGCCTATAGTCACGATTGTCAACTTTTAATATAAAAAATTCAAAGCTTCGCAGATTAATCAGTACAATAACAATAAATACATGAGGCTTATATTTATTTCTTTACAATATGAAGAAAAGCTTAAAAACGTTAACCACAAAGCAATGACCTTTATAAATAATTCAAGAAAGCAAATTAGTTGAATTAAATTCAACAAAGCGAAAAGAATGAATCGATACAAAATAATGTGATTTAAATTTATTTTTTATCTTTTATCACAGTCTGAGTCAATGTATTATGTTGCAGACATTTACTTTACATCTGACAACATTACTTAGAAGTTTTTTTGTTCAAGTTCAAGTTTTAAAAAAATAGAAACCAACTTCTTTTTTTGTTGTTTTTCAAAAATACCTATTATCAATAATTAATTAGCTTCTTATGTTTTGCACACAGGGGATCAGGAAGTGTGCGTGGGTGTGCAGTGTCTCAAAAAGTTTTAGTTCAAAATTGTTAAACAAAACATTGCTCACCAGATTTCAGTGGCTACCCAAGTATTCATTTATCAAGACCCAAACGAACTAATAATTTAATGGCCCTAGAAGTTTTTGTTATAGCTTTTAGAAAATATAAAGATGAAGTGTACAATCCTCTGACTAGAATAAGGTGCCTGATTACAAATCCTGACAATACTTGTGCTGTTATTTGCGGATTACTAGATGGAAATAAGCCCATTATCAATGACCTTGGTAGGCTTTGAAAGCTTTGAAGGCTTTGAAGGCTTTGAAAGATACGATTTCTCTGGTGCCTCTATATGTCCAGAGCAAGAGTTAAAGTAACAATGCGCCATTTGCATTTTTTGCCAATATATCAAATTTCTCTTGGCTTAATAATCCATGCTAATATGTACTCAGATTGATTATTTAATATCTAAAATACCAATGCTAGATAATCTCCAGCTTGGATTCAATCCGACTTAAAACAGGCCAATCAATTCGGTTTCCAACAACAAAATGACTGCAGAGTATTACATAACAATTTAAATTCAACATATCTCTATGTAAATACTGAACAGAATTTTTCGAGTGATTTAAAAATTAAGGAGAGTGATCTGCTATTAAGGAGAGTGATTAGTTGTGTGTATAGGAAATGGTTCTGAAGATCAATAACTGCATATTAGAGGATCATTCCTGGTTTCATAAATGATAATAAACCCCCGATGACTTTGTAAAGGAGAGCGATTTTTAATTTTAAGGGGAGGGAGAAAAACCTCCCCTCGGTGAGCGGCAGGCGCTCGAGAGCGATTGCTCACCTTAAAAAACAATGACTGCCTATCAGAGAGTACAATGTTGGTCTCCACTGTGCTAGACTTCAAAATTTTAGCCAAAACTGTGCTAGACAATAAAAGGTTCACCACCAATGTGCTAGACAGTAAAACTGTAGCATAGCTTAAATAAAACTAAACAAATATTGGTTTACTAATTCTTTTACTAAAGGTCACTGCAAGCTTTAAGATTTAAACTGATGCTATCTGATTTCTGACAAACAGATTAATCGTAACCCAATTCTTAATCAATATATGCAAGCAAATATCTGAACTAATAACATCATATCAGTCAAATCAGTCCTTGAGATCTTATAACCAGAATACTCCTTTGGTTCCACAGTCGAAATTGAAACATTTTGGTTGACAGAAGTTTCAGTGTAGTTGCTCCTAAATTGTGAAACTTTGACTACTTCAAATCACAGCTGAAGACTCACTTATTTCGGGAATGCTATCAGAATTAGACTTTCTATTCACTGTGTATATAACTAACTATTTTCTCATTGCGCTTTGAGCATGCTTTTGGATTGATTTGGTGCTCTACAAATGTACATACATTATTATTATCATTATTAAATAAGATATTTTTATCAACAGCTGATCATCATTAAAGGAGTTTTGAAACTATAATGTTGTGAACATTGAACCATGAATCTCCTAAAGAAGTATCAGCCCAAAAATGGTTGAATTCCTTATTTACAAATATACTCTTCAAAAAAAGTAGGGGATATTGAAATGCAAATACCTATGCAGGTTGTGATATGATAAATAGTCATGGACACTTGACATGCTTTGAGAGTATGTTCACAGATGAAGAACTTATCGCCCCAACAGAACCACTGAGTTGCACATGTGACACCCAATAGCGCCATACACGTGGGAGGGGTTCATTGTCAAATTTGACACTTCAAGGAAGGGTTGATGAAAACTGCCGCGTGCTGGTTTATCTATCCATGTGTGCTTTCCTATCGGTTCTTGCATAAGATTTACTGTTTAGGGTGTCTTTGCTTTAGTGTGTTATGCTTAATTTGATCAGGAGACGTGTTCGTCGACAGCAACGTCAACCGACAACACTGCAAGAATTGGCCGTGGCACTGCAAGAGGAGTGGGTCAGATTGCCCCAAATCGTGATTGGACTGTTGATTAGGAGCATGCCACGACGAATTGCTGAATGTCTGAGGATTGGTGAAGCAATTACTCATTATTAAGACAAAAATCAAAAACACATTTTCAGTTTTGACAGTGTATCTCTTTGCGAGTGAAATGGGGTCGTCATATAAGCCGCCCATATAAACTGTTTATGTTCATGTGTAGGCAATTGGCCTGTTATTAACATACACTGGTTACCTCTAATAAAAACAGCAGTGCATTTCCGCAGTTTTGTATTGTTTCTGAATATCCCCTACTTTTTTTTGAAGAGTATATTAGCAACAATTGGCATCTGATCTGCAGATGATATAAACAAGCCAGAGTCACCTATAAAGGGCTCTTTTTAATTTAATTGAATCTAAACCAGGAGATTATTACTGTTGCGACATTTTGGTTTGGTTTTGTTAAATAGTCAATTTCAATCTGTTTCACAGAGGATTACGATATGGTGCCTTTTACTCATTTTCATACCCATTTACAATAAATAGGAAATATTTTTCACCTACAAATACTTTTAAACGGCTTTATTTATTTTTCTAATATATAAAAAAAATGTTTTAGAATTTAATTTGTAGGAAGAAAAAAAGTTAATATTTGTGGTTCATTAAGTCGCATCAATGTCATCCTTATCAGTGATTGTAGCGACCTAGCGAATATTCACTGCTGATCAGTGTGAGTCAATTTAAGTACAATTTAGCATGGAATATGCTATAAAAAAAATAGATATTGTCCATGAATTTAAGCATTTGATAGAACTTTATTATGGGTCCAAAATTTTAATCCATCATATACATATTTATATGCCCATCAACATTACAGTACAAAATTGGTTGCCAGGCAACAAAACTTATGCATTTTGGTTCTGGTTCTAAATTAAATGCAAAACTGTTAAACTATACTCATAATCAAGGGAAATTGACTACATAATTAGAAGTAATTAACAGAAATTGTTAAAATTCTCAATTGCACATTAATTTCAAGCAGATTGGATATGATAACTGATCAGGGCAATAACCGCTTAACCGATTCTTTGTGTCAGGGTCAACAAAATATATAAAATACACAAGTTCTGAAATTAAAACGGTTTATACTATACTGTGTTCACAAGAAGTTGTGGATGACAAGATGAAGACTATATAATATTTATTTTGTAGTAAAGTAAAATGTACCGACTGTATGTAGCCTAATACTAAATTAATCACCATTCAAATTTGATTTACCGTAGATTTTTATGCTGAAAGTCTGTAGCAAAAGGATAATCCAATGGACTACTTTTGTTATAAGACATGCTTGTGCCTTCCATAGATTTCCATAGCATTATGTAACTAACAAAAGTGGTTCCTTTAAAATTCTATTCATTTAAGAGGTTCCTAAAGTAAGAATCACATTCTGTCGTTGGTTAATATCACAATAAAACTTCACACTGAATGTCTGATGTTGTTAATACACTCCCTTCAATCAACAAGAAATATGATGAATAGAATTTGATGTATTGATAATAAACTCCACCTCTTTCAGAACATTTCGAGTCGCAGTCGACTACAACGCGCTGATTATTGAATGTTACTGGAAGAGAAACTAAAGAACATCAGGCTTATGTTAACAACTGAACTACCTGTAAGGCCTTTAATCAATAAATACCATTGTTTTTCATCAATATGGTAGTTTCTTCAGTATTGATCTAACTCTAAAAAGACGGCACTGTGTTGATTCAAGTACATATCTTATACAATCCCTGGCTTACATGGTTTGTTGATCGTCAATCAATTATATACAATAAGTGACGGATGTGTAGAATTGTACCTGGACGTGTGTATGTGCTGTTTACATGATTTAATACATCAATGTTGATTTCCTCCTGATTTATATGAACATGAGTCTCTATTAACTAAGTCTACACTGTTGTAACAACTATAACAAGGAATATGAATCGTGACTTAATACAATATACCGCTCTTATTACATGTACATGCAAAGATGGATGAGATTACACACACTGCCATAAAAAACAAAATGGAATCAGACACTTAATTATCAATGATAATGATTGAATTTAGAGCAAAAAATAAAGAATTATCATAAAGTAAAAAAATTAAGCCATATTAATACCACAAGATACCCAGTATTACTTTTCATTTATAAATATCTATTTTGTTTCATGTGTCGAACTCAGTGACATTGTCTACATCAAATGAAATTAAATTTAAAATCGTTCTGCATCAACCAGGCTAATGAAGATGGGCATACATTGTATGTGCCATGAACTGTGAAGATAAAAATTTTCCCCCGTCCACCAGTGTAGTCCCCTTTTTGGACGACTAGACGCTGTTCCGTGCATGACAAAGGGGTAACATGCTGATAAAAATCTAAGAAACTTTCTCTACAAACACCAGTATTGAACCTGGGTCCTAAAGAGTCAGTGTTTTATATTCAGTGAGCCACCTTGGCTCCACTGCACTTGTTGGGGTTGGAAGCCATGCATGCATTCACCTTATATTTTATATATGCATGGTATTACGAGATAGAAGTTTCCCATCTGGGAATTAGACCAACCAACATTCAGTGCCAGATTTAACTATAGGTTTGGGAGGCTGAAGCCCAGGGTCTCAAGTTTTAGGGGGCCTTCGGCTAGAGTGTATAATTTTTTTTACACTTTCATAAGCCTTTCTTACATACATTGTTGTCTTAACCATCCACTATCATTCTTGACTTCTCTCAATTGTGTTTAAGATACACTTTTTTTTATTTTCCTCTAGTTGTGAGGGTGTAATAACCTAAAACCTCACTTTAACTAAATAAGGCCCTGACAATATTGAAATCCCCGTTAAATTAAGCATTAGCGATTCTAGTTTGTTGATAAAACAATAAAAGCTTTTTTGCTCAAAATACTTTAACTTAAATTTCGCAATATTCTAGTGTGAATTGATATTGATAATCGATAATAAATATTGCCAGTCTCTCATAACTTAAGATGTGTGATTTGACAAATTTCCGTGCAGAATACCATTTTATACCAGTCAATTACTCGAAGTTATAACTCAATAACCGTAACAAATAACAATACATTAAATATTTATAACACATTTCTGCAACATTCATCATAATCATATTGAGTTAAAAAATGTTTTTACTTGAGAGAGTTAATTTAGGCCAAATCAATTTTTTTTTTTTTTTTATTTCTTAGGGAAAGTATTTGGTTAACTGTTCCAAATTTTTAAGTTTTGAAATTTAAACAAAATGTCTGTCAGATGATTCAATTAAGTGGCTATATTTACTTGTATTTATCAAGACTCTGTAGAACCGAAAATAAAACGGATGTGGCCTTTTAAACATCAATCATTATTAGAGATGTGTCATTAAAATATGGTTATTGCTTATTACATTTAAAGGTTTGTTTTTTATGTTTATTAAATGTCAGTATAATTGTTACCAGGAAGTTTATTTCAAAACTATTGCCAGACACCCACATACTATTAGTATTAAATGAATATTTCCCTTGCATTACATTTCATTCTCTCTGACTTGTATTGTTTAAAATCAATATTGTGTGGAGTTGTAACTACATCAAATCAAACTAAGAAGAAAATGTAGGCCTACACCTTCAATAAAGTCTACAAGCTTCCAATTACAATTTATCACAATAAAACACATACAAAATCTATGCCACATATATAATACCTTGGCACATCTGAAATGAATACAAAATGGATATATATTTTAATATCTGATTTAACTAGCACGATAACTGTTGTATTGAAATGAACTACGTGCTGTACTGTAATGTACTGAAATGGACCGATTAATATTCACTGTATACAGTCATTATCTTTTATTATCCCCTTCTGCAGAAATGTTTTGAGTTATTCTCAATGAATCTACGCCATTCTACGGTATATAATAAGTACAATATCTCATCAAGGATAACAATGAATGGAAATAAAAGAATGTCAAGTGTTTTATACTGATAAAACTTCTGACATTACACAGACCAATAAAGACATGTCTTAATAATACCGTAAATAAGCTCTCATCCTGCTTTATCTATATATTGATCTCAAATCAATATCTTAGTTAGTTATTAGTTCTTCAAAACATCAATAAAAGCCTATTACATATAATATCTAATGAACATTATAAAGACTTCAAATAATGTGGTCATTGTGTAGTGGCAGCCATTAGCCATGGACAGTTTATCAAAAGCAATTGCTAATACTTATAATTTCAAAATGAAAATGGACTGGTATAGGCCTATTATCCTAAATAAAACCAATAATAATTATATAACCTTCTTAAACTGGTCTTGCACTGAAATTTGGACATCATTAGTCTGACATATCTCACAGCAACTAGTGCTCTGACAGATCTGTGTTAACAGGACTCCTTCAGGATTCTACTCTGATACTCTGTTAAATAACGCTGGAATCATTACTACCTGGGGCCTGTTGCACGAAATTTTAACTAAGATAAAATCCAAATTTTAGTAATTTGATTGGATAATATTGGATTGATTTTAGTGCTTAGCCAATGAAAATTGAAGTATCTACTAAAATTTGGATTTTATCTTTAGTTAAAATTTCGAGAAAAACAGGGCCCTGGTTGAATTAATGGTTCAGAGAATATAAATCATATCACAGTGAGTAGAAATGAAATGGGGTTTAATGGCCCACTTTTTTGCAACCAATTATGGGCTATAATGAAGACATGTTGTGAGCTATGAAGGAAAGTTTTGCATAAGACGATAAGGATGCATATCCTAATTCAACTGATCATGTCTGTCTACAACTCACAGCCATTGCTTCAGGATTGTCTGTAGAAACCCTATCAGATTTAAAGACCCACACACATCATGAGAAATCTTTTCATTATACTATTTTATTATTAATTATGTTTTACATAAATATGTACAGTTGAGTTGAGCATGAAGGCTGCTTCTAAATATCTCTCTCATTATCATATCATGTTGATTGTAAAGCGTCCTTATTGAGCACTTTTGTGGAAATAGCGTTATATAAACGCTTGTAAATAATTAATAAATAATAAAAAATAAATATTGCTACCTAAAAAGGCATGTCGTCATGCCAGGTTGTTCATATAATATATTTATTTCAAAACTACAAAAATATACATTATGCAGTATCTTGATCTAAAGACTGTTGTATATTATAGACATTGATGGAGAATGGGCCTATATGAAAAAGATAGCACAATCATTTTTTACTACATCCATCTACCTCTAAGATACATGTAATATACCATAATTGATTGATTTTTAATTTATGGATCAGAATGTTTTATTAATAAAAAAAACACTCTTGATAGTGTATTTACACTATATATTTAACCTTTAATCTGGCATGTTGGGGGCGTGAAAGTCACTGCTGACCAGTTTTAATAAGACACTTGTTACTGTAAAAATCAAGATAGGTTATGGTATGCAGTTAATTTTCTTATTAATCTGTTGACTGTTTCACTGTTAAATGGATAAAACAAAAAGAAGCAATCAAGAGAAATCTTATTGAGAAATAATTAAACCAGTTAAAGGGAGCTAATTTGGTTTGACAAAAATTAAAAATTCACGAACATCTAAAAGCGCCCCAAAAATACAACCTATCAAAGAGAGAAATTGGGTTAATGCCCACTAAATCAATTTGTGATTAACACATGCAGTGGAAGGAAATTGAGAAACTGGGTCTTCATTTCACCAACTTCTGAATTTTATTTGAAACATATTTGACTTCAACGAGCTTTCTGAGTTGAGCAGAACTCTTTATATTGTAGATAAGCATATTTTTCTTCTTTGTTTTCCATACAACACATACTGTACTACAATTCAATTATTAATATTCAAAAAAAAACAAAACAAACAATAGTCAAAACATTGTAGAATTTTATTCAGAAATTATTCATAATCAATTAAAAATATTATAAAATTTATATAAAAATGTTTTATTCAAAGTGGCATTAGCTCTTTGTAGGTGTTTATTAACAGTTGGTAAAATCTTTTGTAATCTATGTAGGTCAGTGTTTAGATTGTTGGTAATTCATGGGATTAACGTTGTTTAAGGCTATTCTAATATAGACCTAGATATCATTCAAAATTAATTGTGTTGATTTAATCAAATTCTGGATTGTTTTGCATAGTGGGTATTAAATTTTGGCCCATAGGGCCTATAGTATAGTGCCATTTTTGAGATACCGTTAACTAATTTTGTGTTCATAATCCTCATCATGTTAATGATCTTGTGGTCCATGTTAGCAACAGTTTATTTAGTCAAACATGTAAAAATAAAAATTTGATCGTATAGATCTTAAACAAGCACTTATCGATCTCATTTTGTTTATTAGTTTGTTTAACTCGCTGGCAGTTCTCACTATAATAGTTAAAAACTAGATAATGTAAAGGGAATTTGCTGAAAATTTCAGTCAAATTGATCCACTATGAACCAAGATTTTAGCAATTGAAATTTCGGCCTAGCCTCGATCATCATTACTTAAGTCGGTAGGATATAAAACATAGTCTCGATTATCCATTTCATGATTAAATTATGAATGGAAGTCAAACAGCAAATCGGAACCTAATCCAATAAACATTGCAGGCTAGCGATGCCATCGAGAGTTGATTATGGTCTGGATAAGTTAATTAATGTCTAATTAATTAATAACTTATATAACATTTCAGGCCTAAAGAAACACCTGCAATAGGCAGATTTAGCTCTTGCATAATGTATGTTTAAAGGGGCTAAATCGCTAATATTATTTGAGACCTAGAAATTGACCCAAATGGGTCGCAACACATATAATAATGTAATCTGATTGTATATAAACTTATTTACATTCAATTATTTCCGTTTTGACTCTAATTTCAAATCAGTTATGTCCAGCAAAATACAGCAAAAGTCTCAACTGAATGTCAATTTCTACCGTCTGGTTATTCCAGTCTATTGCGCATGCTCTCCAGATAAGATATATGGTGTCCCCGTTTGACATGAGTTGTTGAATATGTCTAGCCTCGTTCTTAAACATCAAACATATGGTTTTAATTTAATTTACATAATTCGCTTGCGCCCAGGGGTCTTTCGCAGTGGGAGGAAACCGGAGGCCCCGGAGAAAACCCACGAGGTTTGACATGCGACCCGACTCCTTGCCACGTACAACCGGGGATTCGAAACCACGCCAGTCGACTCAATGACAGACTTTATGATACAGAGCGCACGCTAACCATTCAGCCATCCCCCCCCCCCTCAAATGACGCTGAAACCCACTATGGTACACGATTCATGTACCCTGCCATTCATTTTTCCAGTTCATTAAAATTATTTTATGATTGTAGGAATAATATATTATTTTATGGATATAAGAAAGGTTTCATATAAAAAATGTTGTGTGCAGTAGTGCGCTGCTCGGCCTTGCTGAGTTGTCAACTTGCATATAAAAAAAAAGTTTTGATATAATCTAGTGTGTTGGCTAATAGTAATAGACTAATTAATAAATAATAAACTCGCCGAAAAACCAAATACGGTACGCCACTAGGCTACTGTAAACGAATGGATTTTAGCTTCGTCTAATCACGCAATCCATACATTAATTTGTACAGAACATTTGCTAAATGTATTAGCACGACCAATAAGTGTCATGACTATTAATTGCAACATTAATTAGGCAGCCACCTTAATATATTATTATTATATTACCTCTCTTTCCACAGGGGCTCCGCCATATTTGTTTACAGTGTAACGAAGCAGTCGAAACATGATAAATTTCTATTGTTTTGATTGGATGCAAATAAGGTCAATAGAGTTCATGTTGAATATTACCGGAAGCACGTGTTAGCTGACAAGATGGCTTCTGAAAGCGAAGATGATGTTGAAATGGGAGAAGAAGATTCAGTCAAAACGAATAAAAATGACACAGTTTATCTTCCTGGGAAGTCAATGGACGAGGGCGAACAATTAGTGTGCGATGAATCCACATACATAATGTACCATCAAGCCCAAACTGGTAACGTCAATGACTATTAATTTGTATGATTTCATTGATTATTTAAACTATCAATATTGAATATTGTTAGACAATATTAATTATCCTCGTACATATAAGTCGAGAATTCACAAACACAAAGTTTGAATTAAAATGTATACTATAAACCAGTTGTTGTTGGTATTTATTATATAATTAAAGGGACAATAACACTCTTGCTGGCTTGAAAGCTCCAGAAAATAAATAATATCTCTATCTAAGTACCAGATGTTTAAGTCAATAAGTGTCCAGCGCTATTGCACTTTCGTACCTCTACCAAAAATTTCAAGTGCCTATGACCACGGGAACTGGTAGAGGTACGAAAGTGCAATAGCGCCTGTTGTGTAAATTATCCATTACATCCTATTTTACTTGTCCAGAGGGTTCGAAAATATTTTTAAACCATTATGTTGAATTTTTCAAAATTTTTACATAATGTACTAAAGGAGCTAAATCGCTAACATTTAACATGTATATTTAAACTGATTTACATTCAATGGTTTCCGTTTTTACTCCAATTTCAAATCAGTTATGTTCGGCGAAATAAGCCAGCAGTCTCAAGCGAGTGCAAATTTCTAGCGTCTGGTTATTCCAGTCCGTTTGATTTGGTGCAATGTGTCTAGCCTCGTCCCTCGAGTCTCTTGATACAACTGGGGCTGAAGCGCATTATGGTACACGATTCGTGTACCAATGGTAAAATGTTTATTTTGTCTTAAATATTGGATATCAAAAGCCCATCTTTTTCTGGTAAGATCACAACATGAATGTTGATTTAATTTGACAAATAAATCGTGTTTTCAATGTTGAAGATTTTGGATGATATTGAGTTAGAGACTTAGCTACTGTAAGATGAAATTTGTCTCATCAATTAATTGAAATAATCTAAAATAGTACAATTTGTTGACCAGAATAAAGATTGGGACATATTATTCAGTTACAATAAGAGTGGTATTGAGCCTTTAAAATAAACCACTGATCTGCAAGATAAACACGGTATTTGGGGCGAATTCCGATTTTCTTATAGTGAATTCTGGTGTTTTAGTAAATACTATTATTAATAATTACTAAAAAGGGAGGTCTTGAGTGCAAATACCGATATATGTTTTCCATGTAAATTCCGGTGATTTTAGGTGTCTTAAACTAACTTATTATTAATGCAAAATACTAATGAATAGGAATTAATATAGCACCCTTGAGCAACTTGTTTGTTTGATATTCAGCTCTTTATAAACAGATTATTATTATTATTATTAATAAGGTCTTACTCTTAAGTGTGACTTCAGATATTATGAAATGTTAAATGTTTTCAGTGTGAATTCCGGTGGTTAAATGTTTTCAATGTGAATTCCGGTGGTTAAATGTTTTCAAAGTGAATTCCAGTGATTTTCCGTGTTTTTAAGTAGGCCTAATCAATATTAATGCAAAATATAAATAAATAGGAGGATCTTGCAAGCGAATTCTGATATCTTCAAAGTGAATTCGGGTGTTTATAACCGAATTCTGATATCTTCAAAGTGAATTCGGGTGTTTATAAGTGAATTCCGGTGAATTCTGGCTATTAGTCTACCCGAAGTCAAAGTTGTTACTGTGAGTTAAGCAAAACTTGTCTACTGGGCTCCATGGCACATTTATGGAAAGACTATAGAGTTGGTATCTGGTGTTACTTTACTTATAGTAATGATTGTTTTTGTCTTTTCATAGACTGGACCAAGTGAGCAGAAATAAAAAATTAGGACACATTTTCTATAATGATTTACATCCCAAAAATGCCACTTAAAGATGTGACCTGTCTATTCAAGTCAGGATAAATGACCATTTTATAATAGCAACAACAGTCAACTGGCATTATGTAAGTATTATATGTATTATATGTTTCAGATGCTCCTTGTTTGAGTTTTGATATCCTGCATGATCATCTTGGAGAAAACCGTGAAGATTTTCCTCATACTTGTTATGTGGCTGCCGGAAGTCAAACAGATAAAACGTATTCTAACCATGTGATAGTGATGAAGATGAGCAATTTATGCAAAACTCAGAAAGAAGGCAGTGATGATGAAGATGATGATGAAAGTGATGATGATGATGAACTCCCAGAACTAGAGACAGCAATAATAAAACATGATGGGTGTGTTAACAGAATAAGGGTATGTCTTTTGTAACACTTCCAACAAAACTGAAAGGAGAGGTTTTTGTCCATATCACCCCAGTGGCACAGTTTGGGACTGATCAACTTCATTTGAACAATCTGGGAGCCACAGTGGCTAAGTGGCTAAGACGCTGGCTTGCTAGCCTGGAGGTCGCGTGTTCGATCCCAGCATTGGCTGAGAAAGTTCATCAGGATTTTTTGACGTGTTTTCCCCTTGTCAGTGGTGCAGGACGAAGGGCCTGACAGCTGTCTAGTTGTTCGAATGGCATGAAAAACCGAGGTCCCGTGTACACATTGGCGTGCACGTTACAGATCCCTTGAGTTGGAATTCGATATAAGAGTAGACCTTAGTGCCACTACCCAGGCAAAATTTCCTTCATAGCATGCTGTATGCCGTATGCCCGTCTTCATAAGCCTAGTCGGAGCAGTAGGACGTTAAACCCCATTTCATTTCATTTCAATTGAACATTGTGAATAAACCCAACCCAAGCAACATAGACAAGACAGGAAAACTGCACAGGACACAGATACAAGAACACAAGTCTACTTACCATTACCAGTTGGAATTCGATATAAGAGTAGACCTTAGTGCCACTACCCAGGCAAAATTTCCTTCATAGCATGCTGTATGGCGTATGCCCGTCTTCATAAGCCTAGTCGGAGCAGTAGGACGTTAAACCCCATTTCATTTCATTTCAATTGAACATTGTGAATAAACCCAACCCAAGCAACATAGACAAGACAGGAAAACTGCACAGGACACAGATACAAGAAAACAAGTCTACTTACCATTCTTTAATGTCCTAAAAGGAAAAAGCAGAATTCCATTTAAATAATTTCTGTATTTTTAGGCAACATTTTTAGGTGAAAAAAATGTAGCAGCAACATGGTCTGAAAAAGGCAAAGTATTTATCTGGGATTTATCAAGACCAGTGAATGCTGTTAATAGTTCAGAAGTTATGACAGAATATACAAAAAATTGTGAATCTCCAGCTCCTATTCATGTATTTGAGGGTCATGCAGATGAAGGCTATGCTCTAGACTGGTCCCAAAAGTCACCAGGTAAGTCCAGTTATTGATTTGGGGTTGATTTGGTAGGTGGGCATTTAGTTTTGGCCCTGAGCTGCATTCCGTTACAGGGGATTTGGAGGCTGATTGGTCTACCAAGAATAGTGCGCTTTAGATTATACATGCAAGTTTTGTCATTGAGTTAAGTGGTTTCGATTTCCAGTTTGTATATGACAAGAAGTACGGTCACCTGTCCAACCTTGTGGGTTTTCTCTGGGTCCTCTGATGTCCCCCACTGCTAAAGACCCCTATGCGGAAGCGAATTATTGAATAAAAAAAAACATGTTTCTCTCTCTTTCGCCTTCCATTACTTTCCTGCCACAGAGGAGATCTACATTGTATGGTGTGGAATACAATCCGTCCTGTATTTACCATGCTATTTTGGAATAAATCTGTAGGGTGGAAAAATTATGTAAAAAAGCTAGTTTTTATAACTTATTTCAAATGGTTGATTGATCTCCTCTCTATTAGTGTTCGTTATATAAAGGTATGTGTTTCAGGCCGTTTGTTGTCTGGTGATTGTAAGAAAAATATTCATCTATGGACACCAAACTCTAGTGGCTGGTCTGTTAGTCAACAATCATTTGTTGGTCATACAGCATCTGTTGAAGATATACAATGGTCACCTAATGAAGATAATGTAAGCATCATAACTTCTCCATCAATTACATAAATTTCTTCATTGATAAATAGTTTAACCTACTGGAAATAATATGCAAATTTAAATGGGAGAGCCCTGCCTATTATAGAATGTGTATTGACCAATTGATAAATGTTCAACATCTATCGGTGCTTTAATTGTTGTTTTGCTCTATAGGTATTTGCATCATGCTCTGTAGATAAATCTATTAGAATATGGGATACGAGAGCAGCACCAAGAAAGGCCTGTATGTTGACAACATCTAATGCTCATGATGAAGATATCAATGTTATTAATTGGAACGGAAATGAACCTTTTATTGTATCTGGTGGAGATGATGGGGTTATCAAAATTTGGGATCTTCGACAATTCCAGGTATGTTCCGGTGCATACTTATATTTTGCACAATACTACAATTTTACATAAACTATTTAATTGAAGTAACTGAAAGTTATTAATGCAGCTGATCATCATTTGTATTTTTTGGACAATATCTAATTTTTCATGGGTTAATCCACTAAAATGAACTCAAATTGATTATTTAACATTTAGTGAAAGAAATGAAACCAAAATATCAATGGGAGATAGTCTCCTGGATTTTACCCAGAAGTTATAGTCTCATTTGCTTATTTACATTGACTGTTGCAAAATTTTCGATTTGTTTAATGCTGAACCATTATTGGACTGATATTCCTTTTAGAAATTCAACTTAAACAATATATTGTTGCATTCAAAATCCTTTAAATGATGAGCAGTGGCTTTAACATGAAATTATTTAACATAATTTATTAATAATGGATTTTAGGGTTTGATTGGATTTGAGGAATCTTACATTTTTAAAATTGATTTATTTTTAGTATACATGTTAGGTAATATATATTTGCAAATTTGAGTGTAATTTTAGGGCCTGTTGATGTGTCAAGGGAGATAATCCATGTATATTTACTTATTTATTTTCAGACTGGTCAGCCAGCAGCGTTATTTAAACATCATACATCACCTGTAACATCTGTAGAATGGCATCCAACTGATAGTTCTGTATTTGCTGTAGCAGGGGAAGATGATCAGTTATCATTGTGGGATTTATCAGTAGAAAGAGATGCTGAGGCATCTGGGGCAGAGAAAGCAGAACCTGATGTACCTCCACAGTTATTATTTATACATCAAGGACAAAGTGAAATAAAAGAACTTCACTGGCATTCCCAAATACCAGGCGTAATAATCAGTACTGCTATTAGTGGGTTTAATATATTTAGAACTATCAGTGTGTGATCAGTTAGTATACAAATTGTTGTTTTAAAACAGTTATTAGCCAGGTCATTCCAATGGTATAAAATTGGTTGTTTTAAAACTGTTGTGAAGAAGAACGATTACACATTATAAGAATTGTTGTTTTAAAGCTGTTATGAAGAAGGAAGAAAAAGATTATTTGTTAGTGATCACAGTAACAATATATACAATGTGCTTCCATACCCAACAATAATTATTGGTGTTAAAATCCGCTTGAAAGAAAAACTAATATTCATGCAAATTTATTCTGCTCAGGCTTTAAAGGGGGGCTATTTTTGCGATACCCACTATAACAAACATTTTAAAAAGTAGATCATAACAATAATATTTGTTATATTTTTTGACATTTTACTATTATTTTCATGGGCATAGCCATTACTGTTTTTCAGTCGGTGCAGAAAAGGACATTAAATCCCATTTCTTTCCATTTCTGTTTGTCACATGATATATCAGTGGCGGTGTAACATACAAAAAACTCTGTGACTGTAAAATAGGTATCTTGTTCACAAATTGATATTTCTGTCAGTCGGTCATAACCATACAGCAATTTAGTCTGAAATTTAGTACTACTTATATAATTACTAAAATGAAAAAGTAAGAGATTACTATAGGACCAGGAACTGGGCGTGATGTCATCACAGCAATCTTGGAATTGTGATGTCCTATCAAAACTCAAGTCCGTCTATCGATGTTTCATTTCGATCGTGCTTGACTAGACGGAACCTTAGCCTTTTTATAAAGTGTTCCCCCCCCCCCCTCCCTAAAAAAGAAACAAAACAAAACAAAAACAATATAAGATTTTCTTAGAGGAATCGTTTACTTTTGTTACAAGTGACTGTTACATTGTATATATGTATATAAATAAATAAAAACAAATGTAAGATATTGCCTTTTATTTATCTACCACTTAATATTCAAAGCATTCGTCATTTTTTCAACTTCATGATACTGGGTATGTAGCAATGAATTGGATTTTTCACTGTCTGTGCCATTTAACCATTCCTCATATATTCGTTTTACATCGGCATTGTCAAATGGACTGATTGTTTTCTCAGATTTATATAAATCATTGACTCTAGCTAATCGTTCATTGGCAGTTTCATCTGGATCATTTCGTATTTGACCACCTCCATTGGTACAACCAGATGGACAAGCCATGATTTCAACAAAATGGTACTGACATTTTTTCCTCTTAATTTTCTGAACTATATTTTGAATGTTTCTAAATCCATAGGCAAGAGCCATCTTTAAAAGAACTTGACCATCTTTTTCTATTACAACCTCCTGAAAATCTTTATTTCTGCAAAATGAAGAATAATTGACTCCATAATAAAAGAACAATAAAATTCAGTTACCCTAATAAAGGTCTCAGTCAAATTCAGTTATTCTAAAAGACACAATCAATTTCAGTAACCCCAAAAGAATGATCAAATTCAGTTAATGCTTATCTCACTTTTCAATATAATTAATACAAGGTGTTATTTTCATACCCTAATTAAAGCAATGCCCTTTATGACTGGAGTAAAACCCCAAATTAGTCTTATCACTGTTGAACCCACTTGAAAATTGTTTAAAATATATACAGAGAGTAATTTTAAAGAAAATGCATGTTAACATACTTTTTTGCTAAAATCATGTACATGTATTCAGTTGCTTGTGCAAGGTAAAATATTATATATATGCAATTCAAATTACCTTCCATTTAGTATTGGGACAGTTCACTTTTTGATAAAAGGTGCGTCACAAATCTGAGTAATTCTTAAGTGTATATAACAGAAGAGGCCAGGAAAGGAAGATGATCATAGACAACAGTCACATGAAAATGGTAATAATTCTCTTGTAAGGTTTCCAGGTTTAATACCAAATTATTTCTGTTTGTACCAGTACTTTTAAATGAATCGAGGCAATCTGTTTATGCTTTTACATACCTTAAAACATTATACTGTATATTCTGTAATTCTAAATCAAACAATTCTTTAGCTGCATATTTTATTATATGTTCTAAATAACCACCTGATCCACCTCCATCATGTCCAACTAGTTCTTCTCCAAACACATTACTCAATCTATTAATAAAATGGTGGTTCAGTATCTTATTTAGGAATGAGTCGTTATAATAAAGTGGAATTTTCCAGGGCAGAGACAAACCAGTCTCTAATTTGAACTGACAGGTGTGTCTTAACATTCTTTAAAAGTATGTGTGCATTGAAGATTTTGCTCATATGCATGCTCACAACACACAACCCTTTCAGCATTGTTATTTCCTTCATTAAATCAAGGAAACAACCAAACATTTCCCAAATGATCATAAAAAGCATAATACTAAGATCAAAACAACATCTTGTAAATATATGTCCAAGCAATCTGTTAAGTTGGTTAGGAAAACAATTGAAAATATCTACAGTAAAACTGTCCCTTCCGGGTTTGCCTGCTCCATCTCTTACAGGCCATTTAACTTTTTTTAAACAAATCTTGAAAAGCAACGACATCGATTTGATCAATCAAACTCATCCTGTCAGTGTATCCACAAAATATCATGGGCAAAAAAGAGAATCAAATTTTACAGTTGCAAATATGACAGACATTAAATTAGTGCATGTTTAAGTTTCATAATACACTGCATATTTAATGTTACAACTTACATTGTGTCTAAGGACATCTCTGAAACATCTGCTAGATTTATTCCTTCTTTTTCTAACATTTTCTCTACTTCACCTAAAATAATATAGAAGTTTATTTACATTATACTGTGTTTTAATATAGTTTCTTTCGGAAAGGTCTCACTCCGGTAAGTTTATTTACATGATACTGTGTTTTAACAGAAAATACTTTTTGTCACCGCGAACCAAAATTCTGCCAAGTATAGTATCAATACATATCACACCATGCTCAATCCTGGCTTGTGAACACAAACATTCTCAAGTAAGGCTGGAAATTTAATAATGACCTGCTCTCGCATAAGTATTAAGACTGTTGGCAGAGAACAAAACGAGGTTTAACATCTGTTCAACACAAACTAGATCATTTTGGGACCAGGCCTATGTCTTAATTTCATATTAAAATTACAAGAGCACTGGAGACTTTAGTAGCAGGAAGAACCCAGAGAAAACCTATGTGGTGAAGCAGGCAACTTTATGCCTGTCAAGAGTATGCTTGGGATCAAAACCATGACTGGCATCAATTACAACCAACTCATCCGTTCCTACTTTAAATAGAGAGAGATATATCGCTACTTGTTAAAATCGGCTATAATCTTCGTAACAAAGTTACACCAGCATTAGTTTCTTTCGGAAAGGTCTCACTCCGGTAATGGCAAACCATTCAAACGCAATTTGTTTATGTCTTTGAATTTGCGAGAAATGATTCCTTTTGTTGAACATAGAAGAAAATTACCATGTAAAATACAAGGTACCGACTCCAAAATAGCCTTAGAACAGAGGTTGAGGGGTACAACCGTTAAAGTGGTGTTTTCAAATTGCAGTTTAATAAGAACGGCCAGAGGACTTTGTCTGTCCATAGACTTTTTCAAGAGGAACAACACAAGCACATACCTGAAGTTATCACACAATCAACATCTCTAGTTGAAAATACATCACTATAAAAATCTGAACGAGAGGCTTCCAGTTTCTTATCAAAACATGGCATAACTGTCACATGATACACTTGATCTGGCCTCTGACCTTTTAATTTACCAAAATATTCTTTAACTAAAGACCCCATAATTTGTTGTGGTGATTTAGTTGTACTGATATATGGCAGGACATATGAACCATGTGTTTTTTCAGCATAACAAATCCATCCTGAAAAAGGGACAAAAACGAGAATAAATTAACAAGAACTTTAGAAATGTCCCTCTTTGTTAAAAGCTAAGGTTGGCGTAGAAAATTTTTTTTTTTTTTTATGTGTTGAAAGACAGATGTTTGTCTTACATTCTAAGTTTTACATTACCCTGGTATACTTTAAATCTGTGTTCTTTCTCTGGTTCATTCAGGATGACTTTTGATTTATTTTGCTATCCTGGGACAAATATATGTTTGTCTTGAAACTAGGCAAGATGTTGAAGGAATTTCCTTTATTTTTCAGAATCTATAAGTTAACAAACCTGGACAAGCAGAAGCCAACATTGGTAGTGCTGTTTTATTATTTTCCCTTTCTCGGTATCTGCTAACAAACTCTCTACAGCTTTCTAATAAACTAAAATTTCTCGAGAAATTGGTATCGAACACATGATCAACCCCTAGAATATATTATTAGAAATAAAAATTATTAAAAGATGTTTTTTCCTGGTGATGACAGTCATTTCTATTACAAATCTGATTATAAGATACCACCAATATGATGACTATGTCACACTCAAATATTTTGAAAGGACTGGCCATTGTCTATTCTATACTTTGACTGACCTGCTAATTACAGGCTGAAACTGGATCTTGTTTTTCAGAGAATTAAATGCTTTCTTCAGTTCATTTTTTGTGAACTTAGTACAGGTACTTTCAGCCTATAATAATATTATTTCTCCTTTTCATAAAAAGTAACAATTCGTCATTCTCATTCATAGGCGTACGGGGAAATTTTTGACTGCGGGGGCGGTGGTGGTTGGTGCCCAAAAAATGTAGTTAGGTTCTTAGTATGTTACATAATAATAATAAATTCGCTGTTAAATTGGACACATTCAAGGACGCAATATTTTTTATACAACTTATACAAAGTACAATTGTGTGCCCAAATTTTCCCAGCATTTGGTGCCCCCCCCAGCTCGTACGCCTATGTTCTCATTTATCGCTAAAATATCAAATTTCTAATGACTTAATCCACGCTATTTTAGCGTTTAAGAAATGAAATGAAAATACAAATGCTTTATAATCTTCTGGCTTGTAATCAGTTGGATTTAAAACAGGCTTTTCATTTATATTTGCCCACAACAAAATGGCGACAGGCTTATTGCATCACGAGAAGGATTGCTCAAAGAAATTTCAATTCAACATATCTTTGTAAATACTGGCCAGAATTGACCCATTTTTGGACTATATTCCTACTTGAGATTCATCTTTCACAATATTGTAGTTTACAAGGAATTTCTACTGTGCTAAAATAGTACTATATTTTCAGTTTAAAAGAATAGGCTTTTAAGTTGAGGTTTCAGAGAATTGTAAAAATCCTACCAAGATTTTTTAGGAATGCTGTCAATTTACGAGCTGTTTGATGTAATGTAAGATTATATTTAACAGCTAAGGAGGCTCTACACTGGGGAGCTATAGAAACTACCACTAATTTTCTTTCTTCAGTATTCCCATTCTGAAAGATAAATTTTATAAGCTTTTAAACATTTGTTCCTTTGGGATAACTATTAGGACCTCACTGAAAATTTAGTCTTGAATGAAAAATAATGTTGTTATTTTTAATATTTGTGAACAAATGAAATGAAATGGGGTTTAAAATCCTACTGTTCTGCACCAACTGGGCTAACAAAGATGAATATTTGTGAAAAATGGGGGGGGGGGGTGGATGGCAGAATGATTAGCACATGTGTGCTGCATCATAAGGTCTGTCATTGAGCCAACTGATTCCCTGGTTGTATGTGACAAGGAGTAGGATTGCCTGTCCAACCTCGTGGGTTTTCTCTGGGTCCTCCAGTTTCCTCCCACTGCTAAAGACCCCTACGCGCAAGCGAAATTATTGAAATAAAATTCAACTAGGTGTTAGTCCTGAAATGACCTAGTTTGTGTCAAGTGGACGTTAAACCCCATTTCTCTCTCTCTCGTGAAAAATAATCCATATATCCAAGTAATCTGTGTCTTAAATCAACTCTTGTGTACTCAGAAAGTTTTTTTTTTTATTTATTTTAATGGCCGAAAGACTTAGGTCCGCAATTTATTCAATTACATTCATACCCATATTTTTCAACCACAAATAAGGAATATATGGATCTTTTCCTAAAATTTTAGATTACAAATCAAAAATGATCAAATGTTTAAAAAAAAAATGTTGTTTTCTTAAAATGATCTAACTCACCTGTATAGCGATTTTATTGTACTAACTAACCTCAGTAACTGTGTAGGGATCTTATTTTACTAACTCACCTGAGTAACGATTTTATTTTGTTCTAACACTTTATATAATTCATCCTGACTTTGTTGTGTTATTAAAACTGTTTCTGCTGAAGTAATACAACCACTACAAGCCAGACAGTCATTTAAAGTTATTTTAGCCTTTTCAAGTTTTTTTTCTTCACCAATCTAAAAAAAAATAAATAACATAAAAGAGATCTTTTTTTCAATAATAATAATCATCTTATTATAGTGCTTAAATTCCAGCCAAGTGGTGGTTCATAGGCACTAATTAAAATACGATTGTTGAAAAAGTTCCATTTACCGATGTGGTTATCTGTTGGTTGAAAGATTGAGTCAAACATTTGTTGATTTTGTGCACAACAGTCAACATTGAATATTAAAAAAAAATATAATATCTTGGGATTCTAGTACCAGTACTAGAAGGTAATAGGTTTTTACAGCTTATTTACTGAGAATTAATGTTCAATATATATGGCAGGGCTCGAAATGTTCTCCTATCTATCTTTCATGAACTAATGTTGTTTTTTTTTTTATACCTGACAGGTTAAGTAAAGTGACATACTTATGCACCATCTGACACATATTTACTTATTATTTTCCAAAATGGTTGTTATGTAAGAATTAATTAATTAATGTTTGAGACTACTGTGGTTCATGCATCCACTTGTCAATATATCTCACCTCTGATATTTGAAAGTAACTTCCATCATCTTCTATTCTAATCTTACCAACTTTTCCAGGTCTTCTCTCAACTTTCACAGGTTTTATACATTCCTAGATAAACAGAAAATTGTTTTTTTCTTTTATTTGACAAGTCAAGCATTTATATAAATTTGAGACCTGAGTATGGTGCAAGCTGCAAATTCATAAAACTTGTTTGCTACAACTTATTGTACCATATGTTAGTCTTGAAATGACCTAGTTTGTGATGAGTGGACGTTAAACCCATTTCTCTCTCTCCTCTTTAATAGGCCTACTGCCTACTTAATTGGTTAGCTTTTTAAACATCCATTATGCAAGAGCTAAATCTATCCATTGCAGTTCTTTCTTATATAGACCCGAAATGTTTTCTAAATTATTAATTAGACATTAATTAACTGATCCAGGCCATAATCAACTTTTGATGGCATCAGATTTCTCCAATATTTAATAGATTAGAACGGTTCAGCCATATTTTGATTTAATTTAAAAATGGAGGAGGGAGACTTTGCTTCTAACAACGTGGATGAAATTATTGCACACATCTTGTCAAACCTTCAAAGGCTAATATCTTCACTCGCAAAAGAGGAATTTGGATGAAATTTTCAAATTATTCATTTTACATTATCTATTTTCGAACTATTATAGCAAGAATGGCTAGCTCTTTATCTAAATCTTACATGATGTATCTTTAAGTTCAAAGGCCAACAAAACAAGAGTTACCTCCCTTGATTTTGGCTTCTATTATAACAATATTTATTACGGTCCACAGATTGTGATGCGGTGTCATTAATGTATACCGAACAACGTGTGTCTAGTGTTAACTACGAATAAATTCACAATGTTAATGTTTATTACCTGAGATGGCGTGATGTAATCATCTAAATCAGTTAGTTGTAAAGCTCCACTAAAATGTGATGCCATATCTGTAAACAGGAAATCAACGGAACTCTCTAATGTTTGGAGACCTGTTTTTGTAAGAGCGGAATTTACCAATTTACAACAAAATGTAAACATCATTTTTGACCTCGACAAATACTAGAATATGGCATCATTCAGCTATTCCGAACCTAATCACAATCCTTGGATCAACGAAGACAAGTCTTTGACATCGATTAAGAATGCCCTTATCTTAGGAGAAAAAACTGGACATATAAGAAAGGTATAAATAAATGCCGCAATGCCAATCATGGGCACATAAACTCGTTTCGGATAAAGACCGCAAAGTCTTTTCATCCAGTAACAGAGATTGAATCCGAAGCCAAAGGAGATTATTAACCATCAATATTTTAGGTTTTGTTTTTTTTATTTAAATTTTGAATAATAAATTGTACGAAATTAAAGTGCGTTGGCGACTTTTAAGTTTCTGTATTTGCATGTCAACGTAAAGCTGACCTGTTTTATTTTAACTTTCAAGGGCTCACTTTCAACTTTGTCGGAGTACATACATGTATCACTCGGATGAATTTGTATCCTCTCTGATTTTAAAAGCTGATGCAAATGAATTACTATAAATGATGTATTACATGATTTCTGTTGAAATATTCAAACATAGTTTGCTTTTCATCAACTTTGATAGGGTGTAGCATGTATCAATATTTATTTCTTGAATATTTTTAGAGGTATGACGATGACTCATGTGATGAATCAAGCAGTAATTTTGATGAAGAAGTACTCCCATCACTGAAACTAATCTCTGTTCAACGAGAAATCTCAAAAAAAAGAAGAGAATTAAATGAAGTAAGTTTGAATGGTATACAGACAACTCATCCCAAAGACAATTCATCCCAAGACAACTCATCCCAATAAAAGACAACTCATCCCAATATAAAAGACAACTCATCCCAATATGTTGTAATAAACTGATGATTACTGTTTTAGTACTTTGTTGTTTTAACAGATTGGTAGTTGTGTTTTGTTTTATTTTTTCATCATGAAGCACTTCAAAGAAAATTAATTAACAAAACATTGATTAACTAAACTGAGTAGTAGTATTTCAGTATCATTTTTCAAAATGTCTGATAGCTGTATAGTTTGTGAGTCCGTTTTTCGCCCAAGACCGGAGGCTGTTCAGTGCGACGGATGTGAACGATGGCAGCACAGAACTTGTAATACTGGTAAGACTTTAATGTCATTTTTTTAAATTCAACAATATTGTATTAAATTCAACAATATTGGACTACATTTTGGACAACTGGATAACAACCCAAATTAAGATGGTATCGGATGGGAAATTACGAAGGCACCAGCAAAAACAGACAAGAACAACGCAATTCAAATTATTTCAACTGTGGCATTCATACACACACCAGACTATTAGTACCAACTAGTTACTAAAGAGATGTGGGGAAATTTATGGACCTAACTGAAGGATAAACTTACTAAATGGCTAACCTACTGAACGACATACCGACAGAAGAAAAAACATATTTATAAAAATGTATTAGTTGATCATGATATAATAAAATGTATTATTTAATAAATTGTTGATGTAATAAATAATAAAATGTATTATTTAATAAATTGTTGATGTAATAAATAATTTAACATTATTATTTTTATAAATTGTTGATCTAATAAATTCTTATATAAATTGTTGATATAATAAATTTTTATATTACTGATTAATTTAATAAATAAAAAAAAAAAAAATATTTGTTGCAGTATTTATTTGTAACTTGGAATGATTGGGTTTTTTAAAGTTGGGATGAGTTGTCTTCTAACTTGGGATGAGTTGTCTTTTGACTTGGGATGAGCTGTCTTCTAACTTGGGATGAGTTGTCTTTTATTGGGATGAGTTGTCTGGGATGAGTTGTCTTTGGGATGAGTTGTCAGTTATTCGTTTGAATCTATTACAAATTCATTGATTGAATACATGTATTGTCTGTTTAGACCGTGGACAGCTCTGTTTTGATTTCAAGACTGTATATTAATATTATATTACTCATCCTTCCTTTAAATACATTAAGGATAGAAATGTTATAAGAATAAGTGTGTAGTTTATTATTTCTCAATAACCCTAAAGCTCCAAAATATTAATAAATTTATAATTATGTTTTAGGTAAAACTTCAGATACAGAAGAGAATGCAGGATAAAGAAACTCATGATATTACACATATAGATAAACTTGGTAAATATGATATATTGATAGATATATAAATTTAATTTTCAAAAGACCCACTACATGTAATTAAATGTATGACATTTCAAGCACCCGTGTTTCGGCCAGAGAAGATTTTAATCCTAACCTTACCCACTTTAGTTATTCCCTATTAACATCAGTTTGCACCTATTTAACCTCTATGGCCGAAACTATTGTCTACCAATGTAAATACCTCCTTCAAGTTATACATTGAAAATTTGTTTAGCTTACATGTATTAGCTTTGTGGTTATATTAACCTTCAAGTTCTTAGTGGTAAACATACATATCTTCAAATTGTCAAGAGTGACACATTACAGCATATCACTATAATACATACACATTTTCACATTGTCAAAAGTAAAACATACTACAGCATATCACTAATACATACATTGTCAAGTGTATTGCTGTTAACTGCAAATATTAGACCTTTTGTCTAAAAGTTGTGTAGTGCCACACTTATCAACCAGAATAAGAATATGTATATCTTTCTAGATTATTATGGACCCAATGATCGTCACATCCAATCCAAACGGTAATGTAGTTGCTTTCTAAATTCATTGCCATGTTATACATGTATAAAGATCTTTGTATTTACAGAGAGCAAGATACAACAAGTAAAAGAATTAAATAATCACCTTCAGTCTATATTATCATGTAAAGATCAGGTAGTCAATAGACTACAACAACCTCTTGTTGGTGATTATATTAAAATAGATGCTGCATATCATAGGTAAGTTATCATCATCAAATCTACTTTTATCTGTTTAGACAATCTGATTAAAATATGGGTAATAATAACCATATTATGTTTGTCTCAAGATGACTAAAGTATTGTATTGATGAGGCATTAAACCTTATTTCATTCACAATGGGTTGGGTGTGACATGAAATCACAAAGTCATTCATTGAGTCAAGCATGTGACAAGGAGTAGGAATGCCTGTCCAACCTTGTGGGTTTTCTCTGGTTTCCTCCCACTGCTAACTACCCCTACCCGCATTCAAAGTATTGAAATAAAATTGAACTGTCTGTTAGTCCCGAATTGAGCCTGTCCAACCTTGTGTGTTTTCTCCGGTTTCCTCCCACTGCTAAAGACCCCTACCCGCAAACAAATTATTGAAATAAAATTGAACCATGTGTTAGTCCCGAAATGACCTAGTACAATGTATGTGTTGAGTGGATGTTAAACCCTATTTCTCCCTCTCAATTTCATTCACAGATGAGTTCATTTGCAATGGGAATTTTTCTTTACTTACATATTCCTGAAGTAATGACTTGAGAAATCCCTCTCCAGCCATTGCTGCACTTAGAGCGAAAAGGTGGGGCTTGAACAGAGTGTGTCTGCTCCTAAGTACCATTGTTGGAAGTCATCGGTCTATCCAGTCTGTTGAAACAAAAATGTAACATGAGAGTCCGTCTCTTGGATATGGGGTCTTCCCTAAAACTACCGACAGTTGATTAAATGTATTAAAAGATGGTGAAAATATTGTTCGTCTGCTGCATGGTCTAACAGATGATAAAAAGATTCTACATGTGGCAAATACCCAATGTTGACGTTTATAGCTATTCTGGATAGCATCGTTTATCGCACAATTAATTCTTCTGCAATATTCAGCTTTTCTCTGGATAATCACTCATACCTGTAATTAATTTTGCGGGGTTGTGACGTAATGTAGCTGTGATTGTCATTATACAGTATACTCTCTTACGTTCACGTATTTGAGCTCTGGTTAATTCCTATTGATTTGTTATGCTGTAATGGATTGGTTGTTAACCTGACTATTAACCAGTCATAATTTGGGACAGGAATCGGCAGTCAGTCCAGCAGTGTTTGAGTGGGATTAGGTCTAATCAAACAAAACACTGCGAGGAGTATCTTTTACTGAAGCACCAGGATTTGCAAGAGAAGCACCGAATCTCCATGATTGTCAGCTGAATAAGTACTTTTAATGTAAACTTATATTCTCTTTATTTTCAGATATGTAAGTGAGTTATTTCCTTTGGTCACACCATTACTGGGAGATTTGAATATGCATTTAGATAATATCAGTTGGATAAAATCAACCAATTTTCCCAAAGGAAGAACAAAATTGGTAAGTACCTGAAAACACTGTGTGTAAACGTTATGAATCATGTAGCCAAGTCTGTTACTTCTATGTGTAATCCTTGTCTTGTCTGTATGTTAATTAGTTAAGTTAATTAGGACACCTAACTCGTAACAAGGCTTTGATTCCCATGACAAGACCTGTATTATGTAGATTTAGTTGCTCAGATTAGTAAAAAAATAGTTTGTCTTTTGGACACATGAGCAGTGCACATTAATGATTGACTGTTTGATTTTCAAAGAAGAGTAGGCAAAAACCCAAAACATACTTGATGCCAAGTCTAGTAATATTTATTTATTTGTTTTTTAGGAAAGTGTACTAACAGAGTTATCTAGTGCCATTGCTGGTTTACAGTCACAGTATCAAGCACTGTGTCAGTTGAGAAAAGGGATGAATGATATGTATAAAGCAAGTGCTAATAATAGATGACAAGCTAGATTTTAATATAAAGTCTTAACCCATAAATTATTTATTAATAAGTTTCTCAGAAAATAAATTGTCCATTTGATTGTGAGTCGAGGAGAATCTGATTAAAACACAGATCCTATTTAGTTTCAGTTCTTATAAATCAAAATTTTGTTTTACTTGTCTAGTATTTTCCCCAACCTATTCTTCGAACATCGCAGCATGTGTAGGACGTTATATTACGTCTGGTCGAGGAAATCTAATTGAGGGGAGACAACTCTATTTACCGTTAGTTTTATATGCTTTTGGACTACAAACTAAAGGTCCAAAAATGACGTTTTTCGTCAAATTAATTACACAATAGGGGTTAGTTAACGTTTTAAAATCTACACAGTTAAGGGGTTATAAATAACCTGCATGCTGGATGATGTGAGAGATTAGTCTGTTGAGTTGAGTTCTTATCGGGTAGCACTGTTGGTAGACATTCACAGCAAAGGAAAATACAAAGGAAAATTTGTATTAACAAATAGCCAATTGGTTAATCGAATGAAAGACTTCATCTTATTCACAAGTCACTCACTAACACCTGATTTTAACTCTTCATGGTTATTACCTGCTGGACTAACAAGGAAAGGGTTGTCAAGTCATTGAGTGGTATGAAAAAACAAGGTACACTCATATGCACACTGGAATGCACATGAAATATCCCTTGAGGCGGAGAATCTGCTCCCCAGGCAAAATTCTTCTCCCTTGCATTGCACATGACCATATTTTGTTAATTTCTATCAAATTCTAATCAAAATAACACATCAGATCAACCCAAATCAACACGTTATTTCTCTTAATCAGCTCGGTTGATATAGAAAAGTAAGACATTAAACATTTATCAAATTTATTTTATGTCTACATAAATACTGAATTTAAATGCCTAAAAATTATTATCACTATTCATTTTTCTTTTGTTTTATTACTTTCTTGATATCTGAAGATATATATTGTGTATAATATATTTTGTTTCTAAATATACATACACGTACATATTTACATTATAATAAGTTCATTTATAGTATTTACTGTTTTGTTAAACAATTAAGATGTCATGAAAGTAATGCGACCTGAAGAAGGCGGAGGTCATAAATGTGTCGGGAAAGTAAAGGCCCAACACATTTAAGACAAACAACAAATAGAGAATTGGTAAAAAATATAAAGTAGTCTTATGAAAATGCATATCCCTCTAAAATTCACTTAACCTTCACATAAGTTTCTATTGATTTTACAGTGTCACCTTTAATTACTTGATTAATCACATACCATTCACTGGCCATCTTTAATTTTCTATCAATGAGCTTGGTGGCCAAGATGCTATATAACCCCCATTTTTAAAAATTGTTTGTCTAAATTACTACCTAAAGAATACTTATTACACCTTGTTTTATCAAATATAAATATGGGAAATGCTATTTTGGACAGGTCGCATCATACTCATTTAGATATGGATTGTTGTTTAACTTTAACAGAACAAGCAGACTACTGCCAGAGAATTATTTCCTTGTTAAGTTTAATTACACAGATTAACTAGGCAACTATTGTCTACTTTTATTTTAGTATCTTAAAGAAAAGTGTGCTACATCCAGTTATGCATTAAATTCATATTCATAATAATTATTTGTTTTACAGTGGTACAGAATATTGTAGGAAATAGTGAAACTAAAAAGATTATATTTTGTTTTACATTAAATAAATTCATTTATTTTATGATCAGTAGTGGAATACCGGTTTTATCAGTGAAATAAAAGTGTTATTCCACTGGCTAGTTGTTTTTACCTAAAATGATTGTAAAATCATAAAATAAATAGAACATTTGTCGTTTTGTCGTGAATAACATATTTTATTTCATCTCTAAGCAAGAAAACGTTTATATTTTCACTCATGCTACCCATTGGTGAAAATATAAGTTTTCTTGCTTCTTGATGAAATAAAATATGTTATTAACTCTAAAACGACAAATATCCTCTATGTATTGATTTTCAAGGACAGACAACATCAAACTTGAATTCTCCTTCTGGTACCTTACATTCACATTTGGTTTTGTCTGCAGGGTTTTTGAAGAATTCATCACCATCAGAATAGCATTTATTGCCAACTTTACACCCTAAAAATAAACAAATATATAATTGTATACTTGATGTAAGTATAGAGTAGCCTGCATGTAATGATTATCCATGCACCTTTCAGTCTGAGATTGTTTTGGGTAATATATAGTGATAGTGGACAATTTAATTGAGGTCCATGGTTCATGAAGAGATTCATCTAGCCAACCTGTTTTGGTTTCTCATCCATACATGTGAAAAATAATATCTGATTTGATCTGATCCATCACATTGTGTATGTCTTGAGCCACATAGATGAACTTTGGAATGTTATAAGCATCATTTTCTTCTTCCCCAAACATGTCCTCATATTTTCAGTAAAATGTTTACATAAAACATATATAAACAAAAACACGCCCACACTCACAGCTAAAATACAGAATAAACACAACGAAAGTTTGTTAGCTATGTGAACTCTGCAAGTGATCAAGCGGTTGCCATTCAACATAAGGTCAAATTTTGCAAGAATTTGACTGAGAACTGGGAAAATCGACAGGCGGTGGCATCTTCTCGTCCCAATGCTTCACATCTAATTTTCAAAAAAAAAAAAAAAAATCCGTTAAAACTGTAACGTTAATCGCCTTCACAAGGTTTTCAGAAAAGCGGGGTAACTCAGGAATGGAAGGTCACTGAACGCTAAATATCGGTATGGTTCGTCCTCTAATGACCCCAAAGCTTCACACCAAAATTGACTGGGAATTAGATCAAAATCGTGATTTAAGATTTACCGTTATAATTTTAGTATGCGATATACATGCTGACAAAGGCGCAGTTTTATAAAATCGTGTGCTTATTGGTCAAGTCTACTGCAAAGTTGTAGGGAACTTGGTCATATTTTGACATTGATCAATTTTTTTTTATAGATTTATAAAATACGATTTGATTAGTACCAGATTAATTGACAATAAAATCAATACAGGGATTTTTGTTTCTATCCTATAAATCAATGGATAAATAATTTGTTAATTATGTGATGTAAATATGAATAGACCGTATGTCCATATGCCAAAAACAATACGCCATTCTCTGAAAAACTTCTGAAGAAAGCGTAATAAAAAATCTTAAGCAATTCAAGTCACATAAGTATTTACTTAAATATACATTATACAAGAGCTAAATCTGCCTATTGCAGGGTTTTCTTTAGGCCTTAAATGCTATATAAACTATTAATTAGACATTAATTATTAACATGACAAGGCCATAATCAACTGTCGGTGCCATCTGATGGGTCCAATTTTCATTAGATTTGTATCCGATCTGTCGTTCAACGGACATTGATGATTAACCGCAAAATGGATAACCGAGACTTTGTTTATTATCGTAACAACCGTAGCAGTGACGATCGAGGCTAGCCTAAAATTGGATCGCTAATATTTCGGTTCAGAGTGACGCAATTTGACTGATATTTTCAACATATTCTCTTTTCATTATCTTTTTTTTAACTATTATAGCAAGAACCGCCAGCTCGTTATCTAATCTGATCTAATGCCCATTTAATATCCAGGTAAGCCACCAAGATATACCTTGTTTAATATGTTGATTATAACATCAATATTCTCCAGTCTTCTGTCTGTTGTAAGCGTATTCACATGATATACATGATATACCCCCCCCCCCCACATGTTGTAAGATAAAATGTTTCAATAGTATAAATTATAAACACAAATATACGCGTTTGTTGAGTAATACATGCGTATTTCCTAAATATAATAATTCAATGTGATATGTGAATTAACAACCCAGATTCAATTATGAAATATTTTATGCAAATAAGATCGTTGGGCAGAAAATGTAATAGTGTTCAAATTTGGACGTGAACAATTCAGCTTCTTCGTCTCAGGGAGTTTGAATATTAATTCAACTGGATGATAACTGTAGCTTTAAGAACAGCCATCGACATGCAATGCTTAACACGATTTTTGTACAGAATTGTAGCCTCTGTCGTATTCAATAAGATTTCGGCTAAGGGGGGCATCATTACTCTGAAACGAAAGGTCCTGGAACGCTGGATATGGCTACAGGTTTCGTCATATCGTGAAACTATAGTCGATATCGCGTGCACAAGGTTTTCGTAAAAGAGTCTTAACTCCGGAACGGAAGGTCTGATGCTCACCAAAATCAAACTAATATGCGATATTTAAGTTTCTTCTTTGTACATATTTCACATTTTGCGTAAAAGGCAGAGGCCATAACCCAAGAATTTTAAGTCTTTTATGCACCAAAATCGAACCCATTAACATATGTGTTTAGTTTAATCAAAGTACTATGGCGTCTGGAAGGGTCAGCAAACTGCGTTCGCGCTTTGTATAAATGACCCTTTAATCAATCAAATGCGTTCACCGCGTTTGCGCTTACACCTAGTATAATTCAATCTATACTTATGCTTTTGCAGTCGCGTCCGAAGTACAATTGACCGATCGCGAGAGCAGACGTAGCAAATCCTGACACCGAGTCAAACCGCTACACATAATTAAATAGAAACCCAATCTTCAAATTTATTTTACTTACTGACTTCAGTTTTAACCATTCCAATGATTTTACCGTTGGGTGTAACCCTTTCTTTACATTCAAATACTTCACACTTGTCATTGACGTTCAAACCACGCAGTTCAATACATTTACCGTCATGTTCACATTCTAAAAAAAAAAATATCGCATTCACGGTTAATTCACGTATTAATTCCCATGTATTGCATGTGAACCTGTCTATACTATTATTACACAGGCGCACCAATCAAAAGAGTGAAGACATTTCTCGTAAAATCCACAAGGAAGTGCTAACCTGCAGGCACCCCCTCGAAAAATCTTGTCGTATTTGAGTACTTAAATGTTTCAATTGCTATTTATGAACCGACTTTCCTGGGGGTTGTCTGACGTTGCGAGCACTATTCCTTCTTTAATCCAGTCTCACCCTGCCATTTGGCTTAATTAACCAATCTATCTAACTATTTACATCATATTTGACCAATTAGATAATTGAAGGTCCAAAACCCAAAGCTACAAAACTATCATACTTGTGAGAATTCGTCAGACATCAGACATATTCTGGAAGGGAAAAGATGTAGCCATTTCTATCAGCAGACTCGCCCCAGCGAGTCTGGCTAGGGTTTGAGAATGAGTTTAATATTGTAATCTATACTATGCTTGTATCCATGTATCCGGCTATGATATATAAAATGTAAAAACGAACTGTTGCATTGTTATAACTACTGAGAAGACAAACGTCTTAACTAACTGAGATAGATAAGAAGAGAATACACAACGTGAAGTATAAGCAAAGACGACAAGTGAAAATACTAGACGATCACAAGGCTACTGAAATGTGTAGTAAGAAAAGATGCATGGGACAAACGTAGGATGTGGCGACCGGGTTGGAATGGCCCGCTTTCCACGTCTGCCAAAAGACGCATGGTATTACATGTACTCCTTGACATGTTGGAATTCTGAGATAAAATGTCCCTCATAGCACACAGCATGGCGTATACCCATTAATCTAATTGGTTCAGTAACGTTAGACTTAGACGTTAAACCTCATTTCATTTCTCAAGAGAAATTATGTATTAAGGTGCAGTAATGCCGACGAAACGGTGTAGTAAACTTACTGGCTTCATGTACTTTATATTGCTGTCCGTTACACTTGTAAACAACACATGGCTCGTGTTTAAATTCAAATACATCGCCGCTTTGAACAATTCTTCCTGGAGTAACTTCGCATTCTAAAATATATAATAAACATGCCATGCATACAAAATTTCACTTACACACTGACGTTTAGCTTCATTCATCAAGGCACCTCATTAAAAATTGCGCCCGAGAGCATAGAGTACACATCGGCGTGTAATGGTTTTAAAACTGTTTACTGTGTCTTAAATATTTGATAGCAAACCCTCACATGTTCACGGTAAGGTAACAACATCACTATTGATTGGAATTGATGAATAATTTGTGTCTGTAATGTCGAAACCTGGATAATATTGCGTTAGAGCTGTAGGCCCTTCAATCACTTGATATAATAATTATGGACTATTGTTTTAATTGGTCAGCTTAGTTCGCTAGTAGACTTCTCAAAATTGTCGATCCAATCTCTAAATCTTTGACATACTATAAGGGCTATAACTGTTAAACATTACTCAAACGGTCACCGGTTAAGCTTTTCAGATTGGTAAATTGCATTTCAAACATTATAGAGAAATTACTAACTGAAATATCGAGGAGACCCTTATCCAGATACTTTGGATTGGTTCCTAGAGAAAGTCTGTTTTCGTATTTAGTCTGACGTGAAGATTGGAACAAAGGGGAGATAATTGATCCGAAACCCCACTTTACCATAATATGTATGAGGATTATCTTTTTTGAAATAAAATAATATTTATAATGAATATGTGCAGCCCATGAGATATGTAATATACTATTCAAAAAAAGTAGGGGATATTTGATTTTGGGGGCATAATACTAAAATATGCAAATGACTACGAAAAAAGTCACTATAGAACCTAACAGAAGAAACATTTCCAGTTACATGTGACGCCCAAACGCACCAATAGCTACCGCATGGAATGCAGGTGATGCTTGGGATCATCATGGGGGTCCAACCCAAGATTTGCACGACTCTGACTTTGAATGTTACAGTCATTGTGGCATTGAATTCCAGGGTGGAAACATCAGTTTAATTGTTTTAGTGACCAGAAAACAAATTTTGATATGCGTCGGCTTACCCAAAATGAAAGGTTACGTGCCCTTGGCATGCTACAGATCGGCACAACACAGGCGGTTGTGGCGCGGACAATGAATGTTTCTCAGTCTGTCATAAGCAGGCTATGGTCCAGATACCGTGATACACAATCTGTACAGGACAGACCACGCTCAGGTCGACCAAGGGCGACAACTCAAGCCCAGGATCGATTTATCCGTACCTTGGCCTTGAGAAATCGTGTCATCACAGCAAATCAGATCAGCGCTCGTCTTCAAACAGACACTGGTGTGAGAGTGAGTGGCCAGACGATTCGGAATCGACTGCATAGGGGTCAACATAGGAGTCAAGGTTCACTGTTGATTTTTTGGACAGACGTAGGAGGGTGTGGCGTCGTCGAAACGAGCGCTTCCAAGACCTTAACGTCATCAGACATGATCGATTTGGGGGTGGTTCTGTTATGGTGTGGGGAGGCATCACTGTTGCTGGAAGAACGGCTTTACATGTTGTTGCAGGGCGTGTTACAGGCCAGTACTACCGGGACAACATCTTGGCAGTCCATGTTGTGCCGTTCGCACGACGTCATGGCCGCCGTTTCATCTTCCAGGATGACAACGCAAGATGTCACAGGGCCAGGATCGTTACAGGTTACCTCCAACAACAGAACATCACCACATTACCTTGGCCAGCACTGAGTCCCGACCTCTCCCCCATCGAGCATGTCTGGGACATGCTTGGACAGAGGTTACGTCAACGTCAACAACGTCCTGCCAATGTCCAAGAACTTGCTGCTGCGTTGCAACAGGAATGGGACAATCTGGACCAAAATGATCTTAGACGTCTCATTAGGAGTATGCCACGTCGGATCAATGCTTGTTTGGCAAACAGAGGAGGATTTACCCGTTACTGACTTGGTTGTGATGCTGTGGTAACTTTGCTGTTTGACCCCGGGTATCATTTTACCCTTATAATGGTCAGTCTGTGCCTTACTTAGTCTAACGATCATTTGGAATAAATCGATGAATGTGAACTTCATTTCATTTTGTCATTTGTTTCTTCGTCAGTTTCATTAGGTGACTTTAATAACACTTAAAAATCAAATATCCCCTACTTTTTTTGAATAGTATATTTAACTGTAGTTGTCGAGAAGATTTTTTAAGCAAAACTTTATTAAAATAACCAAATAATAAACATGATCTTAGTAAAGCATCTAAAGAATGGGCTAATGTAAAGCAAAGTAAGATTTGGCAAATAAAAATTCCATTTGGCCATAAAATATATAAACAATTTTGCATGTGAAAGTGATAGCTATTAAATTGCTATATCCTATGTTTACAATATTATGCTACTGACATTTTATTGTTGTTGAAATGAGTTAGCGCATATTGCTTTAAGCGGTAGACACAATAGCCGAATGATTCTGTCGAATGAATCCGCGCTGTCACTGTCATCTGACTGAATGATTCGCGAATCAAACATGTTTGATATATTCGCCCGAATTATAGTTAATCACCAATCATATCGAGAAGTCACGTGATTGTTTGAAGACATGGTCGCTGCCATGTTTAACCATTGCTTCAGTAGTATATCGATACAGTACAAACAGCGTTTGAGAAATGGAAGTGAATATTAATTTAGTACGTTGAATAACTGACGATTTTATATCGCATCTACATGTAGTATTTAGAAATATTTGGGACGTGTATCGGTGGGGAAATAAAATCTGTCCGAAAACAAGTCTTTTTGTTTTACCTGATTTGACAGTTGAAACTGACACCAGTAGGATCACAACCATTGATAATATCACAGCCATTTTCACCTCTGACTACCATGGGTAACATTGAAATAAAATACAAAATGTAATATCAGGTTAATATTATTTCCCTTCCTCCCCCTTTCTTAGAATTGCAGAAATAGGTCATAGTTTCTCTCTTTATTATTTCATTAGGTACCGACCCAATCAACAGCAACCCCCAACAATTGAAGTTTGTTATATAACTCCTTATTTGGATATGAAGCCCATTAATACAAAAACATAAGTCTCATTAGAAATTACATCGTATAAGAGGCTAACACGGAGTTTGAGAAAATGAATTTAAACATCTTACCTTGCTAACAAGAATAGGAAAGTTTCCACCGCTAATGTTGGTTACAAAACAGTTTTCAATGAACTACGTTAATTATTGTAAAGCGATCGTTATTTCAAAATGACGAATTTTGTATACATAAAGTCTTTAAGTTTCGCATATGCTACCAAAACTAATAAAGAAATCGATTTCATCACACTTGTCTTCATTTTATATTGAATGTAAGTAAATAGACTACAAAAGATCGCATAATAGGTCTATTATAAAATTATAAATTCTTCTTAGTAGAGCGCACACATTCAACATAGAACGAATAAATGCTTAACAAGGATTTTCTTTGATAAAGAAAACGACTGAGGTTCGTGTCGCCCTCCACCAACCTCCAGTTGCATAAGATTTTCAGATTCCCAAAGAAATGATTACAAGAATTTCTTACACTCTGTCGATAATAAGTAATCCTACCTGTATTTAAAAGCAGGCGGCTAAATATGGTAATGGACGAGTACAAACTGGAAATTATAGTTCAGTTATATTCTAGACATCTTACTGAGTATTACAAAGAAAACGCCACAAATTTCTGATAAAGGAATTTATCTTGTTCCCATTGGATGTAAACATGTGAAATTCTATTATAAATTAAAAGTACGGTGTGTTTGACACTTTGATGTTCCAATCTAGACATTTATCCATTTACATTCTGGGAGCCGTGGTGCAGAGCCTAAAATAATGTGGCTTGGAGCACGAACGTGCTTCAAAATGAAAAATCCGTGGCTCGAAAATAAGAAAACCATGCTCTGAAAAGAAATGGTGTAGTGCTCTGAAAACGTGTAAGGTAGCCATACCTCCTGACCCATAATGAGTGTTTCCTCTTGTGGCGGTCAGTTGCATAAATCAGACCAGATCAGCTTATTAGTCAGGTTTTTTAGTAGGCTTAGTACCCGATCCACTGCGTCCTTGACCGCCAAATAGAAATACTTCGCTAATGTTTCCGGTCTCGACCTCCAGATTCATTCCCTAAAGAGACTTTAAAAGACCATAATCAAATTTTTTAAAATGTTGTACCCTTGGTTACTGATAGAATTTAAGTTTTGTTGTTGATGTGATGATATAATTTAGGTTTTGATGTTGACGTGATGATAGAATTTGAGTTCTGATGTTGATGTGATGATAGAATTTGAGTTTTGATGTTGATGTGATGATAGAATTTGAATTATAATTCAAATATTGTCGAAACGAAAGTGGTGTGTAATCTTTTTAGTGCTGAGTTTGCATGCGAAAAAAAGCTGCGCATAGCCAAATAAACTCCAGTGTAAAATGTGCTAGAATAATCCACAGATGCCGTTTTTCAGCTCTGAACTTTCTGCGGACACAGAATCCGCGCACTAGAATTTAACTTTATTTTAGGCCCTGCCGTGGTGACATAAATTAAAACGACCAAGGTCCCATGTTCGATCACGTTGTTTTGGCCGAAAAAGTTCATCGAGATTCCCCGGCGTGGTTCCCTCTTGTTAGCAGTGCATGACAGAGTGGACGAAAAAACAAGCCCCGGGTATACATTGATGGGCACGCAAAATTTTCCCCCGGTAGCACACTGTTCGTCTTGATTAGCCCGGCAGTTGCTGAAACGTAGGGAGAGAGAGAGAGAGAGAGAAATGGGGTTTAACGTCCACTCGACACAAACTAGGTCATTTCGAGACTAACATATGGTTTAATTTTATTTCAATAATTCGAATACGCGTAGGGGTCTTTAGCAGTGGGAGGAAACCAGAGGACCCGGAGAAAACCCACGAGGTTGGACAGGCGACCATACTCCTTGTCACGTATAACCGGGGATTCGAAACCACGCCAGTTGACTCAATGACAGGCTTTATGATACAGCACGCACGTGCTAACCATTCGGCCATCCACCCCCCCCCCCCCCACTGAAACGTAGGACTTTATACATTAAATTCATATTGTGCAGCACAGGGGGATTGAATTTCAAATTGGAGCAGAAAACAAAAATAAAACCCAGGAAAATGATTCGTTCCCAACAAACAACGCCGAACACAAGATTGTTAAAATTTGCGCTTGTGATGAAAATTCGGAAGAAAATAACAAAAACAACAGGGATTGGTCAGTCCCAATGTGACCTCCATTGATTAATATTGTCGTTATTCATGGTAACCATCATTTGTATTTCCTATCATTTGATAAAATGATATAATGCAAAAAATTTACATCTACTGTCACTTTAACCTGTACTGATAAGGTGGGTGTGTTTAATTTTTTTATTTATTGTGTATTTGGATTTAAAGTAGCTAAGTCTCTAACTCAATATCATCCAAAGTCTTCGACATTTAAAACGCGAATTAGTTTCAATTTAAATCAACATTGATGTTGTGATCTTACCGGGAAAAGATGGGCTTCTGATATCCAATATTGGTACATGAATCGTGTACCATAATGCGTTTCAGCGCCATTTGTAACAAGGGACTCGAAGAACGGGGCTAGACATATTCCACAAGTCATGTCAAACGGTGAGGACATATTCTTATCTGGAGAGCATGCGCAATAAATACTATCGGCGTAGACTGGAATAACCAGACGCTAGAGATTGCCATTCGATTGAGACTTCTAGCGTATTTCACCGAACATAACTGATTTGAAATTGCAGTAAAAACGGAAACGACTGAATGTAAATCAGTTTATATACATTAATATTACAATATTATATGCGTTGCGACCCATTAATGCCAATTTCTAGGTCCCAAATATTAGCGATTTAGCTCCTTTAACATGTGATTTTACAATAGAGATTTGGCCGACATATCATTACTTAGTTCAAGTAATGTGATAAATGCAGACAATAAAAGTGAATATAGGATTTGTAAACATTAGAAAATTTATTTCTTATATTCTAAAGCAAGATTTTCTTTTTGATAATACCGTCGTTGTTGGGATTAAAACACAGGAGAAATATTTCAAGTAACACTGAGTGATTAGTGAGCCGAAAAATGCCTAGAAGTAAAAGAAATATCTCAAAGTGTTCAATATTAATTCTTCTTCTTTTATACTTAAGGCTGCTGGTAATAAGTACATAAGAAATGTAAAGACAATAGTGTAATTATAGTTAATACATTGACCTAATAACAGATTTTAAAATAAAACCATGGTACTAAAAAAGATAATTTTTAACAGATGAAAATGCCTATGGACATGTTCGCGCAACGTTTAATCCATCTATGACACATGTACAATCAATTAGTCCTGAACCATTTGTAGCTATCTTCATTTTACTTCCATTACTATGACAGGCACCCTTATAGTCTGCACACACTGTAATAAAATATAAAGATATAGTGTCGTTAATAATCTATTCGACTAACACCATCCACATTTTCTATTAGCGACTTTTCTGGGTTAATGTTTAAATTATAGAAAGTTTGTGGACATTATTTATCAAAAGCATTGATTTTTCGGACTATATGGCAAACCAACACGTTGAGAGTAAAATATGAAATTAACCTCAACTTCAAGATATAATAGGACATTTCTCACAGACATATAAGCCCCGTGTCAAGTGATATCAGGTGTTCTGGACGAAATAAGCCTATAACCTGCCCCATGCACCACGTAGTCTGAATTTATGAATCTCCCAATAAATATAGAATGCATAGTAACACAAATATACGGAAGAATAGTATAACATATACACTGGAAGAGAAAATACAAAGGCATGATGGAATACACGTAATAGCAGCATCTAATTAAAAGGCCTCATTTCTTTTTTGTTAAAATACAAACGTCAATATTAAATACATAGTATTTGACAACTCTTATGAAATAATAACAATCCGATATTTTTTTTATTATCTATAATAATGATATTTTAGATTTACTGACTTACTTGCAGCTTTCTGCCTCGCTGTATACCACGCCATACCACTCGCCAAATCCGTTTCACAATTAAATAACAAACAATTGTGTATTCTCATCTCTCCTAGTTTTAAACAAGTCATTTGACTGTTATTGTGAAAATGATTACCAACAAATAGAGGCAAATAGAAATAACTGATGTAAAAGTAAACTTAAATTTGCACTCGGTTGCTTTGTAATGTCGTTTAGACGATGCATGTCTATGGTCTCAGACTGGTAATTAACACCGCATGCCTTTTTTATTAGGGTTTCACACTGCGTAGCTTGTGTGAAACACTATTGTTTTTGTTAAAATTATTAGGGTTTCACACTGCGTAGCTTGTGTGAAACACTATTGTTTTTGTTAAAATTATTATTAGGGTTTCACACTGCGAAGCTTGTGTGAAACACTATTGTTTTTGTTAAAATTATTATTAGGGTTTCACACTGCGTAGCTTGTGTGAAACACTATTGTTTTTGTTAAAATTATTATTCTTATTATTATTATTCTTCTTTTGTTTTGAGTAGATCTCAGCAACTGATTGTCGGATCGTTACGATTTCTTCGGTTTTATCGGAAAAGTGGGTGTGACTTAGAGGATAAAGCTATTTTGAACGTTCTGCGACAATGCAAAATGTCCGAAATCACCGAAGCTATCGTTTTTAGAAATATTGCAGTAATTTTAACAATAATCATTGGATTTTAACTTTCGATGCATTTTGGCATAGCCGAAGACGGGGCACATAGCTACGCTACTTTTGATTTTTGATTTTCGGCAAATCTTCGCAGATATTAGGCGCTAAATTTAGAAAATTTAAATTTTTACAAAAAACTTTTTTATTTATGAATATTTTTTAGTCGTGTTTTACACAAATATAACGAGTCCTCTGACTTGGGCAAAAATGTGAAAAAATTTTGTCTCGGTAATTTTCCTTGGCCCCCATTGGCTAATTCAGTTTTTCAGTCCTAGATTAATTATTTATTGTTCGATTTGTATAAAACAAAGTTCATATGCTCCGTTGTCTCAATTGTCATTTTTCTTGTTACCAATAGTGTTATCTGTCGGCACCGGAAGTGGCGTAAATTGACAAAAAACTACAATTTTGACAGTTAGGTACCATTTTTCGAAAGCAAATATTATTTTTTTTCAAATCCGGAATAACTGAAATTGTGCGCCCTTTAAAGGCGCACAAAATGTTGGGACCAGTTTTTTTAATTTCGATTCCGTTTTCGGGCTATTTCGATTAAAAGG